ACCATTCATATGATACCATTGTGTGGCATGAACTAACCATTCATATGATACCATTGTACAGTGTTAATAAACTAACCATTCATATGATACCATTGTGTGGCGTGAACTAACCATTCATATGATACCATTGTACAGTGTTAATAAACTAACCATTTATATGATACCATTGTGCAGTACCAACAAACTAACCATTTATATGATATCAATGTGCAGTGCTGACAAAATAACCATTTATATGACGAAACTCCGTTTGTACTTTACCAAAATTTTCAACAATGATTTACAACGATTACCTTTTTCTTGACCAATTGATATAAACCTAGAAAAGATACATAATTAAGCAGTTTTTTCATTAAGATTCGAATTTGCATATGTTGTCATGTTCTTAACTCATCGGTCAACTATTAAAAAAAGTCTAGAATTTAAACAGTTCAAAAAATTTCTTCAGTCGTCACTTTTAGAAATAAGAGAAATTTGATTTACACATTCACCTGTGGATAAAATGAGATTGACCAAGCCACGAAATAAATCCATCCAATAACAATGTTCACAATCACAAGACATTTGCAATGTACAACGTTTACTTTAACTTTGAATCTATGAAGACTTTTACGGAATGAAAATCATTACAATCAAATATTTTAAATCAAAACGAAGACTTTTACGGAATGAAAATCATTACAATCAAATATTTTAAATCAAAACGAAGACTTTTACGGAATGAAAATCATTAAAATCATATATTTTAAATCAAAACGAAGACTTTTACGGAATGAAAATCATTAAAATCATATATTTTAAATCAAAACGAAGACTTTTAAGGAAGGAAAATCATTAAAATCATATATTTTAAATCAAAACGAAGACTTTTACGGAATGAAAATCATTACAATCAAACATTTTAAATCAAAGTCTAAGTTGCAGAATTGCAACTACACTCAAAGTTAGAGTAACTGAATACATACTTGCTGATATAAACAGACGAGTTCGTATTAAAGGTAACGTACGTCTCCCCTGCATGCTTTCCATGGATAACCACGACCGCAGTGCTTTGATTGATTGATAAGGTCACCTTAATTTAAAAAAATTAATGAATTACACCAAAAGCTCCAGGTTATGATGAAGGAAAAAGTTCAACAAAAATGTCAGCAATAAATTTCGAGGTCAATTTTTAAGCTCACATTATTTGTAGTCGAGGCAATGTTCCGCTTTTCAGTTGCAGTTGTAATTGATACTTCCTTAGATTTCTGTGTTCTAGAACATAAATGAAAACGAGCATCCTCTATATGGATGGAGGTCGACAGTAACAATTGTTATTTATCTGTGTAAGCCTCGTGATGACATCAACTTGAAACAATAACATGCAAAATAACGAAGTCGTGTTCTGTAAAAGATGCATGCAAGAACAGACTTACCTTAGATTTGATATTGATAGTTGAAAAGAAGTATTTTTACCAATCTGGACTTTTTTCGGTTTATTGATGGCCTTAAGTTCACAAGTTGCCACAACTAAAGTAAAGAAATAATCGCCGTCAGCGATGGATTTGAAAGTTACGGACACACAAAGCTGTGCCAAATAAAGTTCGGTAAAACTAAATAAACATGGACAAAAAAAAGAAAGAAGTTGGAAAAAGAATACATTGTAGAAAAGGGGAAAAAAAGTTGTTGTCACAACACCTATATGCAAATATAATTCATAATCAACACTGATTGTGTGAATGTTTTTCTTCAATCGTAATTTCAATGCGGATTGTGTGAAAGTATTTCTCTATATGTTGGGGTATATAAAGAGCATGAACATATGTTACCGGTCCCCCCCCCAGAACAACCACCAAACATTGCAGCTTTGTGTACATGCGATAGTACCCAAGGTTGCAAGGATGAAAGATAACGATCTTAATCACCGTCCAAGGTTTTCAAAAACATTTGGTAGAAATAGGTAGTTATGATCATTTATTGCAAGCCCAAATTTATGCATAATTGACAAGGATTATAAAAAAATAGTATTCAAAAAATGCAATTTCCAATTCAACCAATTTCCTGAATATTTGTTAGCTTGAGCATCATGAGCAATATTTCAACCCTATGTGTCCCAATTGCTTAAAGAGTCATTTTTTGGCACAAGATATTTCAAAATTGCTTCTAGGTACATAATTGTCATAGAAATAGTTATCAAAAATAGTTATTTCCAACTATTTTAATGCCATATGAACCACTGGAAGTCCAACATAGACTCTGCATGTTACATTCACATGGGAAAAGAATAAACTTCAGATCCTGTATGAACTGAAACAAATCTAAACAAACACTAAGCAGCAGTGTGCAAATTAATGGTGTGCAATGTGCAATTTGCACATCGTTTTAGCTAAAATGAAAACAAGTCAAAATGAAACATATGAAGCACGCTTAAAATTTCAATTTAGCAATTAGCGCTATATAATAATTAGCGTAATATCGATTTGATTATGCCTCTAAAGAAACACTTTTGTCAAAAAAATTGAACATCGTTTTATCTGAACTAATTCACACACTGCTAAGCAGAAGGTGAAAATGATAGCTATGATGAAGGTTTTATTCCTAAGCAAAAGCCACAACAAATATGTGACAATAGTATCTGAGTCTTACATTCCTACTTCAGTAGATTGGGTTAGAATGGGTAAAAAAGTTTTAAATCTATCTTTCATCCATTTATAGAAAGTATGGTTATCAAAAGCACCAAATAAGATCATAACCATGAGTTCACTAAGTTAAACATAATCAGAGTCCATATCAACAAACATGAGGTGATTCAACTGTAAAAACATTAACTATTGTAGTGAGTTGTGCCTCAAAATGTACCACTCTTAAAACACATGAATGTATACATGTTCACCATTCTGAACATGACAAAGTCGCTCTTTGTAAATGGTCAACATAATAAAATAAGTCTGATAAACTAAAAACATGAAATGAGTTAATCTAATGAGTATATCAAGGTATTTGATTTGACCTCAAGCAAGAGAAATATCATACTGAATGATGAATGTTTGGTTTTCAATAGCATGTTTTAAAGTTTTGAGAAATATTATGTAACACTATGACATCACATGTAAAAAAATCATATTAATCTACCAAAATTACTCAAAAATCATTGGGAACATCTCCAGATTTGACCACAAATTATATAGTTTGAATGGTCAAGTTTTGACTAATGCAATTTTACCAACCGAAATGCATGTCAATTTTGAAATTGAAAATACAGTGTTTCACTGTTACTGTATGCACAAGACATGGTAATTAAATTTGCTAACAAACACACGATTTTATTAGCAATTCTTTAAAAAATGTCAACATAGGTTAGAAAATGTAGGGTTAATTTTTCAACACTAATTATGTTTCATTTTGACATTTTGTTGTTATTAAAATTAGGAATAAACTAATTACATAACAAATAAACTTTATTCTATAGAATTCTTTTTCTTCTTCGATCTTTACTTTCACTTTTATAATGCTATTGCATGCACGAGTAACTAAATAGCTTGCAGAATCTCCAAGTACTCGAAAGTCATGAGAGACATGCTTTTATAGATAACACAACTACAAGTTACTATTAAAGATATTACGAAAAACAGACTTACCCAAATCGTAGCTTTTTATCATGTAACATAATAGAAGCAGAAAAAGCGCTCGCATGTCTGGTTTATGTATAAAAAGGCAGGTTATAGAAATTCTTTTGAAAGTGAAAACTTATTAATCAAACTTCACTGTCACGAGACAAACTATAAAATAATTGCTGCTTTGGTTTTGTCTCCCTCTACTAGAACTACTTTTCTTTCTCCCTCCCCCCGGTCTGGCAAGGAGTGACAAAGTAGAAATTCACGATGGCGGAACAGAGTGGTGGATTATGTAAAAAAAGTCGTGCGTTTGCCGACAAATTAAACAAGTTAGATGATTTTTTGTTTGAAGTTTCCTCTCTTTAAATTCAATGTAAAATTATGAAAGATAATTGATGTGGGTTTAAACAATAATTTTCAGGAATTATTCCGCTGCACAAGCCAGAGAAGTGGCTGCCTCGACACTCGCGTTTACTCATCAAAGATCGAGTAGTTTTGGTTCTCAATGCAGCGTGGACAGTAGATCAAGTCAAGATACCATACAAGGAATGTCTAGTGGCACGGTAATTTTCTTTGTTTATATTTTTAGTGGTCTTATCATGTGGTTCCATATGATTGATTTGAACTGTTTTAGTCAATTTGTTATGGGCTATAGCTAAACATTTGTGGTCATGGCAGCTACTGACATAAGTGATTATTTTTTTTCATTCTTGATATTTCGTTGTTTAAAACTTCAGTCAAATGAATAGATGTAAAAATTACAATTGCTTGATTTTAAAATTTCTCTGCTCTTGACCAAATAAACTACTAGAAATGATATGCATCTGAGAAATTTCAAACTGATATGAGTTGGGCAATATCAACTTCTTAAACAGGTTTCTAAGCTTTGTAAATTAAATGAGTACCTGAGAGCAATAAAAGAGATCTCGGGTGCTATTACAATTTTGTGTAATACTTTTATGCATGCACATTTTGAATCTCGGGTGTGCAGTTTATAAACTTTCCAGTCTGGCTTTGACTCTTTTTATTAATGAAAGGTTTGAAAGGTTTTCATCTTGCTAGGCTTCCTAAAAACTTTATTTAGAAATGCGCTATGAGTTGTTGAATAATGTTTCTGTATATTTTTGTAAATGTACTTTGTAAATGTAATATGTTTGTAAATGTACAATTTACTTTAATGTTTCTGTAGTTATATTTTTCACTTTCGAATTATATGCATGAATTTAGGAAAGTGTGCCTTCACTTAACAGAGTAGTTTGTAGCATTGTTGTGATGTGTCATTTGCAGTTTCTCTACTATGTATATTCAGTTAAAGCAGTCAATTTAGTGGAGAAAGAGTGATTTTTGAATCACCCCTTACTCCTATGAATTGCATATCTTTAAAAACTTCAGCATCAAACATTACAAATAAAGTAAGTTCACAAATTTTTTGTTCAACTTAAAGAGCCTATATGAGGGTTCCGGAAATATCTTCCATAGATAGTTAAATTGGTTTTAAGAACTTTTGCATTATGTTTAATAGCTTGAAAATTTATGACAATGGGCTTTTTGAGCCTGAAAGTAGGCAACTCAGTACTGGAAGCCATGTAAAAAGAGGAACATGATCGTTTCTTAAAGCATAAACACCATTCAATATTGTGGTAAATACTGTATGAACAGTTGTACATTTTAAAAGGTTATTGTTTACTGTAAACCTTTATGAAAAAAGCTACATATGTCTTCAAGCCATGCCAGCACGAAGTCATCTACTTCTAGTCTCAGAAAGCACGTGAAGATAACCTTTTCGACCTATCAAATATATTGCAAATGTTCTTGAAATAGATTTAACTATCAAAATAAGTTATTCCTGACCTGATATATATTTAAGGAATGAAAAAATTAACGCGAGCAACGCGTATTAAAGCCATGCATTACAGTAACGTTTTAGAAAATATGCATTGACCTCAGGGCAAGATGTACGTACCTAGTTAGCCATCGAGGTACCATACGTACCATACGAGGTACCGTACCATTGTAAGGAAGTTATTCACTGCACTGTTTGTATGTAGCTATGTAGCTATATCTCTACGTACATACAAACAATGGCCAATCAATTATTAAACTTGTGGCCAATTTTTCTTATTAAAAATTCCTAAATTTTACAAAATTTTCATGCACTTGATTATCGTATAGTTTCAAATTGTCAGTGTGTCGTGGCTTCGTTAAAGCAATGGTTGTAGTCTTCTTCAGTTGTAAGGGAAGTTTCCAGCTTTAACTTCTTCCACGTATTCTCATTCAACGTGGTTATTTTAACGTGAAAAAGCTTCATGCTCTCTCCTAAGTCTCCTAAATCCTCTAAACTGAACTGTATGAGTCTCAACATAACTCGTTCAAGCTTTCTTTTTTCACCAAAGCTTTCTCACTCGAGCATTGTGGAACCTCTGGAGTTTGAGAAGTACATACTGGATAATCACCCGCTATCGGAAGATGATCCCGAGAGTAAATTGCTTGAGTTTCCTGATGATGATATAGAAGTGACTAAAATACCGCGACAGCATCGTACAGTACATCCGTATATTCCAAAAGATCCGGGGTGATTTTTATATAGATGCATTTGATAGTTTACTTTTAAAAATGTCATGTTGTGTACGGTGCTTGTATTTTGTACAATCATCATGTTACTTTTGTTGACTTTTTTTGAGAAACCGCTGACAAAAATGATTTTATTTTTATAACGAATTGAAGTTTTTTCGTATTTTAGAGCCGACTCAGATCCACTTGTTGTTGATTGTATGAAATTGTTTACATCTGATTGGCATGTCGTCAACAGGAGGTACACGCACACAAGTATTGAATATTAACGAAACTCCTCTCCACTATCAACATGTCCATACAATCATTTGATGTTTTGTTTGTTAAAGTATGTTTAAAGTGCCTATGAAACAAAAATTTTGCTACTCAAATTATATTTTCATTGAGCCGATATTTTATGATGACAGTGTACTTCTAGAACAGTGCATGCATCTTTCTTTTCATTCATGAAATATTGAAGTTTTTGTTAAGCTCAATTTGCCTCACTAGTGACTTCATATTGCATAGTGTTCGTTGAAAAGTTTCAATTATACTTAAGTTTCCTATCAACGTTTGGTTGAAATTACGAGGCAGCATTTTATATCATTAACTCTTCAAAATGAAGGGAACTTTGCTCGGTTAAAGCATATCAGCAAATACACCTGATAATTTTAGTTCTTATTATGCAATGTGACGTCACTGGTTGTATAAATCGAACATTACAAAAACCTCAACATCTTGTGTATTAATAAAGACACGCATAAACTGGTTTAGAAAGTCCATTTTCATTTTAAAAGTTCTGTTCAGTGATTGTATAATTTGAATAGCAAAGTTATACTTTCATAGGCATTTTAAATTGGGCGCGTTGGACCTTGTGAGTTTATGTTTTGACAAAAACATTAATGTATAACATTTGGTATACTTTGCTCATGTGTTAATTACTGCTGTAGCGGGGACTATGGCTATGTTAAACAAGATGTGTTCCAACAGTGGCATAGCCAGTATGTTCACTCACTGTAAAAACAACAGATTTATAAAAAAAAATCAATTGTAATGCTTTGAAGTTTACATAACAGGACCAAAACTTGCAGACTGGCTGGGCTACTCTGGACTTTTGCGACATTTTTTGAGAGCGAAAGTTGTCGATACGAAAGATGTTTTTAGTTACTTTATAATAAATCATTCAAACAAATGCATCTACCTGACATTCTTTAGGTATCAGTTTCGTAGCAAAGAGGAAGGAAAACCAGATTCAAGACGAAGAAGAGCCAGAACGCAGAGTTTTCTTCAAACTTTACCCAAGCATAATTATGAAGTTGACGAGGAAAGGACGCGAAACGAAAACGATTCGGTTGGTTTTGTTGAATAAATTTACGGTGAACAACATTAGAAATATTTTTAGTTGTCATTTTATTGCTTATTGACAAGAAAAGGCGCAGGTTTTTTCCGTTATTAAAGTACTACTTGCTTTATTTTTATGGTTTATTAGGTTGAATCATTTCAGAATGCCACCTGGGGCATGGGGCAGGTTGCACGAAGCCTAGCGTTATCCATTAGATAGTAATTTTTTCATACTTTTGAAAAAAGTAGTTATATTTTCTTTTCGATGGAGAAATTATGTTATTCTAGAACTGATATTGTATTTCATTTATTCACCAGTTCAAATCGTAGATTTTTCCATTTCAAGAGATTTTTGAAACGTTCAAAAATATGCTATTCTGTGGATAGCGCTATTCGACCTTCGTTCAAACGGCCCCAGGACTTTGAGGTCACTATAGATCTTTACTCTCTAGTTGTAAATAGATCTAATAGATCTGCATCGGTTCTACACTTTCTTTCGAGATTTAAATAAGTGTTTTATCTTTAAATTATGAGCAATTGTGTATCTTAATGTGATTTTACACAGTTGGACTCTCGTGGTGAAGGAAAAAAGACTTCTCCTGCTGACGAGCTGCCTAAAGGAACACTGGCTGCCAGGTATGTAATAATGGATTATATGTGTGATCAAAACTATCATTTTTATAATTTGATATGTAGGTTAGTATTGTTTCGTTAATATGTTAATTGGTCTTATACTAACAATGATAAGGTACGGACAGGGAGGAAGATTGGTAATAGGTGGTGGGTTTAATAGAAGTGTAGTATAAAGTAAATGGTTTGAACCCGGGATTATCGTGACATGTTTGTGGATGTAGATCATTCAGGTTAGTAGAGTCCTGAGAAGGACTGTTTTTGTTGATGTAGACTGATGTTGAACAACAGTCCTTCTCAGGACTCTACTAGAAGTGCAGTATGCCATATTAAGTTCTATTGAAATCCATTCGTTTCTATAGCTTATGCCTTCATGCATATATGCCTTCTCCCCCCACCAATTATCGATCTTCGTACGTCCATGGGTACGAATTATCGTAATTTCCGTAAATGCCACTTTTATTCTACAATTTTTACCTTATCGAAACAATAAGTTGAGTTTGATTTTTGTCATTTCTTATTTTAGCATTGTTGATCTCCAGACGTGTACGCCTGATGAATTACTTCCTGGGGTTTTAGATCATGTACCTATCGATGAAATTGATAAATCTAATGCGGACTACAGACAGTATGAAAGGATCCATTCGCTCTTTGCTGTATCTGTTGACGAAACGGTAAACATTTTAGACTATCAGTTGGCGAACAGGAACAGGCTTGTTCAAAACCTGTGCATTTTTCATTAACGGCCATTCAGAAGGAAGAATGGGCGCACAATGCTTGAATTGATTTAGGTTTAGTAGGCATACTACTAAACTTGTCTTTTTTCAATTAAAGAGTGCACTAAGGAATTAGTGGTAATGGAGGCATGGGGGCTTAGATAAACACCATGAATGATTATACTTTAAGAACTGTATTCACACAAAGTAAGACGCTTCAAAATTTTCACACACAAGAATCGATCTTTATTATGTGATAATACTGATTGAATGTTCTTCCATCTTAGAATGATTCAACCGTAAGACGTATTCCACCAGCCATTCCTCAACAGCATTTTGGTCAACGAATTCTTGTAAAATGTTTATCTTTGAAGTAGGTGTTTTTTGTTTTCAATTAGGCATTAAATGAATCGCGAGCTGTTTTATCGTTAGAATGATTAAGGGAATTGCTTTAATTTCCCTTCATTTAAAAAGATGTTTACTGTGTTTGAACTGTCTTATGCAAACTAAGGAGACCTTTGGGAGAACTCTAAAGCTGATCAGTGCAAGCCTGAGACTGAAGCTGGATAGTTGTACGTGCTCAATAATTCTCACAAACGTCTCCGAGGTTTCCATAAGCCAGTGCAAACACGAAAAACACCTTTTATTTCTTTTATAAAATAACAAACAACTGCGAAAACAGACGAATTAAAAGCAGGCAAATTAAAAACAAACGTTTTAATTTTTTCTTTATCATTTATTTATGATAGATTTGAAAATTGTTTTTGATTGTTTTAATTGGTTAGGCTCAGATCGGTTTTCACAGGGTAATGGAAACACAGCTACAGATCAATCAGCCCAAACGTTTTGTTGTTTATTTTTTATAATGTATTTGTGTTTAGATTGGATTTAGATATTGAACCATTATTTGCCAGCATGGCGTTGTATGATGGAAAAGTCAAAAGAAAGGTATAATTATTTATAGTTAATATTGTTTTATTATTAAATCTAGGATTAGGACATTGGTGTATTTCATACTTTTTACTAAAGACAAAATCAAAATGCTGTCATGTGTTACCCTGTTATCCATGATGATTTAAGACTAGTGATGTTATATGTTCATAAGTGTTCAGTTTTTATTGGATGGCCTGGTCTACTAGAAAACAACTGTGCCATCATTATCAACTTTCCGCCAACCCCCACACACACCTTCTAGAAAAGCAAGTCTGAATCTGTTTTGGATTATGTTTAGTGATTGTGTTATATTTGCAAACATGCGAAAAACGTTTTGTGTAGGAAAACTGTGCAAGTTGATTTATTTGAATTGCCTTTAGGTCTCTGAAAATTTTTATTTTGATATGAACAGCGATGAACAAAAACGAATGATTGCGAGACATAATCCCAAAGTGGATATCACGACCCTTAGTCGGGCAGCCATTTTTTCGATCACTTATCCGTCAAGTGACATTTTTCTTGTCATAAAACTTGAGAAAGTGTTTCAGCAAGGGGATATTTCTGACGCAGCTGAGCCATACATCAGAGAAAATGACCAATCAAAGGTATTTTCGTATAATATTTGATTATATGGCAGTGTGAAAAACATCTTTTCGACTTATGTATTAAAATCATGCTGTCTGATTCCGTATCCGCATTTAATATATGCTGGATTCCTTATTCGTGCATTTTGGATTTCACACTTTACTTTTGCTGGATTTAGTATTCCAGATTCCAGAAAAAAGGGATTTCAGATTCTACTTGTGTTTTCCCCATCCTATTACATAGGGCGAACGAATCCTTGACTGAGAGAGAATTGTTTGAAAATTTTCCATTTTTAATTAACATGATGTTGGGTTCATTATAGAACAAAGATAGACTTGCACTAAATGCAGCGGTCAACTGTGATCGATTGGGAAAATACCGAATGCCTTTTGCTTGGACTGCAATCCACCTGACCGATATTATTAATGGTGTGTCTCAAAGTGATCCTAGCGCAGCCACTTCGAACGAAAAAGACACTTTGAGCGGAGGAACATCATCTTCAATGAGAAAGGTAGAAGATCTTTACCTTTAGAAGATCAATAAGATCTGTCTATTTATATACTTCTTCTATACTAACTGTTATCGAATCCGTATGTTCATTTTTCTATGTGTTCATCGATCTTTCCGTTTTGTTGATTTTATACGTACTTGCAAGGCGTGAAATAACGAGAGTACTGGTCAGATAACCGGATAATCTAGTTTTTGCTCTAATATCCCGTTTTCTTAGTTGAAAATTTAGTAGTGGACCTATATTTTTGCAGCCGACTCTCTGTAACGAAAGTTTCGCCAGACATATGCTTATCGTGGCTGGACATTGTCCGTTGACTTGTAGTTATTTCACGACTTGCGTACTTTTAATTTCTTATAACTCTCATGTATTACTTCATGTAAGTGTACTTAGTCATCTTAGTTTGTCTCAACTTCATTTGTGTGATTTTGAATTATGAAATTGGATTTTTATACATTGGGCACCTAAGTGTATAATTATGAAATTGGATTTCTATTGATTGGTATCTAGGTATGTAACTATGAAAATGGGTTAGTATACATGGGTATATAGGTATGTAACTATGAAATTGGGTTAGTATACATGGGTATATAGGTATATAAGTAGATATGTGCAACAATGTATACAATCCTGATTTTATAATTCAACATCCCACAAATGGTGTTGAGAAAATAATTACGTTGAATGAAGTAGCAAACAAGAGTTTGTTAATCAAAATATAACGGAATCCCCTTCTACTAGTACATATATATGATTATATACATAGAATAGTCCTACGGAATCCCCTTCTACTCCTACATACACGAAGAAAGAGAAAACTGACTCGTTACCTCGACGAAGTAACTCAATGAGTAGTCAACGTCGTTCTATGTATGGTGACCTTGACGATATTCCCGTAGATTTATCAAGCTTTCGACCTGTTACGTTAACTGTTAGGAGTTTCTTCAAACAGGTGCTGTATTTTATAAAGACTGTTTTTCTTTCTTAGTCTTCAACATATAAATATTATGTTCAATTGTGAAGTTTAATATAGGCAAGAAAAATGTACAATGTGCAAATAGCTATTCAAATTAAGATGGCAGTCTATAATTATTTTTTTATACATTATTCCATTCTGTTTTACGGGTTCCTTTGTTGACAGGAACCGGATAAATTAAAAGATGACGATTTGCTAAAATTCTTAGCGGACTTAAGACGTCCATCGTCTTTACTCAAACGTCTGAAAAATATTTCAGGTATTGCATTTATACTTATTCAATTATAAATCTTGTTTTTACGAGCATATTTATGTGAAATGATCTTGTTTAGTTGAGTGGATTGTCCTATGTTTACTCTGTGTTACCTGTAGTGTCATGTGTTTGCTCTTTGTTCCTTGGAGGGCCTTATGTTTACTATGTGTTACCTGTAGTTTCCTGTGTTACCTGTAGTGTCTTGTGTTTACTCTATGTTACCTGTAGTGTATTATGTTTACTATGTGTTACCTGTAGTGTCCTGTGTTTATCTGTAGTGTCCTGTGTTTACTCTATGTTACTTGTAGTGTCTTATGTTTAATATGTGTTACCTGTAGTGTCCTGTGTTAATTCTGTGTTACCTGTAGTGTCTTACGTTTAATCTGTGTTACCTGTAGTGCCTTGTGTTTACTCTGTGGTACCTGTTGTGTTCTGTGTTTACTCTTTGTTTCATTTAGTTTCCCAGGTTTACTCTGTGTTACATTTAATTTCTTAGGTTTACTCTGTGTTACATTTTGTTTCCTAGGTTTACTCTGTGATACATTAAGTATCCTAGGCTTACTCTGTGTTACATTTAGTTTCCTAGGTTTACTCTGTGTTACCTGTAGTGCCCTGTGTTTACTCTGTGTTATCTGTAGTGTCCAAAATTTACTCTTTACCCCCTTTAGTTTTCTGTGTTTGTTTGATTTTTGTACATAATGATTTGAAATGAGCATTTTAATTCAGTTTGCCTGAAGTTTTTATTAAGAATCCACATTTTATTCTGTAGGGCGTCTAAAGCTTGACATTTCGCCTCCTGGAGAAAAACCTCCATATTGTTTGACGTCCGAGTTACAACAGGTAGTGTTAATTGTTGACCTACGTGTAGGTGTAATTTTTTGGTGAGCAGTACATATTTGGACAACTGGTTGCTACAGGTTGTTCCAATTGTTCGTTTTTACGTCACGTTAGCATTCCCATAAATACTAATGCATTATCTTAATTGTTGGTTGTAATTCACTGTTCTAATTTGTTGTGTTTCTTTCTTATGCAGAATTTTGACATTTGAAAACAGAAATCATATTTTTTTTTCACTACAATTGCGACAATCCAATTTTAATGAAAACCGAATCTCAACAACAAATAAATTTCGTTGTGTTACAACAAAATCATATAATGTTGAAATACGACATTTTAAACAGGTTACAACAACTGGTCTATTTTTGTAGATATATCCTTATCAAGATGGACATGTCCGGCCATTTAAAGAAGTTGAAGAATTCGTTCCGAAAGAAGTTTATGTTCCACATATATCATATAAGTAAGAGTCAAGACGTTTAAAACTATATTTACAACTTTCTACTATGCCTCAAGCACTCCAACCCGAATTCGGGGTTTTTTCGTACAAAATGGTTACGACACGAGCCCGCGTTCGGAAATCTTTTTTGAAATCTGTCTAGACTAATTTATATGTTGGTTTTTTGGTTTATAACCAAAGCTCGTGTGGCAAGACCTATCTTGGCAATTGACCTACTGCGTTTCATGTGGTAGCAGGGTTGACGTCCCAGATCATTGTATAGTTCAGTGTACAATTCAATGTGTTGGCTAAATTTGCATAGCAAGATTGCTATCACCAAGGAATCTATCTTGATATGATTGTGGCATTAAATTTTATTTGGTTGTTTTATGTAAAGATTTTTTTATTTTTGCCCAGTTAACATCTCTCATTGGCTTGTATAATTTTTTCTTTTGATAGAAACCTTCTATTTGTTTACCCGATGAGCGTCAATTTTTCAAGTAGATCTGGTTCTGTAAGAAACATTGCCGTCAAAGTTCAGTTTCTCTTTGGGGAAAATTCAAAAACTGGTCCACTAGAGGTTTGTCATGGTTTCTAAACTAGAGTTCAACAAACCGACTTCAATTACCAGTTTATACCACAATTCTTTATCCTGATCACTGATATGTATAAGAACTGGATAACGCAACTTAGTTCTTGACTTGAAGCCGGGGGGCGGCCATATTGGACTATACACTTTTTCAGTGCGTTATATTACTTTTTATTTAACGAAATCCTACTCTCGCATTTATTTTGGATCATATGTTTTACTCTTGAGATAAACATATGACATGACTGTAATAGAGCGGTTTTAAGCAAAAACTCATGTTCTCTAAATTTCTTATGGAAATCTTCTCACGTTGTTTAAATATCATTATAAGCGATTTGGCACGATTTCGGAAGTATAAAATAACGAAAATACAAATTACGCGAAAAATTCATTATAAAATATATATTACAAGTGACAGTCCAATATGGCCGCCGCTGTCAAAAGTTGGCTTCAAGATTTTCTATGGTTAGCACTATTTTCCACCCAGCAAACCGCCCTTTACTTTGAAATATAATATTTTACACAATATAATATTTTACACAATCTAATATTTTACACAATATAATATTTTATGTAATATTTTACACAATCGTCGAAAAACGACATTTTTTCCAGCCTGGATTATAAGTTTATAACTTAAGGTGGTTGCATGAAAATTTAAACTGTAACATTTATCTGTAAATATTTTCATATGTTGATATTAAAAACTGTATTATAAAAATATAAAATTACTCGCCATCTCAAAACGACCTAGCACCAGTGCATGCATGGTTTCCTCTTAGCTTTTGGTTCTTTCCCATTAGCCGCCATCTTAAATTTATTTCCGATTGTGTAAAGTAAAGGGCGGTTTGCTGGGTGGAAAATAGTGCTAACCATTTTCTATGCACCAGAATTAGGTTACATTATCCAGTCTTTATACATATCAGTGATCCTGATCGAGTGAATTTTTAATTTATTCAAGCTCACGTGTTGTCACATCTTGGTGCAAAATTATCCACAAATTTTATCATCTAAATTGACTTTCATTTATCGAATGTGATTTTTCATGTGAGTGATTTTATTTCAGTGTATCTTTGGCAAGTCAAGTTGTGCATCCTTGTCAAAAGCAGCGTGGACTTCGGTCACCTATCATAATAAGTAAGTTTTCGTCACTCTTTATATTACAATATCTTTCTTTGTGGTTGTTTTTGTAATAAAAGTCAACGGTATACCGGGTAATATAGTTCGTTTGATATATATAGCATACGTTTTGAGGGCTTTTGAATTATTTTTTAGAATCCCAGATTTCAATGAAGAAATAAAGATTAAGCTTCCAGCTCATTTGACAGAACAACATCATTTGTTATTTACTTTCTATCACATCAGCTGTTCGACAAAAAAAGATGATAATGGTCCTATTGAAACGCCTGTTGGATATACTGTGAGTTTTTTATGTTAGTAAATATAAATCATTTTGCAAGTATAAAACTTATCGAGTTGAGAAATCCGAATGATGGCATCGTGGCCGTTTCCATAAACAGACTAACTTTTGGTAGCCAGCTATGTCTATTTTGTTTATGTGTGTATATCCGGGTACCCATGTACCACCCATGACGTAGTTTTCCTATGAATGTGGTGTGAAATGAAGGTTTAAAGTTGAACACTCAATATTGTTGCCTGTGGGGTGCCAGGCGGGAATCGAATTTTAATATAAAGTAAGAGTCCAATAGATCGTTTTCGAAAAAAAAGCCATAACCAGTTTGATTTTATAGTATTTATTAAAAGAAAGCAAGTGACGTTTCGTCGTGACTCAAGACATCTTCAGACTAATTACAGAGAATGTGTTTCTTTATGACAAATAAATATTTAGTTATTTCAGAGGCAGGAGTGTATTGCCAAAATTTTGGCACGGGGGGCTTGATTTGATAAATCAAAATCTCGCAGGGGAAGAAATCATGAACTTAGTAGAAAGTAGAATTTTAAACAAACGGAAAACGTGCTGTTTGTATAAGCGGTTAAAATAAACTGTCAGAAACTACTTCATGTTATACGTAGTAATCTAATAGCTTGCATTTACTGCTACGTATAGGAATGATTAAGCGTGTAAAATCACAAAATTATTTATGTATGGAGGTGAATGATTTAAATATATGCTTTACAATTTGAAATCATGCAATGTTGAAGAATTATAAGGGGAGGGTGAACCCCCCCTAACTTGATAAAGAATTTTATCGAGGAACACTGTGCCCCCTGTGCCCTCCCTCCAATACACCCCTGGTCAGAGGTATCACATTACTATGAATGAGCAAGTGCGATGTGAAGTATTGCTGAAGGGAGTGTTAAACCAAAAAAGCTTGAGAGTGATAGAGCTGCCTAAGGCGGAAGTAATAGGATGGAGCTTAAAGGCAGTCCCTTCCTATCCGTGGAAAACGGTGTACTAACCATTTAATGTCAATCGTTTTTTCTCTTACTAATTACTCTAACCACCGTGCTTCTCCAGACATTTTAAAATCATCTTATATGGCACCCATTTAAACTCATGATTCACGTCTTGTCTAAAGTAAAGGATAACTTAATGCCTTTGGCAGCTCCATCGCCCAAGGGGAAACGTTTCTTGCTTTCTTTTAATAAATATCTTCAAATAAACCGCTTATTGCTTTTTTGTAAACGATCTGTTAGGCTTTAATCTTTATATTGAACACTCCAACTGATCACACAAATGTTGTTCTGCGTACTTATTAGATTTCTGTGTGTATATATCGACATGTATTTTATTTTAAGCATCATTCTTTTGTCATTTTAAATAGTGGCTACCTATATTGAAAGATGGTCAGCTAAACTTAGGAGAGTTTGATTTACCAGTTTGTGTTGATCAGCTGCACCAAAGCTACAGCATGTATTCACCTGAGGTTTGTAAAACAAGTATTATATTTCAATGCAGTAGGTAAAAGCTGATTTACAGAAATGATTTATATTTGCCCCATTTGTTATTTTTTTCTTTATTCTTGTCATTTTTCAATATTGTGTCAAATTCGTTACAAATGCTGTATTCATGTATTTTTAATTTCATTTAGATGGATATTCCTGGTCTAAAATGGGTTGATAATCGTAGAGGTGTATTTAACATTGCAGTTCGAGCAATATCCTCCGTGCATACTCAGGTAAATCTTTATTTTGACTCGTACATTTCATATCTACCGTCAATAAAGTTACTTTTGATATTTAACAATTATTGGATGAGGCCACTAACTGACATTGTAACCCTTTCAGTGTTTTTTACTTCTTTATTCTCGATAATTCGAATGAAAACAGTTTGTTCATGAAATGTTAGAAAATCTCGAGCAAGATGTTGTTTACATTGCTCGCATCAAAAATTACGTCACCTACTGATGATTTTCAATTTTTTAGTAGGCTCTTAGCCAATCACAATCGAAATCGCACGATTATTGCATAATAATAAACAATTATTGACGAGGTTGAAGAATTATTCAAACCGAGGTCAATGCTTTCCGCCACAGCTTCGCTTCGGCCCGAGATCTGAATAATTCTTCATATCACGCTGAAGCTGAATTCAATAATATTGTTTTATTATTCACTTCAACTAACTGAAATATTATTAAAATTTTTCGCCAAATTGTCCATGTCAGACGGTTTGTTCAAGTTCTTCTGCTTTAAATATGTTGTAAATAGGTTCAAAGCCAGCTTCACCGCTTTTTTAGTATTTTTCACAGCCATTTTGTTCAAAAACGTTTTGCATATCGTTGTTAAAAACTGTGGCAATCATCGCTATTTTTACTTTTCTCAAAACCGGCTTTTAATGGCGTCGATAATTGTAGAAACTATTGTTTGTGGATATGATGTCATACTTACAGACATCTAGAATTATTTGTAAATATGACGTCAGAATTACAGATATCGAGAATTATTTGCAGGTAGTTGACCAATCAAAATCGACATTGTTTACATAGGGAATAATAATTAATGTTTTAGGGTATATTCATTCATCGATTCTTAAAGTACTGTCATCAGATTCAAAAACGCACTTCACCAGCTTCTCCCGGGCGCTCACAAGATGGAAATCTTGAGAAAAATCTCAAGATTGGTGTTTTAAATTTGTGTAATACATCAGATGAACCACTGGTACATTTCCTTCCGATCATTTTAGAGAAACTTATTGTCTTGCTTGTACGACCGCCCTCAGTTGGTGGTCATGTTGGTATGTTACAAGTCATAACACTTATCTTAGTATATTTTGTAGCTGTAGAAATCACAATGAGATCATCCGTTACGAGTTTTAGAACGAGTTTTATGTTGCAAAAACAAGATCACATTCATCGACACTAGTTTGATTTCATAACAGCAAAACGTGTTTTCCCTTGGTAGATGTATTGCAATCTTAGCGGTGCAGTTTTATTCTTTGTTAACCATGGAAAATCAACCTACTCACTTTCTCTTAAATAAGAAAATTCAAATATCACGCATGTTTGTAGATATTGCTGTGAATAGCATGTTTGTCTTGATCTTCTAAAAGAACTGTTGAAAAACCAAAATAAAGGCAGCTACTTTAGTAGACCAGAGTAGATGACTGTGCTCATTCAGTTTTTTCCTTTTTTTTCTCTAGTAAACATTGGGCAGTCGGCTTTTCAATCTCTGGCCAATATTGTCGAAAGAATTCACCGTCTTTTAAATAACCATGTTGACAGCCATGGTCGGAGCTCTTTGTTACTGTCTTTCGTTACCTACATATTTAGTGCACCATTTTCGACTTCTCGTTCATCGTCTTACTCCGACACCTACAAAGGTGAGGCTATCTTCCACCATTTACGGTTTATGAATTTGCTTTTTGTTTGCTGTTACGAAAAATATATAAATGCCAATGTATTTTGAATTCACCTATGCACTTCTTCATGTCCACATATTTTATATGATTTCGTAGTAAGTGGAATGTCGAGAGGGGCCTGGGAAATAAATTCAGTCGTGAGGAACGCATCCCCTATTTTTAGTGTATGGCTTTCATTGTAAAGTAAATGGTTTGAACCTGGGAGTATCGTTACATGTGTGTAAATGTAGATAGTCCAGGTTAATATAGTCCTGAGAATAACAGTTGGTGTTGTTGTTGACTGACGTTTCGACAACCTTAGCGGTGGTCATCAACCTTAGCGGAGTCAAATGAGGAGTAAACGTCAGGTTAGCCGTATTTGTTATCTGGTTCTTACGTCATCCTTGCAGCGGTGGTTGAACCAGAGTTCTTGGCGTATGCGTCTGACGTTGCTTGCAAAACGTATGTAGTCGTTAGCAAGTTGTTCGCTCTGTCGTCCAAATGATCGCAATCCATTGTGTTAAGAGACAAAAATCCAGAGGAGTCATACATAGTGTAAAGCTTCCGGGGGTTGAGTGTGATTTATGTTCTGTGTGATTTAATGTAGGTACTAGTTATTCAATGTATTTAAGGTTTATGAAACAGTTTAGTTGTCCTATGTAGACATTTCTTATATTTAAAAATTCTTTGGATATTTTGCCAAGATCACTAAGATGTGAGAAATCATTCACTTTATTGTAAATTTTGCTGCATTTTAATGTTGGTTGTTTAAAGGATGTTACTCCGGAACACTTGATTCTTTCTCATACTGAGTTATATATGAAACCAAAGGTCAGTCCACGAATCTAAGACAAACACAATCATTGTATAATTTCAAAATTTACATGAGAAAGTAAATATTTTAAATTCAAAATCATTGTGAGCGGCGCTATGATCGTCATTATGTTAACGCTTTCCCCGTCTGGGAAGCGCGAAATTTTATATCAACGGTGTTTTCTAAATCGTGGACAACAAGACAATAATTGGTTCTGTAGACTATAACTTTTTTCATATTATTTGCCGTGAAGTCATTGGCTATTCACCTCATGATACATGAATCGAAACTAAATGGAAGTTAATGAAGAAATGAAATAAATGTATGGAACATTTTATGGTTAATTCAAATAACTAGTCAGAAGGAGTTGTTGTTTTTGTAAGGAATTTCATTAACTGTTTTACACTTTAAAACATAAAAATATATGCATAGCATGACTAACACATCGGACTGTCTGATGAATTACTGCCTAAGAGTGACACCATTCTTTTGAAGACCTTTGTCAACATACACATCTCTATTTCAAAAGCATTTCGTGCCTTTAAATTTATCTTAAGTAATTATACAGTTCTTGGTTATCATTAGTCAATGTAGAGTCTGTTGCTGCTACAAGTTTGTTAATGCTTTTGTAACCTTGAATGCTGCTCTTGAATCGCATCTTACTTCACGTAATTTATGTGTTCATGACAGATGAACGTCCAATAAGCATGCAAGTATCACGTGAAGAATGGTTGAAAACAAGAAGGCATAGCAATAGTAATCCCTCGTTGAATGCTGTATCTGACCTGCTTTCACCAACGCGTGGTCTGGATAGGAACTCGGAAGACTGGAAACTCGGTCAAATAAGTAAAGAACCTGGTAATCGAAGTAGTATGGCTGAGTCAAAGGCCGGTCATATGAAATTGCCAATAGCACCTGCGAATAAAAAGGTACGCGTGTTAAAAACACTTGAAACACTAATTTTCACTTCGCCGTGAACGTGTAAAAAAATGGGATAAGTCATCACTATTTCAGCTGGTTGTATTTTAGGTATGGTGAAGACCATCGTAAATATATTATAGAAAATGAATCTGTGTTGTAGTGTTTTTTTCAGAATCGCATCACTCTATGTACTTTTGTCTTTGGTTTGCGTATGGTATGTGTAATATTATTTTTATATTCTAGCTTGTTCACGAAGAAATTGCTCTGCAGTGGACTGTTGCAACTGGGGATGTGCGACATAAGACTCTTGCCCATGCTTGGTTTTTTTTCGAATTGATGGTCAGTAGCATATATTGACAAGCTAATTTCTTTTTCAAACGGATGGATTAATGAGGCAGCAGCAATAAGGATGAAAAGCCTGCTCGATTTAAGGGTTGTTCCAGCATTTGTGAATGACATTGGCGTGTATGTGAAATGAATGTCGTTAGCGTGTAGGTTAATTGAATGATGTTGGTTGGTGTGTATCTAAAATAAATGTCGTTAGTGTGTATCTAAAATAAATGTTGTTAGTGTTAATATGATATGAATGTCGTTGTAGTGTATGCGAAATAAATTATGTTGGTGTGTATCTTAAATTAATGACTTTATAGTATATAGGTGAAAAAGAATGTCGTTATTGGGTGTCTAAAATAAATGTTGTTAGTGTATATCTGGGTAATTTAAGTTATACAGGAGTAACTTAAAAAGCCAAGCACCCATAATCTACTATCAGGTCGCTAACTGTTGCATTTAAGATACAGTTGAAAGTCTCCCAATAATGTTTGTATGAAGACAATTGTTAAACTAGCACAGGTTTTGACAGTACATGAACTAAAACGTTAACGTCATGCCTCATATTATTATTGAAATCTTATCTGGGAAAAATCGAAATGACGAATTGTCTTCATATGTAACTTCCTTACGAAAAAACTCATGTTAGTTCAATTCTTAACATTTTTCTTGTGTCCTTAGGTAAAAAGTATGGCTCAATACCTGGACAACATTGATAAGTTCTACTTTTCAAGAAGTGCCCGTTTTCCAAGGCAGTTTATGGATGACGTAGCAGCTCTACTTGACATGGTTACTAAAGAGATAATCGAAATGTTCAGTCAGGTTTGGAAAATTCGTATTGCTTTTGTGGCAAGGTTGCGTCTTGACAAAGCTGCAAAAAAGGATGTTTTTTCGAACTTGCATCACTAGCTGTAAATATTTTTACTCAAATTATGTAGTTGTATTAAGAATGTAACGTGTTCATTTTAACTTTGCAGAACCCTTCGTTAGCTAAAGCTTTAAACTCATATTTGTCGTTTTTCTTTTACGACATATTGTCTCTAATGGACCGTGGATATGTTTTAAAGTTATTGAAGCAATATTATTCCGAGGTTTGAACAAAGAAAACTATTTGTTTAATAATGTAACTGTTCATCTCATATACAGTCTCGCATTTTGCTAAATTTTGCGTTTGTCTCAAAAGTGTCTATACAGAATCTCGTATTGTTTATAGATCATGACTGCAACGGTCCAAAAACCTGGTTTGGCCGAACTTCGACTCGACGCCTTGCGCATAATTTGCAGTCATGAGCATTACGTTACATTAAATCTTCCTTTCAAGATGCCCTTGTTTCCATCACCTCAGATATCTCCTTCGCCATCATTAGTGTCAATTGAATCAAGTGCCTCGTCAATGATGACATCCTCGATGCCGCCAAGTATGGCTGAACTTTCTAAAAATTTTCGTCGTCAACATTTCTTGTCTGGGCTTTTATTGTCCGAGCTTTCACTTGCCTTGGAAGGAAGGTATATAAAAGAGTTCACACTTTTCTTTGTGTCGTATCCGAAATCATGAAATTCATCTTTATTTTTAGTGAGGCAGCTATTCAAGATCAAGCTATTCAATGTATTGCAGACTTGATAAAATGCCATGATGCCGATACGCGATATGACGAAATCTCATGCAGAGCCCGCGTTGCATCGTTATATCTTCCGATTTTGGGCATTGTCATTGAAAACGTCTCTTTATTACACGGTGCACCTATGGAAGACAACAATGGCGAACTGAGCATATCTGTTCCAAATGCCATAGCGACATCTACTCTCACATCTCGATGGGGTTCTCATGGTGATGATCTAGGCAGAGATTATTCAAGTCAGGTGTGATTCAGTCGACTTGCTTGTATTGCTAATTCGTAGAAGTACGTTCACTTGGTATTCCCTTCTTTTCTATGGACTTTCCATTTACAATCTACGCATTTTTGTTCTTGAATATTTAACTATTTTCCATCTTGTATCGTGAAAGCTTTATATATTCTTGTTTTCAACGCTTTTGCAATATAAACGACAACGAACAGAATCTTAATCATAAAGCTACCTATAAAGTAATTATGTTTGAACCGGGGGTATCGTTACATGTTTGTAGATGTAGATAGTCCAGGTTAGTAGAGTCCTGAGAAGGACAGTTGGTGTTGATGTTGACCGACGTTTCGAGAACCTTTGCTGTAGTCATCTTCAGAGTCAAAAATGCAGATATAAATGACAACCGCTTGGGTTGTCGAAACGTCAGTCAACATCAACCCCAACAGTCCTTCTCGGGACTTTACTAACCTGGACGATCTACATCTACAAATACGTAAAGCTAACTATATCGCATCTTCATTACAGGAGTTGTTATTTTCTCGTTTAGCGTGTATTTTTATCTCGTAGAAATCTCAACAGCCGAGTTTGAGTTCTGATTCGACGCGTAAGTTGCTCTTATGTTTCCTTTGGGTCATCAAAAACGAAGATACAACAGTCTTAAAGGAATGGTGGGCGAGGCAACCATCTTCAACGTATGTACAATGTGCTTTTCTAAATTATTGTACATTTTTGTTCCACCTTGTATGACTGTTAATCTACTTTTTTCCATAGAATCTGTCGACTTTTGGATGTTCTCTATATATGCGCTTTGCAGTTCAAGTACAAAGTCATCCAATCATCAGAAACTAAAGTAAATGTTGTCCAATCAAAACCAGACGGTTCGTCAGCGAAAGCAAAATTGGAGGAAGCGATTCTTGCCAAAGGCGCTGCACGTGAAATGATGGCACGACACAGGGAGAGTAGATTTGTTACAGGTGAGTGTATGAAATATTTCACAATTATGAATAAACACAGGGAGAGTAGATTTGTTACAGGTGAGTGTATGAAATATTTCACAATTATGAATAAACACAGGGAGAGTAGATTTGTTACAGGTGAGTGTATGGAATATTTCACAATTATGAGTAAACACAGGAGAGTAGATTTGTTACAGGTGAGTGTATGGAATATTTCACAATTATGAGTAAACACAGGGAGAGTAGATTTGTTACAGGTGAGTGTATGGAATATTTCACAATTATGAATAAACACAGGAGAGTAGATTTGTTACAGAGTGTATGGAATATTTCACAATTATGAGTAAACACAGGGAGAGTAGATTTGTTACAGGTGAGTGTATGGAATATTTCACAATTATGAATAAACACAGGGAGAGTAGATTTGTTACAGGTGAGTGTATGAAATATTTCACAATTATGAGTAAACACAGGGAGAGTAGATTTGTTACAGGTGAGTGTATGGAATATTTCACAATTATGAATAAACACAGGAGAGTAGATTTGTTACAGGTGAGTGTATGGAATATTTCACAATTATGAGTAAACACAGGAGAGTAGATTTGTTACAGGTGAGTAATGAAATATTTCACAATTATGAATAAACACAGGGAGAGGATTTGTTACAGGTGAGTGTATGAAATATTCACAATTATGAGTAAACACAGGAGAGTAGATTTGTTACAGGTGAGTGTATGGAATATTTCACAATTATGAATAAACACAGGAGAGTAGATTTGTTACAGGTGAGTGTATGGAATATTTCACAATTATGAATAAACACAGGAGAGTAGATTTGTTACAGGTGAGTGTATGAAATATTTCACAATTATGAGTAAACACAGGAGAGTAGATTTGTTACAGGTGAGTGTATGGAATATTTCACATTATGAATAAACACAGGGAGAGTAGATTTGTTACAGGTGAGTGTATGGAATATCACATTATGAATAAACACAGGGAGAGTAGATTTGTTACAGGTGAGTGTATGAAATATTTCGCAATTATGAATAAACACAGGAGTAGATTTGTTACAGGTGAGTGTATGGAATATTTCACAATGAATAAACACAGGAGAGTAGATTTGTTACAGGTGAGTGTATGGAATATTTCACAATTATGAATAAACACAGGGAGAGTAGATTTGTTACAGGTGAGTGTATGAAATATTTCACAATTATGAATAAACACAGGAGAGTAGATTTGTTACAGGTGAGTGTATGGAATATTTCACAATTATGAATAAACACAGGAGAGTGGATTTGTTACAGGTGAGTGTATGAAATATTTCACAATTATGAATAAACACAGGAGTAGATTTGTTACAGGTGAGTGTATGGAATATTTCACAATTATGAATAAACACAGGGAGAGTAGATTTGTTACAGGTGAGTGTATGAAATATTTCACAATTATGAATAAACACAGGGAGAGTAGATTTGTTACAGGTGAGTGTATGGAATATTTCACAATTATGAATAAACACAGGAGAGTAGATTTGTTACAGGTGAGTGTATGAAATATTTCACAATTATGAATAAACACAGGAGAGTAGATTTGTTACAGATGAGTGTATGGAATATTTCACATTATGAATAAACACAGGAGAGTAGATTTGTTACAGGTGAGTGTATGAAATATTTCACAATTATGAATAAACACAGGGAGAGTAGATTTGTTACAGGTGAGTGTATGAAATATTTTACAATTATGAATAAACACAGGTAGAGTAGATTTGTTACAGGTGAATGTATGGAATATTTCACAATTATGAATAAAAAATTATTGGATGCGGCTAAGCATGATATCCAGAATTATCTAGTCAGATGCTGGTGTTATCATCGGGAGCCTGAAACAGATAACGCTAACTGATGCTTTCATAATTTAATAAATCATGCGAAACTGAAGTCAATAATTTTTATCATTCACCTAAACTAACGGCAATAGAAATAAACCATTTCTATACTATACTTCAGCTAATGTGTCCATTTCAGATGGTTCATTCAATTTCTTACAATTATAGAAACTCTTATTTAAATATAGACGTCATACTTACATAAAATACCATGAATTATTTGTAAATAGACGTTGTATTACAAAAGTCAGAATTATATATAATGAATCAGAATATTGTAACTTAATTGCTTATTTTTAGCATTATAAATATTTGAATCATTGAACTGAGTCTTTGAGGCATACTACCCTTTTTAAACCAGTTTCTTCAAAATTTCCAACATTTTTCTTTCTTCTCGTTGTTTTCTAGACAAAGCACCAGGTTTATCTGCCACCGGGGAAGCAAAGTTACGTTGGCAAAAGGACAAAACGCAATATAAACAAGCAAAACAATTAGAAAGGTAAATTGTTTACGGATTTCTTTATTACTACATGAAAATTTTAGCTGTGATAAGAATTTCGGCTACCTATAAAGGAATTACTACTGATAGGTTTTGTTTTTATTGAAAGATATCGTATATAAGTTGTGTTCAATTGAATTCTTGGTGTCGTCTACGAAGTCTGAAATAAATACCACACAAAAAGAGAAGTGCTCTACCCCTTAGATAAATTATTGTAAGTGCTAGTTGAGCCTGACTCTTATAGCCTATTGCGATTGCCCTGTTTTGGTAAGATAATCTGGGCAATTTAACACGATGACGGTAACCAATAAGTGATTGGATAGTGTGAGAGACTGATGATACTAATTTTTAATGCTAATTCTTAAATTGGGTATTTTTGAATTCAAGAGACGATACCTCCTTTTTTATACCACGAGTGATCTCGTTCTTCACATGGCAGTTAGCAAATTACCATACATCTAATTAGTGCTGTGTTTAATTAACTGGGATTCATTATTTTAAAATTTAGTAAAAGGGGGAGGGGGGATATTCTGTTCCCATTGCGTTTGTTTTAATGTATTATGATTGCAATCATTGTTTATTACACTATTTTCATGTATACATGCAAACAAGTTAACTAACGTTAATAAGAAGGGAAGTCTTTGTTGAAAAGGAAACTTAGTCTTATTCATAAGATATTTGTTGTTAATTCCTACTTAAAACACGCTTATTTTGAAGACATGATCCCGAGATGGAAATCAAAAATAAATTTCTTGGATGTCTATCTGGTGAAATAGCAATGATAATTTTGGATACTCTGGAGTGGATAGTTCAGGTATGTTTGAAGCAAATACTGCATTGCATGTGTTTAAGTTTTCTGTTTGACAAACCAAACTGCATTTCCTTGAAGTAAGGTTCGTTGAGTATGTCTGTAACAGGAGCAGGAATCACGGCTTTCAGCTTTGAAAACCTTTCTTGGATGCTTTTATGAATTACTTTTGCTTCTTTATTAATATTGACGAATTGTTTTTGCAAGCGTAACATTCAAACATCTTAAATCTAATCTGTGCACATCTGCATGTATATTATAGTTTACATATTTATACAATTTGTATTTTAGATCTCCATATCTTCGGATCATTCTCATACTATTCTCTCTGGTGTGCTAAAAGTTTTACTGCACTGCTTGAACTTTCCCCTAAGTGAGCGTGTCTTACAAAGTATATTTCCCACGCAACGTTCAATTGTCGCAAAGGTTTGTTTATCACTCATGATAAAAGGGAAAATGAGTGAAAATGAAAATCGTCACGAATAATTTCTATAATGTTTTTTCCTAGTACCCTGAGCTGTTATTTGAAGACGACACAGAGCTGATATCCGATCTATGTTCGCGACTGCTTCATCATTGTAGTTCATCATTGGCAAACATCAGAACTCAAGCGAGTGCATCCTTGTATTTACTTATGAGGCAAAACTATCAAATTGGAAATGTGCGTTCAAAACATCCGTAAAACTTTTGTGAATACTAAAATATTTTTCCCATCATTTGCGAGAGCCCCCGCACCTCCTGTATAATTCATCAAGGACACAGACTAGTGCAGTATGGAGCTTTCTTATTTACCACTTTGTGTTGTGGTTATATTTTCCTTTTGCCTAACATGCGAGATGGATGAAAATTTACTATTCAAATAAGACGAGTAATACTTCATTTAGTGTGAGAATACCCAACAGTTACGTATATTTATTTATCTCTATATCAGAACTCATTTGCCATACTTCATGCAAAGAGAGCGTATAGTCAATTTTTTATTTTTTCATTCTTACATACTTTAATGTCAATAAGCTTTTTTGGAACTCAGCAACTTCATATAGATCCTTCAATTGTATTCGTGTTTGACTTCATCAATCTTCAAGTTTATTTTATTTATTTTAGAACTTTTCTCGTGTAAAAATGCAAGTTACTTTATCGCTTTCATCTCTTGTGGGCACTCCTCAGGTTTAGTTATCCGTCATATTTTTGTCCAAAAAGTGCTTCAATTTTATCGTGAGGTCTTATAATTGATTTTTGTATGTTTTTGTTTTTTTTTGAACTGGACTGTTACTGAGTTTGTTTTTTGAACTGGACTGTTACTTAATTTGTTTTTTGAACTGGACCGTTACTTAATTTGTTTTTTGAACTGGACTGTTACTTAATATGTTTTTTTGAACTGGACTGTTACTTAATTTGTTTTTTGAACTGGACTGTTACTTAATTTGTTTTTGAACTGGACTGTTACTTAATTTGTTTTTTGAACTGGACTGCTGGACTGTTACTTAAATGATTACAGGAGTTTTTCGTGTAGAAATTGTGCTCACGTTTTAATCAGAGAGGTCTTACTTTCGACACTTACGGAATATAATGTTCGTTCGTATTTTAGTATGTAAATGGTGATCATTTGAAACGTTCATTGAAGACTATCATAACTTATGCTGAAACCGATCATGAATTGAAATGCACTAATTTCCCCGAACAGGTATATTTATCCTTCATCAACTGGCATGTTTTATTTACAATGTTGAAACAGAAAAACATTGATACTCCGTCACTTTTCCATATGTTTCCCTCGACACTAGTGTTAATTATTTTTGCGGAAAAAAAGGCAACAATATATGCGGGCTGAATTTCATCATCGATTTCATTGGCGGTAAAAAATAAACAGGCCATTGTAGGTTACTCTTAAGTTTCATGAAACTTTATTCTATATGAAGCCAGAAACCGAATCCTTTAGTTAGTAAAAAATATGTGTTTGAACGTTCTGGATGACACTTTCATTGTGTATTTTCAGTGGTATGATGGTACAATGATACACATCAATGTGCTTTTATATAGGTTCGCGAATTGGTGTTCAATCTTCATATGATATTGACCAACACTGTGAAAATGCACGAGTTTAATGAGGTACGGTATTTTCATGTATACGTGCAAACGTGTTAACTCACAATAATCAGAAGGGAAGTCTTTGTTGAAAAGGAAACTTAGTCTTCCTTTATGTGACAGGATCCTGAGATGCTGATTGATCTAATGTACAGAATTGCAAAAGGGTATGTTCCACCATTATGATAGAGCTAGTGTGGATTATTTGCTATTTCTTATTTTAAGTTTGTTGTATTATTACCCTTCCACGTCACAGTGTTTGCTTTTTTATTTTATAGCTACCAGACTTCACCTGATCTACGTTTAACATGGCTTCAGAACATGGCTACACAACACACAAAGGTGTGATTGATTTTTGATTTTATAGTAACTTTCATGTAGTTTCAAAATCCTGAAGAAGCTGCATCATTATAAGAAATGAAAGATGTTTTTCGTGTTTTCGCAGTCTTATGCAAACCAAGGAGACCTTTGCGAGAACTCGGAAGCAGATAAGTGCAAGCGCGAGACCGAAGGTCGAGGGTTTCACTCGCTTTAGAGTTCTCCGAAAGGTCTCCTCGGTTTGCATAAGCCAGTGCAAACACGAAAAACATCTTTTATTTATTTAAAAATAACAATAATGCGAAATGGACAAATTTAATACAAACGTTTTAGTATTATTCTAACGTGTATTCATAATTCTAAATTTTAAATTCTCTTTAATTGATTGATTGATTGATTTGATTGGTTGTGCTCAGATCGTATCAGCCATAGACTAATCAGCGCACGCGTTTTATTGTGTTTATTTTATAATTATTTTAGTTGAAAAATCATCTAGAAGCGTCCATGTGTGTCATACATGCCGCTGCATTAGTTGCAGAATATCTTTATTTACTTGAAGACAAACCTCATCTTCCTATCGGTTGTGTTAGTTTCGAGAATATTTCTCCTAATGTTTTAGAAGAAAGTGCTATATCTGACGATCTAGTTGCACCTGTAAGTATTGGACGTTTTTGTTTTAAAAAGATCTCCTGTGAAGGTATTATGGTGGATGCGTGAAAGGAAAATTTTACATAGAACGTTGGAAAATTTTTAGTGCAAGATATGACCGTATATAAACCTCTTCAGTTCTTAGAACGTTAATTGGGGCTGAGGGAAGGGGGACTATTCATATATTCAGTTATACTGAACTGATTTCTTGTCTCACCAGTGACTTTTCTGAGATAGGCATCATTTTAAGGCCCCAGACCTCCTCGGATAAAGACGTCTTTCTTCAAAAAGCTCACGTAAAACTTTTTTTATGGAAAAACCTTTTTCGAATGCAGACATTCCCTTATTGTTACTTTATAAAGTTAAAAGTTTTGTTGATGTTTTCATTTTTTTGCAGGATCAAGAAGGAATTTGCAGCCCGAAGTATTTCTCTGAGAATGGGCTACTGGGTCTTCTAGAGCAAGCTGCTGCTGGATTTACTTTAGCGCATACATACGAATGTGTGAACGAAGTTTATAAGATCTCTCTTCCTATTTACGAGGCTTCTCGAAATTTCAAGAAATTGCAAGAACTTCATGGAAGACTATCAAATGCCTTTGACAATATCGTTAAAAATGTATGTTCGTGCAATCTGCATCCCTTTTATGCAGAGTTATATTTGACTTTATATGATTCTGGATTTTTTGTTGATTCAATGCGCTACTTACAAATTTGTTTTTAATAATATAAAACTTTATGAAACTTGATTCATCAATCAGCATTTCATGTCAGCGGTCGACTATCAAAGACGACCGATATTTTAATGCGTGAACTGGATGTATATTTTGTCATACACAATAGACTACTCCGACTTCCTACGTTAATAAAAGAGTTGCTTTTTATGCTCATTAATTTTTCATTGATCATTTCAAATTGCCCTTTATGTTTTATTGCATTTGTTGGACTTGAGATGTTTTGAATATCATTTTATCATCAAAATTTGTTTTTGTGTTAATGAACAAAATGTACCCAATAATCCATTTGTATCTCCTGTGTAAGACGTTATTTGTGCAAAAGGCACACAATAATCCATTTCTATCTCCTGCATAAAACGTTATTATACAAATTTTACCCAACAATCCATTTCTATTTCCTGTATAAGACGCTATTGTACAAAACTGCACCCAATTATCCGTTTCTATCTCCTTTATGTAATTTTCCGTTTAGGAAGGAAAGCGAATGATGGGGACGTACTTTCGAGTTGGATTTTTTGGTGAAAAGTTTGGTGACCTAGATGGTGAGGAGTTCATTTACAAAGAACCTGCTATCACTAAATTACCTGAAATTTCTCTTCGACTGCAAGTGAGTATTCCCACCTTTGTTGTTTCATGTTGGTTATGGAGGAGTTGCGACTTTAAAATGACTGAAATGATGAGGATGGTGACTTGTGGTGATGTCCAACTTTTCTCCTGTATCGTTTTTTTGCCATACAATGGCCAGTTTATATGTGTAAAAATTTCTCCTGTGCTGTTTTTTTTGCCAGTTTCTATTTTTATAAATCATACCTGTGTCGTTTTTTTGCCAGTCGATTTCCATGTGAGTTGTTGCTTTAGTGTTTGTATATTTAAAATTGTTCCCGTGTTATTTTCCTGTCATTCGAGATCCAGTTTCTATCAGTAAAAATTGTACCTGTGTCATTATTTTGCCATGCATTGCTATTCTCATGTGAGTTGTTGTTTTAATGTTTGTATGTGTAAAAAATATTCTGGTGTTGTTATCCTGTCATTTGATGTCCAGTTTCTACATGTAAAAGTTGTACCTGTGTCGTTTTTTTTACCATACGATATAGACGTTCTACAAAGATCGTTTTGGTGAAAATGCTGTCGAAGTAATCAAAGACTCTAACACAGTAGATACATCGAAACTGGATTCCGACAAAGCGTATATTCAATTGACATATGTCGAACCTTATTTTGCTGAATATGAGACGAAAGATAGACGAACGTACTTCGACAAAAACTTTAATATTCGTATGTATATATTGATCAATTCTTCCTACTTTTAAAATTAATATGACGTATTTTACTATGTGCAGTTGAGAAAGACCTCCCTTAATTGAATTTAGCCTAACTTAACAAAAATCTATTCTCATAAATCCGAGCTTATTATTTAATACATGCATATGTGATTGTTTAGGACGATTCGTCTTCGCCACACCGTTTACTCCTAGTGGACAAGCCCATGCCGATAGCTTGGTGAATCAATATAAAAGAAAGACCATATTGACAGTATCTCATGCTTTTCCTTACTTAAAAACCCGAGTCAATGTCATTGACAAAGAGGAAGTAAGTATGTAAATGAAATTGATGCGTATACAACTCGCTAATTCTATGTTGTCTTTATTTATTCTGCAATCGCTTAAGCGAAATAAATTCTCCCTGCATTTTGGGTTGCGCGTACAGTCTTTTCGGTTTTGGTCTTTTTGAGGTAATTCTTACAAACTGTAATTATGAGGTCGCTTTCATTGATAAAAAAAAATTTTTGTGGACCTCATGTCATAACGAGTCGGTTTCTTATGATGTCGCCAAATCGAAGATGAAATAATTGTTTAATTTTTTTTCACACCACATCAGTAATTATAATGGCATTATTAAAAAATTTTATCTTAACCCATTTCGTTGCTATATTTTAAAATGCCTAAGATCTTGCCCGAAAAAAGTTTCTGTCTACGCATTTTTGGGTATGAAATTAAGACGAGTATTTTCGTATTTCAATCATCGATTTATATGTAGTTGTCAATCTATAGAAATTAATGGAAACCTTTGTACAACATGATTATAGTTTGTCTGCATACAGAACTAAGTTAAAGAGCTTCTTATATCATCTTTCGAAGGTCACACTTTCACCAATTCAAGTCGCCATCGAAGACATTCAAAAGAAAACGAAAGAACTAAAAGCAGCTGTTATGCAGGAACCTCCAGATAAAAAAATTCTTCAGATGGTTTTACAAGGATGTGTTGGAACTGCTGTTAACCAGGAATGTATAGATTTTATATACCCTTGTCATTCTCTGTCATCTTTTACCAGCGGTTCTCAAGGAAGGGGTGAATTTTTAAAAGTTTCAAGGAAATCGTGAAGCTTAAAAAACGTCAAGAAAATCGTTAATTTTTGAAAGTTTTGAGGAAATTGCGAAGTTTTAAAAGTTTCCAGGAAATCTTGAATTTTTAAAAGTTCCAGTGAGATGCGAAGTTTTAAATGTTTCTCAATGTATTACATCAGGGAATTGATTTAAGTGTAGAAGCAAAAAAATATATACTATTTTACCACATGATAACATTGCGCTTTACAAAATGTTTTTAACTTGAAGCCATGCTTGAGAAGCACTCTCACCTTGTCGCTTGAGAAAGGTATAAAGTGAATTTTTTTTGTTATTTGTTTTAACAGGGTCCTTTGGCAATGGCTTTGGCATTTCTTTCTGATCTTCATGATGATGACGACGACAACGAAAAACAGTCGATCCATGTTCACCGTGATCATCATAAGCTACGTTTATGCTTCAAATCGTTTGTAAAATGGTATGACTGAATTTCAAATATTCTGCATGATTAGAGGACGTTACATAGGAGTTATGCATACTTACACAAAAAAATTGCCATGTGTAAAGAGCATTGGTATATAAATAAATCTTGGGAGTATTATATCTTCCGAAAGAGTAACATTTCTAGGCAGTAATTTTTGAACAGAAAAAGTTATCCGTGTTAACGATCTAAATAAATTTCACTCTGCGTAGCTATATATTGTCTCAAATGCGTATTAAAACTCACTTTAAAGTAAATGGTTTTTGACTCTGAAGGTGACTACCGCTAAGGTTGTCGAAACGTCAGTCTACAACAACAAAAACAGTCCTTCTCAGGACTATAACAACCTGGACGATCTACATTCACAAACATGTAAAACTCACTTTGTTCTTTGAAGTTGTGGCGAAGCTTTGAAGAAAAACAAAGAGTTGATTACGGAAGAACAGATTCCATATCAGAGAGAACTAAGGAAAAACTACAGGGCACTGCATGATCAACTTGTTCCATTGCTCAAAAACAAATTTGGAACTTTACGAGGCTCTCTTGGAATGAGGAAAAAGTAAGGTTTTTTGTTAAAGTATTGGGATTACGTTGAAATAACACTTTCATCGCCTGTATTTTCTCATTTCTTTCAGGGAATCGACAGCTTTACGTAATAGAGCATTGTCCATGCAAGTGCAAGGAGTTTCAAAAGCGTGAAGACGCCAGGTTTGAGCGTGAATTTTTGAACAATTTTATTTTGTAGATTCAATAAATATTTGTATTCTAGGTTATTCTAGTGTGCTTGCTAAATTTCTTGTTGTTCTCCATAGATTTTAGAATGAGATAATAAATATTTCACATATTTCAAAAAATTATGTTGTGTCTTACCAACGTATTTTTTTGCCGTTTTTTGTTAATTATTAAGGTTTTAAGGTTGTGTTTATTGTGGTTATTTTATCTTTAGCTATTGTGTGAAAACTTTTTCAGAAACTGTTTTGTACTAGACTAAATATTTGCTATATGCAATCAAGGAAAGGGTACACGCGAACATCTATTAAAATTCATTATAATTGATTTCGGACATCAACAACCACCTAAAGTGCTGATGTTTCTTGGTATAAATTTTATTCTAATGAATTGGTTTTATTCACCAATGTACTCATGTATACATTTGCATGTTCTATACAGTACTATAGAATTTGCTATGGAATCAATAGAAGAAGTATCATTCGTTTCAATTATATTTGCTTGCAATTTTCCAAAATCGTTCTCTTACACGACTTGTAATGTGATTTTTTACTGTCCTAAAGCACGGACTCCTTGCATCAAGGTGGAAATGTCTTTCTTAATTAAAGAACTTTCTACAAAACATTTCGTAAACAAAATTCGCTTTTGTAGATGACATGTGCTAATTAAACCCAATTATAAATTGATTAAGATTTTAAGTTAAAACACAATAATTTGTTGTTTCATGCAATAATGTCTGCGTATATGATCATAACATTAATGACGGGCGCATGTATAAGATATCGCTTTTACAGCACCTCCGTTATTTTTATACGTATTGACGAAAACCAGTTTACAAATGCATTGTTACTAAACTAGACACATTCATTTGAACATCTTTTACCGACAAGGGTGAAAAGTTTTTTCATTCATAAAACATTTACTCTAATTGTGAAGTGTCTCACTTATGTGGGCGATTTCTATACTCTAATAATCTATTTGATACCATTGGTGTTCTAACATCACCAATTATACACTCATCGTGTTGTCGTTCGAAATTTGCGAAGAGGAGTCTATCAAGGAAATTTTTTAGACGTATTTATGCGCATGTATTAAAACATGCGCATGCAATTTATATAAACACAGTTCTTGTATACGCCACCTGTAAATTATTGACCAATCACACTGTTAGTCGCTCGCTCTCGAATTTTCAGACCGCAACGAATACATAATATTGTTCGCGCTTGTAATCAAAATTAACGACGTGATTGTTGTGCAGTTCTTCGTCGATCTTGCTACTAACAGTGTCCTCTCACTTCGTGTCAAATTTCGATCGTCGATCAACAATCTTGAAATCTCTTCATCGTCGCCTGCAATCTTGACGAGGAATTCAACTTGCAAAGTATGAACTCGAATGAATTGGAAAAAATACGTCTTAACGTTGGTGGACAAAAACACGAAACGTATTTAAGTACAATAGGTAATCTTCCCGATACCAGACTCTATTCAATTATCGAGAGCACTATAAACTCGCCCGATTATGATTCAGAGACGAGTGAAATTTTCTTCGATCGTCATCCCGATGTTTTTGCTCAAATCCTGAATTACTACAGAACCGGAAAACTACATTGTCCCAAGGACATTTGTGGCCCTTTGTTTGAAGATGAGCTTCAGTACTGGGGCATCGATGAAAAGGAAATGGAGGCTTGTTGCTGGATCAACTATACTCAATACAGAGATGCTGAAGAAAATTTAAAGAATGTCGTTTGTGATAAAAGTTCTCAGCAGTTTATAGAGGATAGCTCCAGGTCTATTGAAAATGAGAATAAATGTATCCGTTGCTGGAATCATTCTTGCTCTCATTGGTGGAAAAAATTCAACGAAACATATGGTCGACTATAGATGAATCCAGATTGTCAATTTTATCTCAAGTAAGTACTATGTATGTTTAATCATGTGCTTCTATTATGCCTATAGTGCTGGCGTACATGTGTAAGTTATTACATCTGCAGTGGAATAATTGTTTTATTGTACTTGTCGCTCGTCTTTGTTAGTTACATGTTTGCATTTTGAGCGACAGTTTTCTTTAAATTACTCGTGGTTTATGTGGAATTTTGCTTTGTGGCTGTGTTTTGGTTTATTTATTGCATGGATTGATGTCATTTGACTTGTACACTAACGCTTAGAGAAAATTACATGTTTATATAGTCTAGAAACAAGCTGTGTTTTAAGTCATTATCGAGGTGCCAGTGTAGTTGTTAGTATCTCTTTCTATCTGTCATTTTCTGACAAATTTGTCTTGAAGTTTAGAGCTGCCCTCGTTTGCAGTTGCTTACTTTACAAAGCAAGACTTAATGAATGAAAAGAAATTGTTTCATAATATTAGTTTCTGCATGGGGGAGGGAAATGTTTCATTAAGCCATGCGTTTTTCTTTCTATAGAATAATTTTACAAGTTCCTGCGTCCATGCATGCATGTAGCTATATTTATTTAATACCAATCATGAATGAACATATTAGTACTAGTGATAGCGAAAACTAGGTCAACATCATGCATTTTAGGAAAAATTATTAATACCTTTCCTTGCGCCCCACGTTCCTTTCATACAAAAACCAGATGATCATATAACTCATATTGTATATATATTGCCAGCTGCATGCATGTTCTATGTTTGCATTTATAAATGCATATGAATGTCTTAATGATTCATGAGATTTATTTCTCCTAACTTATATTTTATATAGCTACACATGCTAGAGTGAATAACGCATTTTGAATATTTTGAAATCAAACGTTTGGGACTGTACACATTCTTTCGATGAATTTTCGTACGAGCTTTGACACCATGGCGATGACGAAAGTGCGTTTGTATATTTTATGTATATCTTGATAAAATAGAAATGCGTCAGAGAGGAAAGCGAGAGACGACAACCACAACTTGTTCTCATTGGAGTTCAGTATATATTTCTAAGAATATTGCTTTGTTCTCCTTATAAATATAGTTCATTCACGGGAAAACTCCTAAGAAAAAGGGCAGCCTTTCATTATACTGCGTACGTATAGCTTGGAAATTTAAGTCTTAATCATAATGTGTGTGAAAGAAACGAGAAAAGAACAATTTTGTAGTTGTAGGAAACCGCAGGTCTTACGTCATGTTCTTGATAAAGAAAGAAATAAAGCAAAACGTTGCGTTTTTTAGTAATTTTTTTCGTAACGAGATTTATGTGACAGATAGCAGTATTTCTTTTCTTTCTGTTGAAGTAGATTGCTTGTTTTTGGCATATACTTACAATGCATAACCTTCTTAAGTCCAACTATATTAAAATTCTATTTTTGGACTTTAGACAAATATCATTAAAATCATGCTATTCATAAGTTATTTAACATCAATTTTATCACACTAGTCTACCACAATGATTTCCACGCACGATTCACGATTCACAATATAGTCAAAATGTTTTAATATTTGACGGAAACTGTTACACTGTGACAAAAGGTTTGTGTAATCGACAGTTTGAATAGCTCTGTTTGAATTCTTTAATCGCTCAAAAGCGTTCCCTTTACTAAACTCCATGTGTTGTTAAGTACTTAAGTTTTCGAATATATCCATAAAATAACAGAGGAGAAAGACTATTTTTGGGTTTGTGTAGCTAAAACAATAAAAGTCTGAATAGATTTTTTTGTTTGTACTCCACTTCTGTTTTAGATATATAATCGGTATTTTTCACTTTATGCTTATTTTAATACATTCAACGTAATTGTTTTTAAAAGCTAGTTGCCGTATTCCATTTTCGAGCAGCTGGATTTAAACGCTTATCAGAAGGCTTTACAGGTTTTCCGTTGCCATTAAGATAAAAAATTAACTTGATTGAATAATTTGTAAGCTTGCTGCGTAAAGTTATCATGTTAACTATGGCAATCTAGGGTCCTGAGTAAGAGTTTTTGTACAATTTACCCTTTAGAAGCTCTGTGTTATATTGCCTTTGGTTAGCCGTATTTGAATTAGTGTTTTAAAATAAACACAATAAAACGCGTGCGCTGATTGGTCCAGAGCTGTGTTTGCATTAGCCTGTGCAAAGCACATCTGAGCTCAACCAATCAAATCAATCAGTCAATAAGAATTTGCAAATCGATCATAAATACATTTTAGAGGAAAAATTAAAATGTTTTTCTTTTTCGCATTATTTTATTTTATAAAAGTAATAAAAGACCTTCGGTCTCGGGCTTGCACTGATCAGCTCTTGAGTTCTCCCAAAGGTCTCCTCCTCTGCATAAGACTGTGCAAACACAGTTAACATCTTTTACTTCTTAATTAAAGTACCCTTTCATTGAGATCCTATACGTTTAAACTATTTTGAATTGAAAAAACAAGGCGAATTGAACTTTTCTACGAAATAAATAAGTCGTAAATAGCTGAAAAGACTGGTTGTTTAAGTATTCCTTCAATATTCTGTAAGGCTCAAAACGGTAAAATTTTCTGTGTTGTTAGCTCAAGTCGATAGATAAAAATAAATACTTATTAATGGCGAGAGGTGCATGCAGCCAGCCTGCAAGTTCGTTAATGCTAAGTATATGAAAATCCAATGATATAACTTAGAAATTTCTAGAAATCTAATGTTTTTACAGTGAGTGAACACCGCATTATATACATAGCGCGACCAAACTCGCGGGTTCGCCACGCTACTGACCTTGCTACATGATTGTGGGATATTTTCGTAGGAGGAATTGATTAAGTTTGTTTTTAGGTGTTCAGTCTGTTTACAACTTAGTTTGTCGTTTTATTATATCAGTACAGGTGTAATCAAAACCTTTCCTTTTTGTATTTGTGTTTGTTCAACGCTGGGTTTTTTTTTGGAAATAGCTAAAATTTCCCGTTTCAATTCAGGTGTTCTCATTCGCGTCAGTGATATTTATCATGGTCTCTGTCGCGATGTCTTGTGTGAACACCATTGAAGAAGTAAATAAAAACGACAACTGGCGTAAGTGTTTTGATATTGTTGAAAGGACATGCGGTTTCTGGTTCACGATGGAGTTCTTGTTGAGAACAATTTTTTGTCCTGATAAAGGAAAATTGTTCAAAGAATGTTCTACATGGATTGATCTTGTTGCTATAATACCGTTTTATCTCAAGTTCATTGCAAATAATCATATAGATGTTATAAACGCTCTCCTTGTTGTGCGATTACTCCGATTATTTAGGTTTTTTCGTCTTGTTTATGGATTGCAAGTTCTTTTTCACACTTTAAAATCTAGTTCGTATGAATTATTACTTCTTTTCCTAATGCTTCTTATTCCCGTGGTATTTTTCTCGTCAGTTGTCTTTTTCGTGGAGTACAAGTCCTTTCCTGAAGATACGAAGTTTCGCTCAATTCCTCATTCATTCTGGTGGTCCCTTATCACCATTACGACAGTTGGATACGGTGATATTTATCCGCGTACATGGCTTGGCAAGATTGTGGGCTCAATGTGTGCTATGTGCGGTGTACTCATTGTCGCATTACCAGTATCTGTCATCGGTAATAACTTTTCACTCTTTTATGCGCATGCTCAAGCAAAGCTTAAATTACCGAAGAAGAAAAAGAAATTATTTCTTCAACAGTCTTCGACAGTGTATAGCGAAAGACATCTCCCACGGCGTAAGGCTTTACGTAAGAAGGAGTCAAGACTCAGTGATACTTATAGTGCGATGTATTCAGATAGTCGCGAGTCCTCCACTCAAGGCAACCTAATTACAAATGGAACTAAACGGACCAGTTTGGTTGGTAAAGATCAATGCAAACTGTTCTCCTCCATAAAAAAGATTCCAAGGAAGAAAACTTCGGTGATGTCGATGAAAATTCCGACACCGTTGGATGAAAATATGGAGGAAAATCGTGAGTTGGAAAAAGAACTGTCTTCAGTTGATTCATCGTATTATGTAACCCAAGGAAGATCTCTTTCTTCACCTGATGGATTGAAATCATTCTGTGTTGGTGATGAAATTTGTGCAAATGAAGAAAACATGAAGGACGTTAAAACTTTCATTCGATGTTACGAAACAACACACGAGAAGGCGAATAAGACACGAAGTTCACCCGAAATTATTGCACTTCTTGAAGAGTCAAAACATTTAGATTGTGGACTTAAAAATGTGGAGCGTACAGAGAGAATTAATTATCATAATAAGCAGGAGATAACAGAAGAAAGCACAAGTACACGCAAGAAAATATCCAGTCAGTTTTTCGTCAACGAGGATGGGTATTTAAACAGTGAATTAGCCAATGAACAAATTGTAACCGATGATCAAAACTCGTCTGAAATTAATATTTGCACAAACGTATTATCGAGAGATTGCTCAGTCGATGTTGTCAATTGGAAAAAAGCGACCCTTGTCTTTGACCGAAGACATTCTGGAAACTGTCGTTGCCGGGCAACATGAGTTGAATTATATTGATAATGGTCTCGTTGTGAAAACTATAAAATTACCAAACGACTTTAATCCAGCAAGAAGGCAAGCCACATTTTAAATGTGTCTTTGATTTTTGTATTTTAACAACAAGTGGCTACGTGAGGCAGCATCATATTATATTATAGTCTTTATATAACTTGCCGTACGTTTACGAGAGTTGTTTTTACTGGGGGGGGCGGGGGGGTAGGAGGGAAAGGAAATGCTTTATACCTTGCCATTTAGCTCTTGCTAAATAATTTTTCTCGCCACATTTTTCCCACCGTTTATCCTTTCCTTTGCGCCTATGTCTTTTATATTGTGTAGGCATATTTTAGTTTTGTGAATGGGATATTTGCTTGTTATAATCATTGTGTACATGTAACATAATTGAGAAGAAAAACAGAGTAACAGTAAAATAAGATACAGGTTCATATGCTGAAAGGATAAAAGGTGTCCTTGTTTCATTCACCAATTTTGACATGAAAAACGGGCAACGAAAGGAATGAGCTTCAGCAGCCACTGTCTTTGAAAACTATATACAAAAAGATAAGTCGACAGGTGTAAATGAAATTCCCATAAGAAACTGCTACGATCCTCCTCGTTTTTTCATATAAATTCCAAAGCTCCGGTCAGAAATATGCATGCCTTCAATATGAATAATATGCAAGCAAGAGAAGGAGTCCTTTGTCACTAATCCGTATAATCCTCTCCACTGAATTCTCCTTCCAAAACATATACTACAAACAAATTTCAGGCATACCAATGGGATCACCACTATCCACCTTCCTCGCAGAAGCCGTCATGCAACACCTCGAAACACAATCAGTCACAAACACACAAACATCAGACTATGGAAAAGATATGTCGACGACATCTTTGCCATAGTCAAGAAAGACAAAACTGAACAAATCCTACACACCATAAACAATACCACAAAGAACATAACCTTCACTAAAGACGAAGAGCACGACAAACAACTTACTTTCCTCGACATCCTACTGACCAGAACAGATGACGGTACACTAAACACACAAGTACACCGTAAAACTACTCACACAGACCAAATACTTGATTTCAACAGCAATCACCCAACACAACACAAAACAAGCTGCATACGAACACTTTTTAAATGAATCAACACCCATTCTAACACCGAAAAGCCAAGAAAACAGAACGCAACTACTTATACTCCATATTTATGAAAAACAATTATCCTAGAAACTTTATAAACAAAACTATAAACAGAATACAAAACAAATCGACAGGAGTAACAAGAACCCGGACGAAACAGTAAAAATCATCACATTCCATGCATACATAAACGGAACATCAGAAATGACTGCCAGACTTCTTCGACCATTCAATATCAACGTCGTCCACAAACCTACACAAAAACTCAAATCATATTTTACCACACATAAAGACAAAACAACAATCCATGATACAACCAACGCGATCTACATGATACCATGTAAAGACTGTTCAAAAAATACATAGAACAAACATCAAAGAAAATCGAAACAAGATTCACAGAACACAAAAACGCCACAAAACGACGAGACCCAAACTCACTACCGGCAGAACATACCCACCCAAATAATCACACATTCCACTGGACAAAAACTAAAGTGCTCGGACGCGCACAAACAAACTTTACGTACAGTAAAGACAACGACACAATAAACAGACATATCGACATACCCATCATATATTCACAACTTAAGAGAAAGGACAAAAGAACTACAAACAACACCAAAGCTACATCAACACACTCTAATAACATTAACACTAATCACATCCACCATTCACCAAAACACATGGCAGCGCATTTCACCCCATCCAATCACATTAATGCTCGAAGCAACGAGTCGAAAGCTGAATAAAATTATTTATAAAATCCGGAGAAACTTTTATTTTTAAACGATATATATATATATATATAATGAAATTTTTGGGACTTTGCCAACTGACCGCTTAACCCAGGTTGACCGCTTAACCCATGTTCTACTGTATTTTGTCCAGTTGCTTAGGCGTACGGCACATGGAGCAGTTCGCACACAGGAATTCTGTCCTAAAGAAAGAATCCTTTGCTTTATGTAAGAAAATAGAAATTTACATTGTTCTTTTTCCCTATGTTTTATTAATTTTTTTATAAGTGCTTCACACTCTGTTCCTTAACATTACCACTCTGTTCCGTAACATCCCCACTCTGTTCCGTAACATCCCCACTCCCTGATATACATACTCACCATCACATAGATTAACCAATGCTGTACAAGGTAAATAATTGTATCATAAAACGACACTCTCCATAATTTCATGACAATAATTAATGTTTATTATTATTACATCATGCGCTGTTCATAAATCATAAGCAACGATGAAATATTTCCAGTTCATATACTATTTTTTTATAATTACGACGTCAAAGCTAGTGTTGTGTGTCTACTTGTATCAACTGAAGTGTATCTGGTTTTTTTAACTTTCAGAGTCTTCTCTGTAGTTTCTAAATGTAAATGAAAGTAACAATAATATATAATGTTTAACTACAAGATTGTTCACTAAATTGTTAAATGGTAAAATTCTGTTAATGAAAACAGCATCTTGGATCAATGAAATTTTTAATTACATTTAAGATAAAAGTGTTCGTTTCATTTTCATCATCAAATTACCTTAAGGCATATGTTTAGCAATCCGTTCTCTTCCAGCTCGTAGTTGATCATCAGATTTCATTCCTCTTCCTGCTCGTAGTTGATCATCAGATTTCATTTCTCTTCCTGCTCGTAGTTGATCATTGGATTTCATTTCTCTTCCAGCTCGTAGTTGTTCATCAGATTTCATTTCTCTTCCAGCTCGTAGTTGTTCATCAGATTTCATTTCTCTTCCAGCTCGTAGTTGATCATCAGATTTCATTTCTCTTCCAGCTCGTAGTTGTTCATCAAATTTCATTTCTCTTCCAGCTCGTAGTTGATCATGAGATTTCATTTCTCTTCCAGCTCGTAGTTGATCATTGATTTCATTTCTCTTCCTGCTCGTAGTTGTTCATCAGATTTCATTTCTCTTCCTGCTCGAAGTTGATCATTGGATTTCATTTCTCTTCCAGCTCGTAGTTGTTCATCAGTTTCATTTCTCTTCCAGCTCGTAGTTGTTCATCAGTTCATCAGTTGTTCATTTTCATCTCTTCCTGCTCGTAGTTGATCATCAGATTTCATTTCTCTTCCAGCTCGTAGTTGTTCATTGAACTTCATTTCTCTGCCAGCTCGTAGTTGTTCATCAAAGTTCATTTCTCTTCCAGCTCGTGGTTGATCATTGATTTCATTTCTCTTCCAGCTCGTAGTTGTTCATCAAAGTTCATTTCTCTTCAGCTCGTAGTTGTTCATCAAAGTTCATTTCTCTTCCAGCTCGTAGTTGTTCATCAGATTTCATTTCTCTTCCTGCTCGTAGTTGATGATCAGATTTCATTTCTCTTCCAGCTCGTAGTTGATCATCAGATTTCATTTCTCTTCCAGCTCGTAGTTGATCATCAGATTTCATTTCTCTTCCAGCTCGTAGTTGTTCATTGAACTTCATTTCTCTTCCAGCTCGTAGTTGTTCATCGGATTTCATTTCCTCCCAGCTCGTAGTTGTTCATCAGATTTCATTTCTCTTCCAGCTCGTAGTTGATAATCAGATTTTATTTCTCTTCCAGCTCGTAGCTGATTCACAAATTCGAAGTCTCCACCAGCTCTATTTTTCTTAGCAAAACATTCAGCCAAGCCAAGATTTAACACGATCAACAAGACATACAAGAACTTTTTCATTTTTATTTCACCTGCTACATAAGGAAAAGGAAATATGAATTATGTATGTATTCCCAAGACTTATGACAATATTGTTCGCAATGGCGTAACTGCTATCATCAAGTTGTGGGCAAAGCCACGGCCACTCAAGCAATCAAGTTGGAAGGGGGCACCCTGAACGGTGTTATTTTTGAAAATAAAGATAAGAAAAAGTTGATTTGTATTTGGGAAAGTTGAAGAACTGGATATTTCTTATTGAAAGTAATTCGTGTTCCTGCAATAAATTAAAAGCTGTGTACTTTAGATGGTTAAAATTGTTTTCTGATGTCCGGTTTCGTTGGTGGTGGTAGGAGGTGGGGAACACCCCATCCTTGATAAACCACGGACGGCCTGGTTCAAATTCACGCCACTGATTGTTTCTGAAGATAAAACTAGAATGATGCTCCAATTTAACATGGAGTGTTTTGTTTGTTTAGATGTGCATAAGATTACGATTGTTGATCGGAATTCTGGTCTGTGCGATTTTTCGTTATACACAACAAAATTCAGCAAACTTTCAACATGATTCGAAGTTTGTCTTAATAACCAAACTTACCTACAAATGCGTGCAAACACCCTAGGTATTTCGCCAAGTAAAACATTAACCCCGCCCCACCTCTCGTTAAGGCTTCAGAAATTAAAGAGCCGCTGGCAAGTTTTAGTGCTGATACTTTTGTTTGGACAGTATAAAATAATTACAGAACAAGAATCGATTGATGCGATTTATCATGATTGCCAATGGTGTTGCCAACTCAATAAATGAGGACGTTTTTTCATTTTTTTTTTATCTAAAACTTCGACTTTTTTACGAATTCCTTAAAATATTTTTTGTGGTATGAACGCCTGATTAGACATTCATCTTACTCTTGGTCATCCATTCTCATTATGATTATCATTTGAACAAAAATAAAGAAAATGAAGAAATTTGATATTTTTCACTTCGCCACATGTTCTTGGTGGACAAAATCATACACGTAATTATTTCGAACTGCTTTCAACGTTACTGACCTCCGAGTCGTAGAGTGCCTTTTCCCAATTGTGGTATTTCAACTTCTATCAGTTTTAAGAACCACTAACTAAATTTATTTGGATTGTTCTCACTTATATATAGCTTCGTGACACGATAACCGAGAATATAGATATGAATGACCTTTCCCTTTACTGTACATATATAATATTTATATAATTACATATTAGTGAGTGCTTACAACTGTCAGGCTCAATTATCGATCAAAACATCTAGGACCACTTTACGACTAATTTGTACGGACACTTTGCCGTGCATGCTATATCACAACATCTTGTGTTTTTTGTCTTTTCGCGTATTTCGTATTTCATTTATGTAGAGCTTTTCTTGATTTTAAATTATAATAGTCGAGTGAAAAACAACTCATGATGCTTTTCACATTACTGTAGTTCAGAAGTTGTGCATTGAATTAATTGTCGGTATTTTCTTTTTATTCATATAAACATCTGCCCTCCTGCACTTGTAGTTTGTACTTTCCTTTTATAGTACATTGGCTAAATTGATTTGTCTCTATGACGTGTTTATACACGACTAAAAACTGTGCAAATGAAGTTCCATGAGATGCGTTTTATGATGATAAACATCTTACGTTTTGTATACGTGCAAATGAATTCTTCTCTTGTAGTTGGCATTGGCACATTAGCAAATGTTTCTATGAAATCTTAAGTTGTTAATGTGCAATAATTGTAATAATCCCAAATATCAATTTTTCGTCGTCACTCGCAACATTATCCTAATGCATACATTATCCCAATGCGTACATTATCCTAATGCATTTTCAGTAACAAATGTGATTTATTGTCCTGTCATTTTAAAGTCGATGGCACGAATTTATAGTTGTATTGGTTGTATATCATATTTTTTTATTTCTTTTACAGCAGATGGATTCTTCGTCAGTACATTATTAATAACGTAATCAACTTGACTTTTTCCATCTAACACGCAAGAGCTATGTGCTATACAACTCATACAGAACCAATAGGAAGAACATATTCAGAACGTTTATGAAATGAATTTTAGTAAAACGTATTTTTGTCAAACTTAACTGTTCTTTTATGTGCGAATTTCAGCATAAGCAAAATGAATCATTGTTCCGTGTCGAAGAATAATTTAAACATGTGTAATGTGTTGTTGAATAAAAAATAAATGCTATTGAAACTCTGCATTCTTAATCAGACTGTTATCTCTTTTTGCATTATAATTTTTTCTTAGCATTACATCATATAAATGAATGTATAGTCAGTTTCAAGCCTCTGAATTTTCTGGCAAGCATGTAATCCAACCTTCCAACATATAGCCAAGAAAACGTTCATTTATGTATCATGGTATAGTTGGAGAATGGAGACTAATATATTTCATACACGTTTTGTTATATTTGCAATCACTTTGGCCATGTCTAGAAGAAAACATCCTTGATCATAGAGATAGCACCAAATTAATATATGTTTTGATTGTGAGGACTATAATGAAAATCAACACAAGGCGCTATGTTCACAAGCTCTGAACGAAGGAACGAAAGAACAGGAAGTTGTCACTGGTGTACGACAACGCTACGCCTGAATTATGATGTATAATTTTTGCAATCCAAGATTTTTTGTTACAATTCTTTCATTGTACATTCAAGTTTGTAAATATACAAAAGGCAGGAGCCACTCAAATTAAACACCGATACCATTTTGTAGCTAAAGTCCAACAAAAAAAATTCCCTTTAGCCCATCCTAGCTTTTTGCAATTCGAAAAGAACCGATTTTTTATTGTGTATGATCAACTGTTTCTAGCATGAAAAAGCGGGCGATTTTTTACCTTGAGTGTAGAATTTAATTGTTGTCCGCATGTAATCTGCTGTCTTTGAATCTGTTGTACAAACCTGCCTATAGAATATTCTTCAATATGATATTAATGCTTAGACACATAATAATTAATTACCAATACTTTTTCTTGACGCTTGATGTATTTAGCTATTAAGTATTCACAAAAAGAGTACGACTTGATAGAATTGTCCGCGAATCTACTGATGATTTCGTTTTAGTAATATCTTTTCTAAAATCTATAGCTAAACTATAAGTTGTTTATTTTTTGATCATTGTGAAAACCAAGGGGTGATTATTTTGACTGTTTCATGGAGTATTTTCTATGAACGAATTTCCATACTGATTATTTCCTTGAAACTAAACCTATTGCAAAGGTTTTTGTTAATTCCTTTTCGGCAAGTTGGGTTTTTCGTAGTTTGTGATGAATTAATGACGGGCTATTCCATAGGAGTGTATTCCTGGGTTTTTTAATGGTTAAGAACGGCGAAAGCTTTGTAGGTTTTGTAACTCTAGCTCTTTACAACGATTGTGAAGTTGAGATAAGAATTCAATGGTAAATCTCTTTCATATCCAAATAAACCCTAACCTTTTTAGAACTGAGAAATTAGATTGTTTAGTAAAAAATGGCCTTTTCAAGTGAGATGTGTTGAGACCCATTTTACATTTAGTATTTTCTTTTAAACATGGACTTTCATTATGGATAGATACATAAGCAACATTTCAATTCAATGATACTTACGTTTGATATTTATTCTTTCTTTCGTATTTTTTGTTGTTTTGTAATTGCGTTTTGTAGGCACGGTGCACTCTAAATGAATCGTCAAAAATCGGCTTTCGTTCTCAAATATAAACGCCGAACTTTTGATTTTAGTAATGAAAGTCTGCAGATCAGCGACCCGATAACGCTGAAGCACTTGCAAGTTTCTCACACTTGTGCTTATGTTAAGTGATAATTGATAAATTACAACGCTGATTATCAATTCCTCCTTTTTCCGCTCCAATTTAATTGCAAATCATGCAAAAATTGCCTTTGAATTCTGCTATATACACAACATATTTCATAGGCGTTTATGAATGGAAGATACGTGTTCAAACAAAGCTGTCGCACAGCTCTTAAGCAAAAAGTTATATTGAGGAAGCTGGCTCTAAATCAATAAAAAATTGATGATAATTGATCAGTAAAAATAGAATTTACTGATATTGCTGAACACACTTTATTTTCTCTTCTTCTGTTTATATTTTCTCACCTGAGATGACTTTAAAAGTTTTTTTCTTCTATCATTATAAAGAGATGAAAAAGTTCTCAACTTAAAATACTTTCTATTAATACGTTTACATGCTTGAACGAGCAATGATTTGCAATATTTTTTTCAAGAGAACGGCATACATAAATATATATTGCTTGAAAAATTCAGCTTACTCAATCGTCACATTTTCGGAAACCTAGGCTCTTGAATGCAAAAACGGGGGTGGCAAAAAGGATGTTTATGAGTTATGTATACTTTTTCTCTACATCTGATTAAACACCTGCCATTGCTATGTATTTAGTTGTACACCTACACGCTTGATCTATTATTGTCAGTACTTTATGAATTTCACAAAACATTCTTCTTTGCTTGCGTCACAGAGCATATGGCTATTTTTTGATCATTGAAACAAAGTAAAGTTCTTTTTTCATTGTTTCAGCAGGCTTTTTCCGATGCATGTTTCTGTTGAAATATTTTTGTGCGTAGCCGCTGCGCATGTGTGGCCAAGCATTATGTTATAGTAATTGTCCCGAAGGCTCAGTTCGTCCGTACAAGGGGTCTGTACCTCCGTTTTATTCAAATATACGAATAATGACGAAGCATACCGTTTTGTGCTTTCTTTACTTTCACGAGTATTTTTGGAATGTCGATTAGTTATTCGCGCTTCAATTGTGTTCAAAATTTTACGGCAATAACTTGTAGTGCGTAATAAAATTAATAAGCGCATGATACATGCCAAGCCTTATGCAATAAATACCATGATGCAAAGCGTACGTTCGCGTTGAAAGATTAATCGGTGATGTTTTGAAGGGGAAACACAGGAGAACGGCGTTCCCCAACTGTTTATGCAAGAGAAACGACGTTACCTTTATGAAACATCACACTTGGAGGAACGCCGTTGGCCACGTGATATTATATCTTGGCTAGCAAATATCAATTATGTAGAACCCATAATCTCTGCAAGATAGTTTGTTTGCATTTGCTTGTTGGATAACTACATGACTAAGTGCTTTGAATAAAATTTTCTAATTAAAAGTAACTTGAAAATGTCACAAATTACATATTAGCTTTTACAAACCAGTGACCACACCCTTACACGAGAGGCCATGCCCATCAGATTTTTAAAGTGTTCCCCCACTTCCAAAATTTGCAAAACGTCCCTTTGTTCTTTTCGTTCATGTCTTTTTGAAATGTCTTGTATGTCGTCTTTCTTAAATGTCTTTTATGTCGTCTTTTTGAAGTGTCGTTCATGTCATTATTTCGAAATGTCGTTGGTGTCGTTGGCGTCACTTGTAAGAGACCGTCTATAGTCTTCTATTAATTCAAGAGCTCCATTATCGATTGGGCAAATGAACTATCGTATTGTTAATTGGCAAGTTCAATTAAAGACAAAATGCAAATGAATTTATTTTGATTTCCATTCACGTACGAATTAAAGATATCATTTGCAATTTTGCGTGGATTTAAAAGGCATCAAATGACTTTATGAGAATAAACATCAGCAGTTCATATTTGTCAGGAAATATGACCTGGAATTACAATTAATTTCTTCTATCACTTGCAATGTGCAAAGCCTTAGCTTTCAAAGACTAAACGTTGTTTGCAATCGGCACAGAATTCTCCGATATATGGTCTTTTCAAAAAGGTATTTGAAAAAATAACAACCAACAACACCGTCTGTGGCCCAAAACTAGTTAATACACGTCAGAAAACTGTTTTGAAAAACAAGTTGTGGACGAGTTATTTTCAGTATAAATGAAAATAAATTATTCGATAAATTTGTGACAATTCTTCTAGCTTAAGCACTTATTGCGATACAAGCAGACATAACATACGTGACATGCATAGTGAGGGAGGGCGTTTGGCAAATATAAAAAGAATTAGAAAGTAAAGGCTATCCATATGTACGCACTGCGTACCAATTTTTATATTATTTGAATAGAAGTGCAATTCTGTGTCAATCCCAAAAAAAGGTGAATAAGGACAATTGATAGATCGTTGGGGAGATCTTGGTGTCGGAGCATGGATTCGTAGCGGTATTACCAAACAGTGGCGAATCTTGGGTAAATCAAATAAATTACTGCAGCACATTTTGTCATGTATTTACATTTCTAAGTCCTTAGAGGCAAATCCATTGGAAAAACTATGTTCTTTAGAAATTCAAAACCAATGGTGTTCTTCTGAAAGTACTTTGAATTTAAAATTGAGCAACTATAATTTATTTTGACTAGTGCTGGATCTGCTAGTGATACCTAAATTACGATTATGAAGATGTCGTGGTCTAGGATTGAGCTTGTTAATGCTTTGTACTCAGTCAAAAATGGAGTCAAAAACTTGGGTCATCAATGCTTGGTTTCACTAGTAAAATAAGCATTATCAAGAAACCTTAAGTTTTTTTATCCTCGCGAGACTTAAAAAGACAAAAAAAGCAGAATTTTCTTTTGTTTATTATTCGGTTTGTGCATAGTCTTGCTTTTGTTTGTGCACATGTCAAATCTAATCTTCTATGCTTCGCGTATTGTCTTTGTTCATACTTTATATATCGTCACTTTGCTGGTGCCTTACTTCATTTCCTGAATTCAAGTATTTTAATGTAGTATTCGTGAATGGTTGCAAGACGGGTCAGAGGAAGGACGACAATTAGTGTAATTTTGGCAGTACACAAACTACTCTAAAGACATCAAAATCATACTTAGGGTGTCATGGACTTTCCAATAAAATCATCCGTTCAGGAATTCAGCTTTAAATCAAGTAGTTTAAAACGCGAATACCATAATGAACGGTTGAGAATCGCAAAAGTTAAGAGGAAAAATGGCAGCGAAGTGACTCACAACAACTCTTAAATAACAATGGTAAACCAAACAAAAAGTATCAAAGTATCAAGAATTTTTGTAGTAAAGAAGTATCAAGAATTTTTGTAGAAAATACAGACGGTTGAGTATTTAGTAGTATTATATATTTAGTAGTTAATGCGATGATATCTCCATTATTCTATATTTCTAGACTATAATTTCCACATAAAGATGTTGCCAATAAAAGAACTAGATTATCCTTCGACACAAAACATCCTTCCTCATCCTCGATAGTCAGTATCTATTCTTCCAGACTGTCCGACAAAGAATCAAATCTCTATGAAATAATGCTTTTATTTTATATTTTAAAGTTCATTTGTATATCCTGTTATCGATGTTAGGAAAAATTTTGATATTTGGGATTAACCGACTGGCACTTCTATGCCATTGACTGGCATTAAGTAATGTTATAGAAGTTAGCACAGTTCAGTTAACATGCTTGTTGACATGTTAATATGGAGATGTTTCTTGTGAAAGTCAATATGTTTGCGATCTTGCATGTAACATTAAAATGAAATTGAGTTTACAATTGATTTATCAAAGTTACATAAAGAAATTGCAGTACGCTGGCAGAGTATTGCAAAATCTTTAAATTATATTTGGTCTGATTGTGATTACCGTATCAGACAAACCGCTGTCAACGTTAAATATTTAATCACTTTATTGTACGTATAATTGTATCAACAATTTTTACTGTTATAACATTGAGGGATGTTATAGCAGTGTCAACATAGTGAACACGAACATTTTTTGATAAAGTTATTCAAGTCATCTGACAGCAATTTCATGTAAACATCGTAGTAAGCTATCCCTGCAAATGTTTGCAATTTACAACTGCTCTTTGTTAATAATTGTAAAGTACGAGTTTCGTCAGAAATTTTAAAAGATCTTCTGCAAACACTGGTTTTGGGAAATACGTGAACTTGTAAATCTTGTCATGATTAGTATTTTACTATTGTTCTTACAGTTTTTCTTACATGGCAATAGTTGCAGATTAAAACTGCGGTATGTGTTTGTTTGCTTTTGTTTGTTTTCTTTGTCTGTTTGTTTATTTTGTCATACCACTAACTTGTTGTTTAGTATTTTTCAGATGCAGAGGACGAGAAGATGTGAGAAGTGGAAATCAGTGCTGTAAGTGTTTCTATCATTCATCATATCTAACTATTTTGTTGCTTGTGTCTCTTTTAGAACGACGTAGGCTTGTGTCTCTTTTAGAACGACATATCATGATCAATTAACGTTTCTTACGGTAAGTGTAACAAATAAATGTTTAGACTTAGTGCTATCATAGAAACTTAAAAATCAAAATCTTTGACTTCAATTCTTTAATCGGTGTTTGCAGATGATCAATTGAAGATTTTGATTATACCAAAAGTATTAATTTTAGAGCAAAATCACATCTAAACCCTTCAACAAAAGTATGCACATAAACGAGTATTTGCAATATTCTAACTAAATTTGAGAGTTCCCTCGCTCTCGGATTTAGGAAAGAAGTTCTCAAAAAAGTCTATGTACTCCAAAATAGACTTCTGCCACCTATTTTGGAATACTTTTTGCAGTTGCACAAAATTTCACGCAGCGTAAACTTGATAGTCGTAACGATTTTTGTAATTAAAATAAGATCCTGCATAGTTTGTATAAAGTGCGCTTGAGTTGAGTGAGGACTGCATTGAACTCCAAGTATTCGAAACATTTATTAAGTATCCTTGAATTAATATATATTTTATTATTATTCGGCGTATTCGCTCATTTTTGGAGGTTTGTCATTGTAGAAGGTATTAAATTTTATGGAAAAGTTGTTTGATGGAGTTACAGATTGTATTTCGCTATAGTCAGTCATTTTTGATTACTGATTTTGCCACTCAATGTACTGTATATCAAGAAGCTAGCATACCAACTTGTACTCACTGCGTACCTATTTTTTGTAAAAATAATTAATCCTGCAAAAGAAAATGCTAGATTCAGACACTGACCTCTATAAATACGCTGAGCGATTGAACTGGATGGAGCAGCGTGGCATATAATACTTTCTTTCCTGTTATCCCTACGTCATAAGGTTGTAAGATATGATCAGATATTAAATAAATGTTTACGGAATATAATATTTTGTTCATTTATGGTACGAGACTTTGATGAAAGTCTAATTGGTTAATTCAGACAAAGAATCTTCTCATTTTATAAAAAAGATTCAACCACTTCTGTTTGCTAAAATGGCGCTCATCTGAAAGAAGATTGTTTTGTATATGATGTACTTGATAGTTTGATTTTCTTTGTGTTTAATTCACAAGTTTTCAGTGTTTCTCATCGGAAATGGGCTTCTTATTTTCGAAATTATTTAGCTTATTATTTTCCTCTGAAGGTAAGCATCTTTAAACATTTTTGTCCTTCGACTGTGTCGTTAAAACATAGAGTCGAGTTTTTCATCTTCACCACTGTCAAAACGATATTTTAATTCAGAATTCTGGAATTTATTTTCTGTTCATCATATTTTTGTAATCAGCATTACTTGTATGATTTCAATTTTGCTTTGCTTGCTTCAATTGTGAACTTTTTCTATTACGGTCAAATGTATGAATCTGAAAGCGAGCGAGCATTCATGAATTTGTCAAAAGTGTTGAGAGAAAGGCCGGCTGTTCCAACAGTTCAAATGTAGTTTATTTGAAACCAGAATTAGAAAATTCATTTTAAAACGTTGATATTTGAAACATGAACCAGTCTGGGTAACTTCATTATACATTATCAACATTTCTATAATGGATTTTCAGAGCACAAAGTTATTATAGTGGGACTGGATAATGCTGGCAAGACCACAATATTGTACCAGTTGTAAGTATAGATTTTCATCATTCAGCTGAGTATTAATGGAAACACAAAAGAAGTGTTTTTGTTTATGTTTTATCACTTGGAGATATTCTGTTGAGAAGCTGTATTTTTGTTAATTGTTAGCTAATCTAGTACTATATTACATTGCCTTCAAACAAAAAAGTAAAATTTTATATAAACAAACACAACATTGTGTGCATGCTTTTAAAAAAATTATGAGCTTTGATTAGTGTGTGTGTTAAAGGGAGTTCAATTTGTTTGTTTTATTAATAAATGAGTAGTTTGTTTTACTGGCAGTAAATGAAGCATAAATGAACATTGTGAAGAGTGGAAATCTAAAATAAATTTTATGTTGTTTTTTTGTGTGTTGTATCTTGTTACAGACTTCAGCCATACTTACATTAGCAGTCAAAGAAATGCTGTTATGATCCTTGTATTATTTCCCAATATTTCATTGCAAGCTTTCTTAGGTCACCAAAGTAAACTAATGAAAAATAGGGTCTCAGTTTGATATGGAGTGAGGCATTTTTGTTTTTATAGTACTAGTCTTGAAAACATGCATTAAACTAAGCTTGAAGATAAATGTAGTTATGAATATTTACTTTTTTTATGTAAGCGATATTTTTAAAATTTCACACCAAGCTATTTAGCTCCATTAGATGTTAAATTTGACCATACATATGTATAGTCACTTTACACTTATGCTGCTTATTGTATTAAAAGTCAAAATACATGCATTGACACGAGTAATTTTGTTTAGTTTAATGAATGAAGTGGTTCACACATCACCAACAATTGGAAGCAATGTAGAAGAGGTAATCCAGTGCCCTACATATAATTGTATTTAATACAGCATGGTAAACAATGTTTGTTGTAGACATATATAAAATGTCTAAAGAAAGTTTTCACAAAATTACTCAGAAAATATTTTGTATCTTGCTAAAATTATTCAAAAATGTATAGTAGATTTGGAATAGTGCAGCTGTATCAAAACTTTATCCAGACTAAATAAAGTCAAAACTTTATCAAAGTTACCAGAAAGTGAAATACTTTATCCAGGCCAGCTTGTAAATGTGCATATCAGGGTTCCCAGTATAGAATTTTGAAATGTCATGCCCATTGCTTCATCTGCCTTCTTAAATCTCCACATGTCAGAATACATTAACATAGTGGTTTTACGTAATAAGATATTTATGATGATCTTCTGGTCATGTTATGTTCTTGTTGTTGCTGGCACTTTCACATACATACTAAATGAATTTTCATTTTACAGAATTATCACCATTATAATGCTATTTTATATTCCATCCTCAATCCAGTAATTTTATAGTACAGTCAACTGTCGCCTTTCGGACACCTCGCTATTACGTACATCTTGCCATCAGGGATAGCAGCTAAATCTCCAAATGAAACTTGCTATATGTATTAAAATCACTCTTGTTTGACGGACTTTTTATACTAGCTATGGTACCTCGGACATTTGGTGTGGCCCCCAAGTAACATTTTCGTTGTTCATTTCTCGTTACAACAGACACTCTGGACGATTTTAATTTAACATCGTATAATAGTCAACGACGTATTTTTATTGAACGTGTATAAACGTAGTTTATGGTAAAAATGCAGTAGTAAAACAGAAATACAGTACAAAAACATTTTACAACATAACTTTGGAGATTCCATCAAACCTCTCTCCCGCTATGACGGTTTTGTTTCTATTGTCTAATATTGCTAATGATAGTATTTTTTGTAATATTTATCTCTGTATCTGTATAGCCATTTGTATTTCTCTCTTGCAGATAGTTTGGAAAAATATGCATTTTTTAATGTGGGATATTGGAGGACAGGAAGCATTAAGGTCTTCTTGGGATACTTACTATGCTAACACTGAAGTAGGTCTATGTTGTACTATATGTTTCTATCAAATATGATACTGGTAATGGTGTCAGCTGTCACAAAATTTTTTTGTAAATGAAATTCTTTCATTTGTTTCAGTTTGTAATCATAGTAATTGACAGTACGGACAGGGAAAGATTAGCTGTTATTAAAGAGGAAATTTATGGAATGTTAGCAAATGAAGTAAGTTGAAAAATGTCAGAATTTTAACCAACTTTATACGATACAAATTACCATGGCGTCATGACTCTGACGTAACTTGACAAGGTTGAGAAATGATCTTTTCTGTAGTTTATGCCGGGTTTTTTTCATTTTTTTGTTGTTGCAAATGTGTCAGACCCAAAATTTGTTTTAAACAATGAATTCTTGTGTTGGAGGGGAATTTAAACCCGTTAGGATTTTGTCCTCCCATGCACTGGGGGGGGGGGATTTTTTTTCATTGCGGCAAATCCAAATGGCTGTGTTGCCTTACACACATGTATTTATGTCTTGACTGTCCCCTTGTTTAGTTGAAAATACGCGTTAAGTTTTTTATGCTGTATTTTTTAGCAATTAAAAAACGTTAGTGACTTATTGTTTTTAGCAATTGAAAAACGCTAGTGTATTATTGTTTTTAGCAATTGAAAAACGCTAGTGTGTTATTGTTTTTAGAAATTGAAAAACGCTAGTGTGTTATTATTTTTTTAGCAATTGAATAACGCTAGTGTGTTATTGTTTTTAGCAATTGAAAAACGCTAGTGTGTTATTGTTTTTTAGCAATTGAATAACGCTAGTGTGTTATTGTTTTTTTAGCAATTGAAAAACGCCAGTGTGTTATTGTTTGCGAATAAACAAGATCTAAAGGTACGTAATTTGTATTACAATCATTCAGTTTGACGACAAGTACCGTTCTTTGTAAACTACGCAGTTCACTTAGACATCGCCCTAATCCTAATGTCTTGAGAAAAATAGAGAAAAACGTTCCAAGGTCAAAAAGTCCTGAGGCTAGGTTTACGATTAAACGTGAGACGTTTTGACTTGGGGATGCTTCGACTGGTAATCAATCCCCCTCCCCGCCAGTTGAATGGATCCTAATTCCGCGTATCTACGTAGTTTGTCTGTTGTACGCATGACGCTTGTGACGTAGTTTTGTGGCTACGTATATTCTTATAAAAAGGAATGCATTCTTTCTTTCTTTGGATTCAACGATATTATTAGTCATTGGATGCTTGCTTTTGGAAATTTACTGTTCTGTTGATTTCTTGAATCTCTGACTAGCCTTTACAACTAGTAATGTTACTCAAGACTTGCGTTTACTTAGAAATAGCAAAATGTTGACTGTGTTTGACCGTAACTCATTTTTTCATCATCATTTATAGGGATCCATGAACTCGGCTGAAATCTCACAGCAGTTGAATCTAACTGCGATTAAAGACCATGGTTGGCATATACAGGTAGCTAAATAGATCAGTGCCGTGCAACTTAGTTTTGAAATAACGTCATGTTTTTGTGGGGAAATGTTTATTGTTTATGACCCTCTTTTTCAGGCATGCTGTGCGTTAACTGGAGAAGGGTGAGTTTTTAATGCTAAACCTATTGATTAATATAAGTCTATGAACCAATAGTGACGACAGGGCGACTACCCCCGTGTATTAAAATGAATTAGGTTATGGTCACTAGCTAACTGTTCGCTATTCTGCACTTCAATTTAATATTAATTGTGTACGAGGAAATGTGTTTGTAGCAACTTGTAGGTCATTGTGATAAATGTTTCTAAAAAAAGAATGGTGGTCATGTTACTCATGTTACTCATGTCACTCATGTTACTCATGTTACTCATGTCACTCATGTTACTCATGTTACTCATGTCACTCATGTTACTCATGTTACTCATGTTACTACTTGCACTAATTACTGCCAGTCTGTTGTCACAAAAATAAGTTTCTGGTAAAATATGCCTTGTAAGTTTTAATATGGAGTTTAATCAATGTCAACAGTTTTTGCCGTCATTCCTATGAATAAATTCTATCCATTCTTTAGTTTGTATTCCGGTCTGGAGTGGATAGTAAACCACAGGAAAAGATAGACAAAATGTTACCTGACACTATAACATAGTCAAATGATGCCATTTTGTACTAAAGACATTTTGTATTCAGACTAAAGCCAGGATTACTAATATGTGTGATGCTGCTGGGGGAATATACGTAATCTATACCTGTTCTTTATGAAGAAGAGACCTCTAGAAATGTACTGATCTCGTATTTTCAATGCTAAAAAAGCATTGTGTTTAAACCAACGACGATTACAAAAATTGAATTTATATTGCTTGTCGAACATCGTCGTCATGTAACTACATTTGATTCATTTCTGAAAGTCTCTTATACACAACTGGTAGGGCATTCCTGATATTTTTAAGTCCATTCCTTATTACAACATCTCGCGCATGACATCTGCATGAAAAACAAGAGTTATATAATTTTGTTATCAGATTTTGAATTGAGATCCCGTTCCAATACTTCATAATTACCGTATTTCATGTGATCCGTTGCCTGTCCATGATTTCGTTTTTAATTTTCGAAGGTTTCGTGTTGCTACACAACCAAACCATCGGATAACTTCAGATGCATACAAGCTCCATCCTTATATCTAATGTTTTTGCACGTATGTCCTATTCACTTATTGCGCATGCGTCGGGAACACGCTTGGTTGGTGTATCATAAAATATAGATGCATTCTTCCCTGCATGCTTATGAATTTTTTCGCTCATCAAGGTCGGTGGCAGGGATTGCTGTTATGTGAGTCTTCTGACGGCAAAATTTAAATATTCCCATTAAGGCATCATCTTCATAAAATACTTTTGGGATGATGGGAAAACGAAGTCGACTTCAAGTAAACCGAAATAAAAATGAGAAATGCAAGTACTGACCGCTTTTTGTGTTAGCTTGCACTCCGTCTTTTTTGCGGGGGTTTCCTCCGATGGTTATTGCCCGCAGTAAAAAGTCTTTCTTTGAAGTTTTTATCCGAGTATATTTGTCCAGGTGATGATTTATTCAAAGGTTTTTCCCCATCAAAAGAACAAAGTTCAAGTTACCCGTACAAAGCAAAGAAAAAAATTAAAATGATCAATTCCGAGATAACAACGGCCTTATGTACGCGATCGTACCTATTTTATAAAATTTCTTTAAAAAAATTTTACGTTCTTTGTGTTGTGTTTTAAACATTTTTTTTGAGTACATATTTTTATAAAATCTTAAAAACTGTACGTTCTTTGTGTTATGTTTTAAACATTTTTTTTGAGCACATATTTATGTAAAATCTTCTTATAAACTGTAAGTTGTTTGTGTTGTGTTTTAAACACATTTTTTGAGTGCCTATTTATATAAAATCTTCTTAAAAACTGTACGTTGTTTGTGTTGTGTTTTAAGCATATTTTTTTGAGCACATATTTATATAAAATCTTCTTATAAACTGTAAGTTGATTGTGTTGTGTTTTAAACACATTTTTTGAGTGCCTATTTATATAAAATCTTCTTAAAAACTGTACGTTGTTTGTGTTGTGTTTTAAGCATATTTTTTGAGCACATATTTATATAAAATCTTCTTATAAACTGTAAGTTGATTGTGATGTGTTTTAAACACATTTTTTGAGTACCTATTTTATAAAATCTTAAAAAACCGTACGCTGTTTGTGTTATGCTTCAAACATATTTTTTTGAAGGAAAACAATGTTCTAATCTTTTGATGGATTCAACAGTTGACTATTGTTTGTATTGATTTTCCTTGTAGTGTCTTAGGGCCTCCACAGACTAGGTATTTTGTCGTCGACAACTAAATGTAGTCTACAAGCAACAATTTTTCGTGATTGCGGTTTCCCTGGCAAAAAAGGGAAACCGCTTGTTATCGACAACTACAATTTTACACGTTTAGTTGTCGACAACTTATTCCACAGACGGTAGTTTACTTGTCGACTACCTTTACGTGTCGACTACCTTTACGTGTCGACTACCTTTACGTGTCGACAAACTTTACGTGTCGACTACCTTTACGTGTCGACTACCTTTACGTGTCGACTACCTTTACGTGTCGACTTCCTTTACGTGTCGACTACCTTTACGTGTCGACTACCTTTACGTGTCGACTACCTTTACGTGTCGCCATCGATGATCAAATTTACGCCATGACAGCATAGTTAAGACATGATACGCAAATTTACATAGTTTTTTTGTGAGGTACAAAGAAAGCAATAAGTCTAAATAAATGGTATTTAATAAGTAAAGATAATAATGACGACAATTACCGTTACTTTCAATAAACACTATTTTCCGATATTTTTATCGGTACTATCAAATTTTCGATATCAGCATCAACCGATCAATCGACAATATTTACAGATTATTTCAATTAGTATTATTTTAATAAATACCGACAGTTTCAATATTTACCTATAGCTTTGTCCAATATCGACAAGCTTTACTTGTTGGTCAGTATAATACAGGTGTGTTTGACAGCCTCGCCAACTATCCGTAGGCCACTCAAAATCCATAGTGGCACAGCTTGGTTTTTTGGGGGTTTTGGTCTCAGCAGGTTATTTACTAAACCTTTCATAAAACATTTTTCAAATAGGTATTGTCCACTCAATGACGTCCTGCATGACTCTAAACACAGAGCGTTCTCAAAGGCAAAATAACCCTTACTGATAACCCATTTGAGTGTTCAAGCTCAATGCTTTTTGTATCGCCAAACTGTATCAATCCCTGCTTGAATTGCAACATCATGTTGCCAATCAGGCAATGGAAATCTACAGGCAAGCACTTTGGCACCCTCTTTCATTTCAATAGCAAGTTTTTCTTGCAATTTTGGCATCTGAAAAATCACAGAAAGTAAGAGACTAAGTAACCAACTAAGTATTACCTGTTAAGGTAAAGTTTCATGGAATGGTACAAGAAAAAATGTCAAAATCTTAGACAGTTTTTAACGTTACCATTACATCAACACCAAAAATAACTACGGTGTCGAAATCTTTTAAATCTGCCTAAAAAACAAAAAATGTACCTTCATAATCAATAATTCATAACTGGGTGTATGAGAATACACCAAAGATGATCATTAGATTATTAGACATTACCTTCCAGAGATTAACACGTGAAAATGATGCCTTAGTATGAAGACCTTCAAATCTAGCCCGTATTTTGGAGTATAACACCAAAAAATAATTAAGCTCGTATCCAACTGCCTCATAACCAGCTCTTGCTGCAGCTAACACCTACAAAAAAATCAAATTTAATCTGTAATTAAGTATTTGTTTAGGACTTTTCTCAATCTTTAGATGGTGAACCAAAATTGATAACATAACCTATCTTGCACATTTACTCCCTACAAAATAAATTTGGAGCGATTACCATTATTCATTCCTTACATTATTGAATACCTTTATCAATAATTAACACTTGAATATTTATATGTTGAGCTGAATATACTGTCAAGAATCTTAGAACATTGACCGTGTAGACTTTGTGAATTTTTCACATACTTTTCAAACTTTAAACATCAAATTTCCATGAATTACGTTAAATGAAAAAATTACAGTAAAATTACCACCACACTATAGAATAATCAGTTTCTTACCACTCGACCATCTCCACTGCCAAGATCGACTAGACGACTAGTCTGACCCTTACACAGTTTAAGAATATTTTGTATCTGAGATTCAGTAGCTGGCACAAATGGTAGGCAAATCTTGCGAAGAGCTGGCGTTAAAAATGGTAATGTTCCCACGACTAAACCTGCGGCAAGAGTTCCAGTTATGCCTAAGGCTATCATACCTAATCTAGATGGTACTTTAACTACTTTTTGATTCGAATTATGGGTTGTGTCAGCCGCATCTTCAGTGGCAGAATCCAGTTGAAGTTGATGAAGTAGTCGTTCCATGGCTATTAAAAGACGCCTCTTCGCGGCGTTTTAAATTTGAGGCATTTTCCCCAACAACACAACTATAAACTTAAAAGATATTACTGTTATTATTGTTATATGGAGCTTTTTGGTTTTTATGAGCACCGTTGAGCCAGCGATTGCATGAACTCAGTATATGAAGAACTTTGTGTAAAGAGGTGTAAAGTAGCGGTTCAAATTCAACAAAATATTAAATCTTGTGAATCATTCATTCTTCATCAAAATTTACTTTGTTGTGTTTGTTGGACAGATTCTAAATTAAACAGAGAAAACATGTCTTATGTTTCATCAGATCCCTCTAAGCCTGAAAGGTGTGTTTTGCTATTTGACGTTTACGTAAATTTCGATAAATTATATAAAGTAACGACTTCTGGCTGAGAGCCTAAGACTTGCTCTCTTTATTCATTCAACTTTCTCTACATCAAGAAATTTTGCTTCTTTTTTTGTCCTTTTAAGATGGTATATTGTCTACCCATCTTATATAAACAGCAAAAAAACAATAGCAGAAGGAAGAAGGATCCCTAAAGAAAAGGTATATTTTATGGCACAGGGTCAATAAATATATTTGACTTATGGGCAACTCGTGAAGTCTAAACACTCAACAACCCAGCCCATCCAACTCTGCCTAATACCACAACCAACTTGATCCTAACTCTAACTATTGCACTGAAGACCGTGCTATCTTTCTCTGATGGCTGCTTTGCAGCAAATGCAATGCATTCATCTTGAAATGGTCTGTGTAGGTTGTGCCAAACTGGTGGGAGGGCTAGAAAATCAATCAATTGAACTGTGCTATAGCATTCCAGTGCAAATTATCCATTTCATGTAAATTGCTGTGCCAAACTGGTGGGTGGGCTAGAAAATCAATCAATTGAACTGTGCAATAGCATTCCAATGCAAATTATCCATTTCATGTAAATTGCATAGGCATGTGAAAATCCTACAGTAAATGAGATAAAAGATGTCTGTCAAAGTCAAAATCTGAACTGTTCGGTTGAAGTAAGTGTTGAGTTCATATTATACAAACCTATCAATGTTTTTTTTGGAAGATATATTTTCAAAAATATTTTAGAACAAGCAATATCCTAGGGATAGTGCGAAAGATGCATTATGCAAAGGAAGAGTAAGGGTACAACTGAAGAATGCAGAAGGAAATCCAATTAATGTGTTATTCAAATGTAGTAAGTTCAGCTAAATGTCATACTTTCCTATTATTTTAGTACAAATTTATTTGATATCCTTCATAATTCTATTCTCCCATTGACCACAGCAGGTTGTTTCTTTGATCAACCTTATACGGACTTTCATTATTCATCTCATTGAGTTGCAATCATTTTTTTACAAATAAGAACTATTCACTGTCATTTTTTGTGCTATGGGCTATAAATGTTCATGGTTTTGTATTTGAAAGGTTTGCTTTCCTAATTTGGAAGTCATTCAGATAAAGGAAATATCAAAATTCAAGTCGTTTGAAACTCCAACATATGTGTAGCACTTTTGACTACATGTGCAGTGAATTTAATCTTTCTATCACTGTGGGACTATCGCATCCTGTACATTTCTTGTATTTATGAAGCTTCTACTACATCCCATCAATCCTCTGTTTTATAGAAAAAGACCTTTTTCTTTATCTTGGAGAAATGATACCTAAATTAAAAAGTAGACAGGGCAAAACACAGCAAGGTGACTTAGCTAGTTCACAGACCTCTGTTGGAAACACAAACAAAAAGAAAAAAGGCAAGAAAGGAAAAGGAAAATAAACGATGTTATTTTTCATACTTATTGAATAAACATGAACTGGATCCTTGCTGTGAATTGTGAATATTAATAAAGTTACCGTTTATGAGAAACGAGAGAAAATTGAAATAACATTTATCACCCACGAAATATTCAACATATTTTGTCTGGCTAACTGTCGACATTAGTATAGTATATCCAGTCTGCATGTTTTTTAGTCTTACTATGTAAATTTCAGAACTTTAGCTACCATTGAACAATGGTTTTTTTGTCATTTTTTTGTCGTTATTGAACCACAGGATTGAACAGAAAGAAATTTAAAGTTACAAAAGAGGATTACGTAAATAAATGGGCTGGCTTCGCTACTGACTGTTAATTTACACGAATTTTCTCTATTGATCTGTCCTGTGATTTAGAAATCGTAAACATTTTAACAAGTGTTTTATCAATTAAATAATTGCAACCACAAAGCCGGATATTGCAACAACAAATACCAAATAACACGACTGCACGAGAGATTTACAACGATGTTTATTGAACATACAAGTCTCGAGTGGCTTTGTGAAGTTTTTCTCCAAAATCTGTAAATGTTTTCTTCATTTAAGCGATACTTTTTCTTTTGGTAGTATGTTCTGATAAGATTCGCCAGTTGCAAGAAAATGTTCTCATTTTGCGAATATGGCGTGATTTTAAGTTACAGCATTTTTCGAATTGCTGAAATTTTAAAGTCTCGATGAGAAATTTTAATGCAGCTAAATAACTCTTGTCTTAAATAAAAGACCCTCTGCGTCTTATCTGCTTAAAAGTCTTTGTGTGTTTATTTATGTTTTTACAGATGTAGTTATCAATACAACAAAGGCACAAAGCACCTTAAAGTTTTAAAAGGTTCCTCGACTTACGTATAATATTGCTGCATGCCTTACTTGGTAGTGCATGTTCATTTTTTTAAGTTAAAAATAATCGTTATTAAAAGACACGCCAGCGATTTTAAACTAATTTTCGACAATCTCAACTTACAACGCGAAGAAATCAAGCCTGAAGGGAAAATCCTTGCCATCAACACACTTTATTTTGTTGATCAGTACTTTGTTTCAACGATCACGGTATTTCGGTGATGTACTATAATTATTTATCATCGCACGTTATCGGAGAACCCATTTATCGCATATGAATAAAACAAAATAATATAATAAAGTAATAAACTCTTTCTTGTAAATTGCGTTGTCAAAATTATAGTTTCTATTTGTTGACTATCTCCTACGTAATTGCTCTAATTAGTTCTTCGGCAAATATGCGATAGGTGATATCCCAATTCACTAATTGCAAATGAACAAAAAATATATAAAAGAATTTTGTTTTTTGGTATTTTGTATCCTCTATATTTTGTTGAAAACCAATTTCACATCTGGTACTAATACCACAGTGATAAAACTGGCTTTGTTGTCCAGTGTACGGTGTTTACCGTATAAAACGACAGCTCCATGCGTGACATTTCATCAAGTTGTTTTGTAAAATTAATGAGTATTTCATATCAAAAATAGCTACTCACGAATTAATTATAGGCCAATTTCATTTCACTACCACAATGCAATGAGGGTGCCATTAATTGTTTCCTATCATGACGTCACAAGGTTTTCTGTTCTCTGGCATTCGTAGCAATTTCTGGGCACATATAATTCGAAACTTATTAGTTACTACATAAAAATGGCAATTCGAATTTTATCATTTTTCATTAGGTTGTTAAGTGTGAAGCTTTCCTTGCCTCTTTCTATAGCGCACAGTAGAAATGTTTCGATGTGTCGTAATTGACAAGATTACAGATTCGTCTGTCCAATTAAATTTTTCCTTCTAAAGGCGACGTTTAGTAAAGGTAACCAATTGAAGTGCCAAGGTCAGACATTTAACATGCAAGTATCTATCAACGAGAAAATAACGATTATGATGCTCCAACACTGTGTATAGGAAATTATGGCTACCTGTAGTCACTATTCATTAGCGTATGTAATAATCAACCCCCTTGCTGACCGTTGTATTGAGTTGTGTAAGATGTGACAATGCCTTCGATTTCCGGAATTTAACCGCCTAAAATTTAACAAAGATATGATTTTTTTATTTGTTCATTAGCACAGGAAATTGTAAAATGTTCAAAGTCGCTGAAGATTACACGGTTTTATTCCAAAGCCATCATCAGAGAATATATAATATATTAATCCTTAATATTTAGGATTAATATATTACACGGTTTATCGTATCATAATGTCGTCCAATGCACTGCTTAAGTCGGTCAGTTGAGTGGACAGTAAATTATACGGAACGTAAAAAAGTAAAAGAAGATGCCATCCCTATAATTGTTATCGACTTTGGATTCTCGTAAAATACGTTTAAAAAATAAAATTTAAAAGATTAAATTTAGTTATCTTAAATGCATTCGTCAACTATTGGATTTTACGTAGCTACCACTATTCTGTCCAATAGTAAAACTTGAAGACAATTCAAAAAAATGTCAAAGTTTCATTTCATATAGCTATGTCACCTCAAATACGATTAACTTTGTTACTCCAAGTCTAGCAATACTCTAAAAGAAAAACATAAAATCAAATATATAGGACCAAAAACTATTGTAGGTATGTCAAAATACTTCAACCAGGGGACATTTCAAAAATAATTAGCAAACCTAGACTTTACTAAGTTTATCATTTGAACGTAAAGTTGTCCCCCTTATGCCAGATGAATGATATACTTTCGCGTATGTTGCTAACTATATGTTGAATTGAAAAGAAACACTTCCTTTGTGTACGTTCCATTGTTAATCCCCATCTTGTATGTCTGTCATTGAACTTGGGGGTGAATGCTAAGTACATTAACTTGTGTCAGCGTGTGCGTTTCTTAGTCAAATTAGGTAAACGAGTTTACGTGTAAGACTTCATCGACGCTCGTGCTGTTGATATTAGGTTTCCACAGCAGTCGTACTCAACCAAATGTGAAGTGCTTGGATATTTTGATAAATTGTTTAATTTCATACAGTAAAGCATATCTTTTGTTTGTTATCGGCATTGTATACCGTACGTAGAATTTCACCGATACAATGACTGCTAATGTCCTCTTGCAACAGTTCGTTATCATTCTGATGGTGGGACTCAACACTGAACCGTTAAATGGTGCTCCCGTTCAAACAATTGACCAAGAATTTCGTACACCAGTCCCAAACATTACAGAGACTTGGATATGGCTAACAGAAACACCTTTGGATAAGTTGTTCTACTACGATGAAGAACACTGGTGTGCGCATCTTGGATCTCAATTCGAGAAAGTTAGCTACGCCAAATACATGGTATGCTTTGCTTTCAATTTGTATATTTGAATTCCTTTTGAAATGATTGTTGAAATCTCCGTAAAATTGCTTAATTTTTGAAGTTTGCAAAATATGTATATTTATATAGGCATACACTGCATTCCTTGAATGATTCGAACATCTTATTGATAAAAAGAACTCACCGTTCTTTTTTACTTTTATAACTTCAGCGTTTTCCGATCCAAATGTGTGTTTTCTTTCATAGAACTTAGCTTTCCGTTCTAATACGATTATAAAGAAGAACAAAGTTGTGTTCTGCGTTCACTTAGGCATATTACTAAAACCTTTTATTTCCACAGTTATAAATAGAAAGTTTAGCTGCTTTACAAACTGGCATGTTCCTTTTATGTTTGACAACCTATTTCGAAAAGTTATCTTTATTTTTCTTATAATAGAATAAATATAACCATTTTTTTATTGTGTCGATTAAGTCTTACTTTCAAAACTTGTACACACAAATGCATAAAATTGTGATTCTACTTGTAGTTAGTAATAGTTGTTGTATTTCGTACTGGAGTCTTATGTCTGTGAAAGAATGAATGGTGTTTATAAAGTATAATCGTCAGTGGTGTTTATGCACAAACACGAACAATGTTTTATTTCATTGTTTTGTTTAATGTTAAGAGTTCCAAGATTTTATGTATGTACATCATTTCGCTGTATTTTTGTTAGGTGGAAGTTTCGACATTGAATTTGATCTTATAAACGATTATTTTCTTTTCTTTCCTCAAGATGCTCATTTCATTGTACTAACATGCTATAACCTGATTATCTCGTATTATTAGGAAAAGCCTTATCCCAAAAAAATAAAGCCCAACAACACCTTTTCTAGCAACCAGTAGAAAGGACACATGTCACTACATATTTTGTTGAATCATTTTTTTTATTTCAACAAACGGAATCGTTTTTTCTAACCCACTTTGCAAACCCACTGTCTGTGAGTAGCAACTGTTTGGTTTAGACAAAACAGATTTAGACGTGCTTACTTAAAGTCTTTCATTAATTTGAAAAGCTTGTAAAAAACGTTCGCCCAGGTTGACAAAGATATTGAAACTGGAGCTGGTTCCCTAGATGAACAAATTTCATTATTACGCTATCCGAAATTTTGCAGTGGCGCGTTTTTGCGTGGGAGACGTGACGTCCAAAATAAGATTTTCAGCCATGGTTATTCCAATATAAATGCTTCTCGCGACATGAGACCCTTCTAGCAGGTACTATGTTTAATTAAAAGCTGTAAGATTACCGCGCAATTTATGGACGTGTTGACTAATAATGACGCTGTCTTTGCATAATTTGCAACGGGCTAATTAAATGATTCTTAAATGATCACATGAAAGCGCCATGCGCATGATCTAAATAAGAACATACAGGTGTTGTTATGTATCAACTATTGGCATTAAGCGCATTTTGTATGTTTTTTAATTTGTTGTTCGGTGTTTTCGTTTCACATTCAACTAATATGTACAATTCAATTGTTTACACTAAACTATTCGGCATTTCCTCGATTAATGGCTAAAACACTATTACACGCGATTTATAATTTACTATTGTTTTAGAGATCAAACGCAAATGAGTGGGTGTTAGGAATATTTGTCTAGAACAGCTAATCTTAACCGTATGTGCAGTTGCAGAATGTGTTAAACCCTTATAAACATGTTATGTGCTTAAGTTCTTAAATGTTTGCTGTCTTTTGAGAAACCAACAGGTTATTGTGCACTCGGTACACTGCTTGGTGGTGACTTGTGAGGCCAATTATAAATTATACATATTTACCATACATGCATACAGCTAGAGGTTCGGTGGAACTATTGGTAAATTTTAAACTAAACAGTATTACTTGATTGACTGTCAGCAATAAATTGATGAATGTGGAATAATTCAACTAATACACAGCTAATGTAGCTAACCCCGCTAATTTGGAACAAGAATTTAATTTAACATGACAATTTCAATTTTCGTTTAGCTGTTGCAATGCTGACATGGTCATGTTGTCAACACATGTTTTACAAAAATTGACTAATTCAGAAAAATTTTTTAGTTAATCGTTAATTAATAACTGCTGGGTAAGTCGTTTCACAATAAGTTCGTGGTTTATATCCTGCACTTTGTCAACCATATGTCCCAACTTCCTTATCGTATTTCATCAAACATTTCTTAGTCTTGGAGTAAAAAAGATGCATGTGAGTGAGTTGTCGTTGGAAGGGGAAGCTGTATGTGTGAGGGTTTAGTCTGATTTATTGTATGAAATGATACCTTGATCGGTGAATGTTATAAAATGGTCCGAATTGTTTATCAAACGTATTAATTGTTATGAAAAGCAATTTATTCCAGATCACTCAATCCAGATTAACTGTTGCATAGTAAAATTTCCTGCTCAGTCAGCTCAAACGCATTACAAGAGTTCAGTTTAACTGCTTTTTGATTAAAAACTTATTTCGAACGCTTTTGAATATTTTGTTGAGCTTGATTCAGGCATGTTGAAACAAGTTGACTTGATTTCATGCTGCAACTCAAACGGACTTGTATTCAAAAGATGAAATAGAGCGTTTGCCTTCATATTAGTTATGTTTTATATCATGAACTATCTGTGCAGTCAATATTATCAAAACTAAGAGAAATTTCTATCATAAACGTGAGGCTTGGATTAAAAGCCCGTGTGGTATACGATTCATGACGTTTTTTGCCTTCACTATAAGTCGATTGCGTTTAATTTTTTATTTCAAGGATTAACGGAAACACTTTCCTAAGTAGCTTTGATTTCGAATTCGTGGCGTGTTTTCTTATCAAATTACTTGTTGATTTTACTGCTCGCAAAAATATCAATCGCTAAAAGTTTTATGTTGTTTATAGAATTATAGTAAAAAGTTTTTACTAAAGAAAAATTGCCACCAGCCATGACTTCGACCTTTATTTGCTGTGGGTAATATTTAGAGATGTACGCGTGACTATATCTATTTTTTGCAGTTTTTATAAATATTTTTTCGTGTTCTTTGTGCGCATTTACCATGTTGCTTTCATCAAAGTTTTTCTTCTACTTCCTATAGCACGATTTTTTGTTTTCAGTTTGGCCTGCAGGCTGATATATAAGTTTGAGTATTTTACATTTGGCGTTTACATAACGCCTTCAAATAGTTTGAGATCTATAGGAAATACTTTTTGTTCGTGCGTAAACGCACGCATATTTAGGCTAGATACGATTGTAGCACCTACACGATCAGTTATGTCAGTATAAGAATCAACAAGTTTCGACAAGTCTTTTCTAAGACTCTGCTCATGTTGCTTGTATTGGGTTTTTTGTAGTTGTGCAACAATTGCTGCAAGCAGCACTTCACCTCGATCTCCATCAAAATAAACGAAAACCTGACCCGCAGATGTAAAGATGAAGATGTATTTTACAAATGTTTGAAGGAAGTCAACTCTACAATGTCACGAGCCATAGGAGTGCATTATTTCAACAAAAACCCTCGGCCAATGTGTTATGAAGTAGGGTTAGAGAAATGCAACCAAATGAAATGTGGTGGTAGCCTTTTGAAACTAAGCCAGAAGCCTATTCGTCTGTTCTAAATGACAATCAACATCATAAGAATTGGCATTAAATGTTTCATTAACCGTGGCAAAATTATATATACTTTTGCTATTTTTCCTTTGGATTGCATATTTTTGTATCTGTTTCTAGATGTTGAAAGTATGGATCCCAAAGTTTTGATGTAAATAGAGATTATAAGCTTTTTTTGCTGTCTTATACGTTTATCTGTTGTTTGTTCACAAGTATACATAGAATTTTAAAAAATCTTCTTAAATAAAAACATAAGTGGCATTTCATTTGCCCTCTAGCTCTGCGAGATAGAAATATCATATGACATATCTCCATATAAAATCCCGAGACATTGAAGTAGAGTGGGCGGAGAAATACCGTGAAGTATCATATGACTATATCTCCATATGAGATGTGAAAAAATCCTTGAAGTAGAGTTGGAAAAATTCTGTTGGGTGGAATGTTTGTTTTGATGAAACTTGCACTGGATGGAAAATGCGTTCTCCTAAAAAGGTTTTCCATTGCAACTAAAATCAAACATATCTTTGTTCTGTATTAAGACTGTTGCGAGGAGCTGAAAGAGAGTAAAGAGCTAACTTCGCTATTTTCTAATCAACAACAAAAGCTTTCATTTCAAGCCCTCAAGCTCTTTTTCTTCATAATTTCTCATAGTTAATTTTTATTAATGATGGATTTGCAAAACAAAGTTTGTAGATATATGCAGAAATCAAATCAATTTGAAAAATGATGTTGGAAGAAACGGAAATTCAAAATTTACAATTGTTGTAATATCTTTTAAAAAAGACAATGATATAATATTAATATTAATATTCAATTAATATCCTATAATGATAACTACTTAAATGAGTAGAAATCGTAATCAGTTTTCTCAATTATTTCTATGGACGAATATCATATTGTAATCATTTCCCGCCGTGCTGTCGAAGAAATTGATTTATGCATTGTAAGGACGTGTATGCCCCCGTTAAATCAGCCCCTATGCACACCCCTAATAACAAACACACGCCTAATCCATTATTTTTATTTTATTAACAAAACAAAGTTGACATTACGGTTATTTGTAACACGATTTTTTTGTTTAATGAAACAAAGCCTATCGTCGATTAACTATTCTATCTATACAAGGAATACATTTGTTTTAATCTGTATATAAAAACGTCTCATGAATGGTCGTAGATGGACCATTCAGTCAGTGATCCGCACTCATCAAACAATATGCTTAATAAAATTTATCTGCTTTTTTATTTGTGAAAGTGTTCACTGATCTACAAAGAATTTAAGTGATCGATCGATGGTTAAAATAAAAAGTTCGGAAATTTGACCTCCGGTACGTTGAAAACAAACTTAAGACAATAATTTAAAAAAATTTACACGCAAAACTACTTACAAAGTGATAATTGTGAATTTCACAGATATGTTTTGAAGCACTCAAACACAGCTCTCTGAGTTAAACATTTTGCGTACTTTGGAATAATACATTGGCGCATTTCAACAGGGTTTTGTTTTCCTTTTATAAAATGTCCAAATCGTGCGAATTGGAACGTTTCCTTTCAACTTTATATCTAACATGGTCGACAAGCACATTTTTTCGCCACTGGAATTGTGTATGATTCTTTGCCTCCACAAAGGAAAACAACTTTCATTTCTTTTTTTTTTACTTGACAGCATGTACAGGTTGTTTTGAAATCTGACCATTTTATTCTTGGTAAAGAATGTGATGGACAATATCCACTACATCCTTTTGATATAACTCTTTGCAATCCACAGTTTCTTGTTCGGATTTCACCGGTTATAGGTCGAGTTGAACATGACTGATGTCCATTTGCTAGACGATTACAGATGAATAAAGAGAAAACAACCAACTGAAAGCTCCTGATGCTCAACATTGCTTCTCTTCAAATTTTCTATATAGAAAGACAAAAATAGGTAATTGTTACAATAATTTAAAGAAGCTAGCATGAAAATATATATTTTGTACTAAAATGCTTCTTGGCGTTAGAAAAACGTGAAAAAATGATTTGGTGTCGGTTTTTTCTCACATTTTGTGTTTTAAAATTGCATCTGACAGAAATAGTTCATGCCACAGCAAGATATTTTCGAGGAGAAACATATTCAGCAAGAATTGTTTCATATAACAACATCAAAAACACAATAACAATAAGGTTATTGATTTATCACAGTGAACCTTAAACCTTTCAATTTTAAAGCAAAAAGCCGTAGTGTAGAAAAAAGATTTTGCTACGACACAGTGTTGGGGGTTTTTAAGTTGTTTTCTTTAAATGTGATCATGTTAGTTCAGTGAAAATAACATATACTATGTCAATAGTTCTCCACGAATGTATGTTAATGATTGTTTACACATAACTATAAAATTTCTCAAATTGTCTAGTTGCACTCAGACAAGAGTTTGCGCACCGAGTTGAAGTTCAATAAGCTTTGATTATTCAATCTGGAATTTTTTCAGATTTATGTCATTTTTATGCTTCAGTCAACGCCGTAACCATGGGTATTTTTTCTGTCTAAATCATTGTCTAAACCCAAAAAGCTTGAAAAAAGTTTTAGTACAAGAAAATATTGGACTTAAATTGGACAAAATATGATAAATCGACAGTTGTTTTAAAACTCCGAAATTTGATGAAGCAATATTCCAAGTTGCGAGGCACAAACTCTAAAAACAGTTTTAGTACAATTTGCATTATAGTGCCAAATGTAATCAGATCACTGGAGCCAATTAGTCTTTTGGTAAGTGGATTTTTAAGGAATATATGCACGGATCATCTTGTCAGAAAGATGTACAGTACATACAATATCCAAGACTAATGTTTACTTGTTTTCATCTGGTCTTTTGTTTTGGTCGTGACAAAATAGTTTTTAGTCATTTGATCATGTTGTTTATGGTAATTTGAGGTAATCATGAGCTCTTTAAGAAAATGAATTTCACGGCACCGTTATATAAATCTTTTTGCATTTCCAAAGCTGAATGTTCAGTGAATTCACTTTAACTTGATAATCTGGGACAATACGGCTATTGGAAAAAACAATTGTTGATGCAATGTATTGGCAACTTGTAAATACATCACACGATACGACAAAATTTAAAATATTAGTCCAAAGTGCGTAAAACCAAGATTGCTAATGTTTACATCCAAATCTTACAGAAAGGCTGAAAAGTATTACACGAAAACACACATCATCGGTGATCAGCATTAGATAAATCAACTACCTTCACAGCCATTCCAAATGCGTATGCAGAACTGGTTTCATAACTTTTATTCACTCTTTTCCTTTAAAGTAATTTTAAATGAGACCACTGAATCAGACCTTGCAGGAAAGCACGTGCCGCAGGCGCACAGAAGTGAAACGTGCTGCGTGCATCTGCCCATGTCAACATGTCGAATTTTTACAGAAGTTGAACTATTTTTGAAACCAGTAAAAAATTGTGCTTATCATCACATTATCGTGCTCATAATTCAATTACGAAGAACTGAAGAAAATAAACAAGAGACTGAGTAAACAACTTTGGTCACATGAATGTCCAAATTTAGCATGAAAAAGTTGAACTGAAATTTGATATCTGGTAAGACTATTAATTTTTATCATTTTGCCTGACAAAAGTTCGCTTTGCAGTTGAATAAATTGCGTATTTTATTTGCTGAATCAACTATGGACCTATATATAAACACTCTAACTTGAATCAGTGTTCACACTTTTATTAAACTATAAACTTATACTGTAATGAATATTATTCAAATTGCGTTCATCCCTCGATCAGAAATTGTTGATCTTTAAAATAAAGAATGCAAAGAAAGAACGAGGAAGGCAATGGCTGAATATCCATCATCTCACTTTGTGAAGTGAGTGCAGCTTCAAAATTACTTTCAAAAATACCTAATACTAGGCTTTAATATGCATATTTCATGGTAGTACAAGAACCTTGAGCACAACATATCAAAGTCAGAAATATTTGAGAACAAACATTATGGGCATGTTTTTAAGTATTCAGTCGTTTATACTCAAATCGACGTCGAAAACAGAATCTACAATAGGATCATTCAAAAACAAATGTAAGAATTTTGCAGCTTTCAAGAGATCGTTGAGCAAGACAAATATAGCATTCAAAAGCACTTTGAAAATCAAAAGATAATGTTCGAACTTTAAAGGGCCGTGCCATTATTCAAGTTACCACGCAAAACGTCTAATTGACGTTTTCAACATGCCAATCAACTCATTCTTGAAAATGTCAAGTGTGATAATGTAGGGATGTGAAAGCCTTAGTAACCTTATCTACAGAAAAAATATTTATATGAAAAAAAACAGGGTTTACCGGAAAAAATTAAACAACATGATTTACAAGTAAACAGTAAAAATTGTATGTTGACAAAATTGTCCTATTTCGACTGAGATTTTCATTGGTCAAACTTCGTCGATTGAAACAAATTATGTCGTAAATGTTCCTAAAGTTCGGTATTAATTTTTCGAAAATTTGAGAAACATATATCAAGCCAAATAGGTTGTTTGTATAACTTTGTAAACGTATATCTTTGTGATTGCCATTTGCAAATGTTGAATTATGAACATCAAAGTAAATTACAAGAATGTTTTAATTTGCCACTGTGTGACAAGATTGCAACACCTCAAATTGAACAATTAGTCGCTATGGGTGGTAACTTGGATATGGACGTGGTTCTGTTTTGCATAAATGTGAGAAAAGAAACTGTTAGTTCTAGCATACACCATTTCTAACTTTATAATTTGTTCGAATAAACACACGATCCTGCATGTATAGAGATTTTATATAGACGAAATTGGATGTATATTTATGTTCAACAAAGGCACTTTTAGGAGCAAAATGGACTCGTACAAAGCGCTTTACTTTATTCAATGGTATTAAAGAATTTCATGTAATCTCATATAACCACAAGACAAGACAATTACGACCATTGTTCATTACACGCCATTGGAAGCACCATTCACCAGCGGCAGGTAATTGAGAGGGACGTTCTTTATAAAAACTCACTAAAAATCACGCTTTGTTTGTATAATTTTTCAACATTTAGCTTTTGTGTTTCCCATATAATTCAAACATTGAAATGTGAAATACTCATCAACAGTCGCTCGTACATAATTGAGGCATGAGATGAGCAGAGACACATCATATGGAAGTAATTTTTTGCTTAATGAATTGCCCTGGTGTGCTGCAGTCTGGATAAGATGCATGTTTTTTAGTTATTTCAATGAGTAGCTAGCGTCTTGGGAACTAGCTGTAGGACCTATTCAAATAGTAAAATCTGGCAATTCTAAACTTGGTAATCTTTACTAAACTTTTTAGAAAATGATCGTGGCTAATCAACGTTTTTATATCATTTTATGCATTTTTGAAAATTAAAACTACATCATTGAAAATCTTTGCTCGATATCAGTACCTATAATATTCTTCTCAATGTTCATAAAATAGCGATTTGTAAATAGCATTTGACGAAAAGTAAATAATTGGTGCTAAAAAGCTAAATTTGTTTTGTTTAATTGTTCAATACTGGCGCTCATATTTTATTGCACGAAAGCTTCTCTATGGGAATCTATGCATAAATGAAAAAAAGCTGTACGCTTGGCTTTTGGTATTTAAATTCACATATTTCAGGGCGAAGAATCGACCTTAAAAGAAAAGACCTTAAGAAATTTAAGTGAAGCAAATATGAAAATAAATCGTATGAATGATATAAAGTATGCATTTCACCAACACTTAAGCTCAATATATAATACAGATAAGATGTAATAAACGCAACAATAACAGACATATCTTCGTTTCTTTCAACTTGAACGTATAGTGAATATATCAGTTGAAGGCTTGAAGCCATGGCTCACCTTTCTAGACTGAAATAATTTAATTTGTCCAATTTGTCCAAGTATAAAACTGGTCGTTCCTTTACGCTTGCGTCCGTTGAATGAGCTAGTCCTCATAGTGTGCGTTCTATTTAAGCTCATTGTTAGATTGATATGATCTCAACACGATATTCTCATGTCTGTCATTCAATTCATATAAAACAAATGCGTACATCATCGATTTTTAAGTATTTAGTGAGCAAAACGTCAGTTGACAATTATTACTGTGTATACATTGTGATTACAATGGCTGAGAATTTTTTTTCACATTAGCCATGTTGCGTTTAGTTTTAGTGGAAATTTATGTTGTAGGTGTATTGTTTATCAATTTGAAGATTCAATCTGAAGATTCAATCTGTTAAGATGATGTTGTGGAATATTGTATCAAACTTTTGCCACACCTAAGCTTCAAAGAAGCTTTTTGTGTGACAATCTACGCAAATTACACAAAAAACTTTGAGTTTAAAAAACGAATTTTTATCACTGATTATGTTTGTATCTTAATTTGACACTATACACCTTGCTTTGAAATACATAATTAAATATTTCTAATCGTGACCTCCAAAGGTTTCTCACGCCGTCAGTAAACAGCATCACTTTTTTCACTGAATTCGTAACTGGTCCTTACTCATTTGATTTAAACTATCTTGATATAGCATGAGTAAATTATCTTGTTTTAGGATGTTTTGCCGAGGACTAGTGACTGGTAAGAATCATATATATATGTGTGTGTTTTATGTTTCATTTCGTGAAAATGCTCCTTTTTCTCTTGGGACTAAGCATAATCATTCAATTTTTATTTGAACAACGTCATGAAGAGAAATGTGAGCTTGTAAGTTAGTTGTTTCCTCAGCAGACTGAGTTTATAAGATAAATTTTATCTATGAATCAAATTTGACTAATAGTGATTAGCGATGCCGTTGGTCATTAGCTTATAACTGTCACCAATTTTACGTGGGCTGTTTGCTAATTAGACAACATTAAGTAGTCCATTTGAGCAAAGTGAAATCACATCTTCCAATGTATTTCTTCCTGATGAGTTTAAGATAAATAAGTGATCCGATTAAATTATTTGAACAATCTATCCCAAATTAATAAATACAATTAGACGTACAATGTGTATCAACAAGATTCTCACCTAGATCTTATCATTTCCTTGAAGGTTTACCTAAATGTCGATGTAGATAACAAGGAAAAGCTTCAGTTTAGTGTTTTCCTTTTTTGACGATAATGATTGGTTACCGATTATATTCAAGTTTAGTGAATCTTTTAGAAAGCAAAGAAAATGTTGCGAGAGATATTGATAAGTCTTGAACACAGATAAAATACAGCAGACAGTGCATTCATAAGTACTTTGATAAAATGTCTCATTGTCTCCCATCATTAATAACGTATCTTATTTTATCTGGGTGTCAGTTAGTCTAGAATATTCCACAGACTACTGATACACCATTGTGCTTTTCGCCAAATAATAAAAATCGCATGGGCAAAACTTTGTTTTCACACGAAACTATTTTGCAAAATTGGTAATTGCGCTTAACTTGTCTACGTTACAAGGAAAAGAGTGCATTAATTTTCTGTAGGTGTGCCAGCAGATAACAGAGGTAGTGACGTCGAAGTTACTGCATGAGCTATTATTATTGTAATATCTACTACATCCACTAGCATTCATACCTGTCCGTGCATTAACTCATGGACGTAAGAACATCGATAGTCGGGGAGAGGGTAAATCTTTAGCCAAACAATGAATTTCAAAGGAACTTAATACGGCATATACCATGGATATATAAAGATTACCCTCCCTCTCAATATATCTGTTCGTGTTTGTGAAACTACTTATTTTAAATTGTATAGGCAGGAAAACGTTTGTCTTTATTTCAAACATATATATTGACTACGATATTATATTTTTAGAAAAGTCAAAACTTCCGATAACGTCTTTCCTGTACAAAGAATATTTTAAATTATACTGTGATATTAGCTTTCGTGCGTTGCTTAATACCCTTTCGAATGTCAAACGCCGAATGTGCTAAATAAATAATTTGCTTAGATCCTTTACCATCTTTTGTTTTGAATACGCTAGAGGCATGAATATGTTCAACTTTTATTCAAAACAGGCCTTAGTTTTGTACGTTGCTTCGTTTCAGACAATAATAATGAATAATTGATACATTTGCATTTAAGATGATATGAAAACTGATATTTTAAAACAGCGACTGCACGACCTACTTTAATGAAATAATTAATTACAGCTAGAAATTTATGCAGTGTTTATTATTGTCTTCCAAAAAAAACATACGTGTACATAAAATAATTCTTTGAGGAAGATGATTTCTTTGACAATGTCATACATATAAATATATCGGTCTTGTGTAATCGAGCATTGTCTGCATGGTTTCATGCATGAAAGTATGTGTGAATTAAAAAATTTACGCTTTTCATTAATATAATAGGAAGATTGGAAAATGCTTTGTTTCAACTTCACCGTTATAGCAATGGTACAAAATCCTTTAGAAAAATAAGTCATTACGTCACGTGACTGCATTAAATGAAATATTTCTATTGACTTCTTCGGAGCTTCGCATGTATTTTACAGCCATTGCACTATTGAATTCAAATTTTCCGAAAAATGATGAATACATGTTGAAAAAGTTCCATACCTTTGACTCGACTTTAGTATCTTCAACTGAACAAGTATATCGTTCCAAGAATATTCAATTTATATTTGGTGAGTCAAAAGTTTATTCCAAAACTAAATAAGATATCAGAGTTGCAACTTTGAGCGCGCAAACCAAGCAACCACTATTTAATTTTGATGTTGGGTGATTTCGTACGTTGTAACTTCAACATGTGCCTTTAAAGTCTGATTTTATATAGCATACGTGAACCAGCATTTTAAATTGCTGTTCGTACGTCATATCTGAAAGGATATCTGCTGGATATCTGAAAGAATTGTTATCAACACAATATTATGACGACGTAGAATGATTTTCTTGTGTTCGAAATGAAATTAACCGACACTATATTATTTCATCAACATCATCATTTTAGGCCGACATCTTCAAGACCGTTCAAGACAAACATCAAACTGAAGTAAGGAAACTGCTTTTGTTTTACAGTTTTTACGATTCGCAAGAATTGTCTTTAAAGAACAAACCGAAAAAAATATATTGCACATCAAATATTGTCTCGGTGTAGTAAAGCCTTAGACAGAAAAAAAAATGTTTTGAATTTTCAAAACCTTAATGAACTTCTTCAATTTTTCTCATGAAAATATTTATAGTTCAAATGCTGGATTCTATATAGCATATCATACGACGATACGAGGAACTTTATCCATAAACCCATATATAATAACCTTCTATATGAAGAGTATAGCGCTTTGGTACATTATTTCTTACTCGTTCTTGATCCTCCTGTTGGTCGGTTTATTCATACACAATATTATTATAAAATGCTTGGCACCAAATTCTTGCTTGCACGTCCCTTTTTTTAAAGACCGTTTTAATGAAAGAACCAGTTCTCGGTTGCTCGGTGCTATATATATACAAATATAGGATATGATTCATAAATATTTATTTCTGTGAAATATTTATAACTTCGAATTTTAAAAACGTTTTTGTGCGTGAAGAAATAAACTACGCTAAGTTTTAAGACATTAAGTTAAAATATTAAGCCTCAAACTAATCAACTATATAGGCAGATAAAAATTACACACGAGCAAGGTTACAAAGAAAAGGTTCTTAAAAAGGATATAGTTGGCATACAAGCCGGATGACTTGCTATTTTCAGATTAAAGCTACTTGAGCAAAGATAGGAAAATGGGCCTAAAAGCATGAACCTATTACGAAAGAAAGAGAAAGAAAGATTATGGATCTGAACGTAATAAAAAGAAACTCGCTTTCTTTATTAACATTTTTTTTTGTGAAAAGTTTCTTTGAGTTTGGCAAAGACTTTGGAAATTTCTACATTTATCTGTTGATTTGATCATGACGTGTAATTTTCCTGTATATAAGAATTATTCGTGCCAAAACTTTTTGTATCTGTTTAACTTATATAATTAAAGCAAAATAAGAAAGCGGCGATGAATTTGAGTAATTAATCATAAATTTTGCTTTCAATAAAAATATAGACTATTCAATTTGCTTAATACGTTTTTGGTAACAGCGATACCTTTTTGCATGGAAGCATAAAATTTCAGGTTTTGTTTCAACTGCCAATGGCATTCATGTATAACATATGTACCTACGTATCATCTAACATATGTCATGTTGTACATGTAACATTTATAGTTACGCAACATCTAGTATACAGCTATGTTATACATATAACATATATAAACGAGAAGACCTTTGGGAGAACTCGAGAGCAGATCAGTGCAAGCATGAGACCGAACAGTGCACCGGCTCGAGAGTTCTCACAAACGTCTCCGAAGTTTGCATAAGCCAGTGTAAACACGAAACACATCTTTTATTTCTTTTATAAAATAATAATGCGAAAAAGATCACTTTAATACAAGTGTTTTAAGTTTTCTCCTGACATGTATTGATTTAGCTCAGGTTGGTTTGCACAGGCTAAAGAAAATACAGGTATAAACCAATCACCGCACGTCGTTTTTATTTTGTCAATAGCTGTTATACGTACAACATATATAGCTACGTAATGTCTTCGAGCACGATGCAGATTTACAGTTGAAATTGCCTAACACACATTGTTGAATGATCTTTCTTTTATGTGCAAAATTCTCGTATGATATGTTCAAATTATTTACAAAATGTATCCATTATACACGTATATTTATGTACAGCACATGTTTACACGAAGTTACAAATAGCTCTAATCAAAGGGCTGCATATAGCAACATGTAAATTCTAAAAAGCTTAAGTATCAAAAGACAGTTAAAATAAGATAAGCCAGGAGGTTTGTGTATATTCAGGAATATCAGACATTTGAAAGTTTTCTTAGTTATAATTTAATACCGTAGAGGCAACTTGTATCTCATCTTTATGTGAAGAATTTTAGTCTTCCTCGAATTACGTTTCCGCTGACAATGAAGAGCTTTGTAGTTGTTCCCATTGATTTCTGTTTGCAATTGCTCCATCAAGTAATGGCTTAAGTAGTGGATTAACCTTTTCGCATATCTATGAAGACAAAATGAATGTTGTTCATCAGACAAAATTGATTCCAGTGGAAAATACCGTAAGTTTATTGTTAAACCTGACAACAGCCGACACTTCTCGGGGACACAAGGTGATGATCTCAAGAGTGTCCGCTTACACGAAGTATGCCTCTATATCATTACCCCCAGTTCTCGTCCTTTTGATAAATTAATCACTTGCGGTTGTGTGCGAGAGTTATCTAAGGTGACTAGGTATATTTTTACGAGAAATACTTCATTCGTTTGATCGCAAGACACCAAATGTTCGATTCTTGGCTTTTGTCAAGAAAAGCGTGGCGATGACAATTGTATAGAGATGAAAAACATTTACTTCCTCTTTATAATAAGTCTTTATATGAAGTTTATGACATCAGTAACTAGAGCTAAAAGATCGTTTTTGACCTTTCTTCACTTTCAAAAACTTTTTAAATAGGGGGCTTTTCAAAGTTAACTAACTGCATACAGATCTTAATTCATAAATAATACAGTGTGTTTATAAATGTTAATTTACGAGCATAAAAATTTAAAAAGATAAACATGCCTTCTCTATACGGTTGGAGTGTCTTTACTATATAATAAAAGTCTCCTTGTTATACAGTAAAGTGCCTTTGCTATACGGTAAAATTGTCTTCGGTAAAAGTGTCTTTGTTATACGGTAAAAGTGCTCAGCGATACGACAGAATAATGATCATACAAGGTCACTCAGGGGTGGGTGCAACGCGTCCTCACTTCCGCCATTTTTCCAAGCAGTTAATTAGGGTGTTCAGACGTTCATTATTTCCAAACACTAAAATAACACGACGTCACTTGTGAGTAATGAATACTAGAATATTTAGACTTAAGTAATGACGTCAGGTCATTTTAGTGGTGGGATAAAAACATCATAGATGCCGAAACGAGTGACTTTACTGTTAATTCCTTATTCTGTGGCTATAAAGTAAATGGAACAGATCGTTTTGTGAAATAACTTACTCGAAACAAAGGGATTCCGACATTGTCAAAAAACTGCACCTGCATCCTTGGTAGTTCATTCTTTTTTTGACGATCCATCATTGCCTGAGAAAAAGATGAATAAAAAGCTCAAATATAGGGTGTGTCAACATCGCTGTAAAAACCTTAGATGGAATAGGTAGTTGGACGTCTGACAATGGTTCATCTGACATTAAGATTGTGTTACCGCGAGGCACTTTTGAAATAGCTTGGAAAGAAAAATGACAAAGCTAAAATCGAGTTGAAATATGACACATGTATGACACATGTATGACACATGTTGTTCAAGCCTACAAAGTTTCGGAAAATTTGTATCCTGAAGAAATAACGAAATGTTATTTTGGCAGAAAATTTTCAAGATTATGGATATAAATAGATTTCCGCTGCAGCTACAAGGGATACAAACTATATGACTATACAAATTTTACGTCGAGAAAATTTATCATACAGTTAATGGAACTGATTGGAATTGAAAATAGTAGCTACATATTTTGAATAAAGAAAAATTTGTAACAAGGAACTTATTTACTTCACGAATATTACTACCCTATGATCTACGGTAGAAATTAGTACTTCAAGTACATTAAGATTGTGATACATATATAGAAGTAGCATTCCAACTCCTCTGATCACCACGTAAGTTCAAATGTAGATGGAAACTCTTGGAAAAGTTTTCTTTAATGCAATGGGCGTGAAACATGCAAAAGTGAAACGTGATTGTTTTTCTAATTCTAGTTCTAAATTCTGAAGGAGCGCACTTTTTTAATTTTGGAGAAGGTTGAAACAAAGCATGGAAATCGGACCATGCATGGACTTACAGGTATGTTATTTTCATGAAACTTTTCCCTTTCAATATCACCTTGTTGTATAAACTCACTTGCCACTAAATTGACCACCTGAAGATTGAAAATTTTCATGTTATTATCGACTTAGTACATGATATCAACTAAATTATAAAATAAACACAATACAATGCGTGCGCAGAGTGATCTGTAGCTGTGTTGCATTAGCATGTGCAAACGATCTCAGCTCATCCAATCAAATCAATCAATCAAAGAAAATATGGAAATCGATCATGAATCAGAGGAAAAATTAAAACGCTTGTTTTAAAATAGTCTGTTTCGCATTATTGATAGTTTATAAAAGATAAAAAGATGTTTTTCGTGCTTGCACACGCTTATACAAATCTCGGAGACGTTTGTGTGAACTCTCGAGCAGGTGCAACCCTCGACCTTCGGTCTTGTGCTGCTCACTAGTTCTTCCAAAGGTCTCCTCGGTTCGCATAAGACTGCGGAAAACGCAGTAAAGATCTTTTGTTTCCTAAATAAAGTACGATTTCACGGGTTATAGAATGTGAACTCTAACCACCACACAATCAATACAAGAATGTAAAACGAATTCAACACGAAAAATTCGAAACCAAAATTTTTCACTCTGATTTTACAAATTGTACAATAATTTCTTCATAATGATTTAAAAAATAGACGGCCCCCCACCCCCCGTACTTGTAAGCTTAAGCATATATACAATAGGCAACGCCAACCTCTCGCTGAATCTTCCACGGTTTTGTAATGCCGCACAAGTCGCACGTGGTCATCAACATCGCTCTATAATGCAGGAAAATATACAAGTTGAAATAATATGAAGATTTATAGGCTCAAATTTAGGCTTATTTTTCAGCTTTTTAGGTTTAACCCGCAAAGTTACACTTCGTATGAGTTTGATTTGATTTCGTGATCGTCCATTATATTCTACACACTATGCACTAAAGACTTAATAACAAAAATTGGTTGATGCATGCCCCACAAATGAAGACGGTCTGCATTATATATGATTCGTAAAGCTCACAGATTACTTTTTCACAGGAGTTTGATTCGGTTTCGAAACTGTACATTGCGCAGTAAAGGGCTAGCTCATATAATCATTCTATGCAAGCAAGCAATAGTATCTTGTTTGAAAATGGCCAGATGGACGTTTTTAAGAAATTTCACGTCGATGTACTAACAAAGTTGTGTTTTCAAATTCTCCACAATTGTGCAGTTTATTACAATAGGGGAATGATAGCAAATAATATATTCTATCAAATCCACACTCATGTGGAAAACGAATACAAAAGTTATATCTTAAATCCAGTGGCGTTGCCAGCTTGATAAGTGATGGGAAGAATATTCATATATTCATGTTTTAATCCCTAAGAAACAACTGATTTTGAAAGAACTTAATGTGGAAAAACATGAATACAGGAATAAATCCCCCTCACTTATCGAGCAGGCGACGCCATTGATTAAATCTATTAAAATTTCCATTAACCTGAGCATACTTCGGTGGTTATCATCCTCCAAATCTAGCTCGCCATTTTCCACCAAGGGGAAAAAGGTTCCTCGATACCTAGAAAAAAATTATTAAAAGATTTGGTATAATTTCATCTCGAGATAAACATCTGGATCATTTTAAACACCACAGAAATTATTATGGAGAAAAATTGCTTGAAAGTAATCATTGCCAAACTTTACTTCATGTTGATCGCCAAATCTGTTGAGAGAATTGAGTGTCTGAGCAAGCTGATAACCTTACGATAGCTTGACGGTGAAAGATTTTGGAATATATTGTGACCCTAAAATGACAACAGAAACTCTCTTTGAATACATCCAAGGTATAAGTGAAAACCAGAATCATTTGTTTAAAGTTGGTATCTTACAGTATGTTGGTAATCTTATGTTTTATTTGTTTTAAAGTTGGTAATCTTATGTTTTATTTGTAGGTATAGAATATAAAAAATGTTACCTCAGTGTTAAGAATCATTATTGTGTGATTGAAATGATGGTGCTCCATGACACTTGTACCATACAAAGTTGCTAATGGAGATGCCGTCCTGTGTTAAAGTATACATTGTTATGCTAAGCAAGCAAACCGGAAACTCGCGGGCAGAAATAGTCGGTTACAGCAGTCTATCAAATTTTCTTGCTCAGATTTGAAAACGACTATTTTGCAGCCAATATCAAAACTTTGAAGCAATGACATCAGTTCATAAATAAGTATGATGATTATAAAAATGTAGAACAGCGCTGCGAAGAGTTAAGGGAGCTATCATTTCATGGGACGGGGGGGTGGTGGAGATTCCCCAACTCACCATGAACTACCGGACTTTATGACTTCAAATTACATGTCATAACTTTTTTTACCGACTAACGTTGAAAAGTTAGTCAATTTTCAGTGTTCTAACATCCTTGGTGGTGGGCTGGTGTGTCTGTGTGTGTGGAAGGCCGCAAACGTTTTTAGGTAAAAATAAAACTTACTTTTCTTGAAAAGCGTTATTCGTTCCACGATGATCAACATCATGACACAAACATCCAGCCAATAAAGCAAAACATTCCAACTTGCTCAAATGTTGCATCATGTTTCCTGTCTAGGAAGAAGACATTTTATAACTCCTAAGATATATTTGATGCTGTGGAAAAACCAGTTTTATATACAATCGAACTGGCTTGCATAAGTTAAAACCTTCGGTCGAGAGTACAAATATTGTGCGATAAAAGCATACGTGATTTGATAACGATAAAAAATGGCGACGCTTTTTCAACAACAGTAACATGAATTAACAATTTATCCACAGCGCGTCACTTGCGTGCTAAAAATTCGTTACTAATTTATATGACGTATATGAACTGAAAATTTATCAATACATTTATCTATGCATTAACGATTCATCACTAATTTAGTTCGCACACTAACAATTTATCAATAATTTAGCTATGTACAATAGTTTGGACATGACCGACTTATTAATAATTTACTTCCTACACCAACAATCAATCAATAATTTCTATTGTACGCAGTCTCAGTATTCTTACGTAAAAATGATGTTGGGAGGCATTAGAAAACTACATACAACAATTGTGGTATACTCACAGTTAAAATAGCAAACATAGATTGCGCCACATTAAAAGCGTGTCTCCAGTTGTGGTATATAACATTTCTGTAATTCTTGCGTGTGGTAGTGAGCCACAAGCATAAAGTCTGTAGTGAAACAGAAACATCATGTGATTGGCGTAAAAGTTAAAAATGTTTTGAAAAATGTTTGAAAAATGTTCGTGTACTGAAGTATGAATAATTATTCATATTCAAATATGACAACCTACGTATATATGCAGTACTTAAAGGCCGAATAACATTTCATGAAAAAACTTTCATTTTCGTGAAGTACAGGCTCAAAACTTTCATCCTGTAAACTGACGGTATAGATAATAATAATTTGGACGAATTTAAAATATTTCGTCCACGTCGACATGTTTGTATATTAATTGAAGATTTTTAAGCATGCATTACCTGATAATCAATGTTGAAGTCTTCAATAAGCCCACAGTCAAGAAACATCCGAACAGAGGCAGTTAACATTTGATCAGGATCCAACGAAAAATCATCAAACTGCAGGCTACCCAAATCGATACTTGCCACCGATGGAATGGCGGAAAGCTATAAAATTATTACAAATCTAAGCAAAAAAACATTTGTTTTCATTCACAAAAAATCTAAAACTATACTTTTTGATAGTTTAAAGGCCTTTCACTTAGGCATATATGTAAACAACAATTTCGAATTTGAAATGAAATGAATATAAAAACCTTGAGTCTTTCCACCTCAACCTGAGGGCATTTAACGTGGTAAGACAAAACCTGAAAAATATAAAAAGCTACTCTATAAAAATGTATTACAAACAGTCATGACAATAACAATTGATGAATGGTTAATAGAGATGATTCTCCGAAGTTTACATAACTGGAGTAAAACGGACATGCGGATTGGCTACGCTCGTGGCAATTTCGTCGTGACAAATTTCAACCCGTACATGCAAGACACGACTGTATGAAAAACTGTATCGTGATGACTATTTTCTACGAATCAAAGATTCTACCTACCTCCAATGCAACTTGTTGCTTTGCTTTGGCCTTGGCCATTTGATCATATAACATCGTATTGTTGATTCCAAGCCCACAAAATAGGACAATTGCCTATAAATTTGCAGCAAATAAATTAGTCTGAAGCTAAGAATGATGGGATTTCATTATAAACATCCTACTTCGAAGAAGGACATGTCGTTCTCGTCAAATGGACAGTTATTGACTTTATTCATTAAGGAAGCAACACCTAAGAATAATAAAGAAATCATTGTTGTTCGGAAAAATATTTATTATGAGAGATGCGATTGTCATTTACCAAGTATTTCACTTTTGCTGTTCCTTATTGGCATACTAAGTATGGACTTTATTTCGTCACATGAGCGCCCAGCCTTTATATGTCGGGGAAAAATTCATGTTAGCGTCTATGCAGAAATGACGACATCGATAAATAATATTTGCTGCACAAATCAACGACAGGAAAAATGGGCTGAAAAAATTATTTCAAGAACATTTATGTAAAGTCTACCAATACTAACAAAAGCTTTTTAACAAGTAATAGCGTTTGTCTTCATGATTTTTGTTAAAAATAAGTAGCGTTGATTCCATCTGGTTAGCTTTCGTTAATTGTAATACACTGCAGTTGACGATTTTTCATTTGCTACAACATTAGTGAAATATAGGGTTCGTTAATTGCTTTCATACGTCACAAAGGGCTATTATACTTGATTAAAAAAAAAGTTATATTTAATTGAAATACCAGCCATAAAAGTTAAATTACTACACTTACCAAGATTTTCAAATCGGCGTCTTCATTAATGTCAGATATACACAAAGTCTAAAGCAGGATATGAAGAACAATAAATTACAAATACAAATTATCTTAGATAGGTGCAACAAGTAATTGTGTTAGAAATGGTTTTCTCATTTATACCTTTGGATTTGCAACAACTCGCTCGCTTAACACCGTCAAAGCTTTGAACAATTCGCCATTAATTTCACTGTAATAATAGATGTAAATGTTTTATGGACCAAAAATCACGCTGTATCAGCTAATTATCCATTAATTTCACTGCAATAATACATGAAATGTTTTATGGACCAAAAGTCACGCTATATCAGCTAATTTTCCATAACTGCAGCTTGGGTCCTGCCTCAGAAATAGTTTTCTTAATACATGAAACAACATGTGCTACTGAAAACAATTGAGCATTCGTTTTCAACGTTATTAAGATCCCACGTTGGTTACATTTTGTCGTATACCCTCAAATCATTGACTTGTATGTGTGGCAATTTTGAAACTATATATTTGTAAACATTGTCAGAACGGTTTGCCTGTCGCAAGCACAGTCTAACGTACATTAGTATTAAAAGTGACGCAGGGAAAATAATTTAAGGTTGGCTGTTAAGAGCCTTCTCTACCTTGCAATGACGGAATGTCTGCCGGTACTAGCCATTTTCAAATGATAGCTGTTGGAAAACTTCAAGTTCTAGAGTAAATCAGGCGTTCTTATAAAACAAATAAAACGCTGCCAGAAAAAATAACGCATACTCATGGAAATAGGAAACATCAATAATTTAAGCTGGAACATATTCATATATACAATCAAAGGAACGTAATACAGCACTCCACCCCACCCCCACCCCAAATACCTATTTTCAACATCACTGCGTTATTATAACAGAGATTTATTTGTTAGAACTTTAGTTTATGTCAGATAGCAAAAAAACTTTACCTCGCAATTTCTATCAATCAATTGATCATCACCAGAATCAAGTAATGGCTCGTTCAACAACAACACTGAGCAATGTTCACACTTCATCAATTTCAGACTCCTTTTCATTATCCTGTTTACCACCTTACCAATTGATGTTTGTTCTTCAAAAATATCATGGATCATTTCTATCAAAAACTTAACAATAGAACAATTTTGATATAAGTTGTTGGAAATGAGCATCGCGAGAGAAAAGATATAATATCAGTGTTTTACTAAACTAATACCTTGTTTCTTTGAAATTCTTTTTGTGACAATTCAAAAAGTTGTGCGTTAGTTATCGCAATACCACAAAAAGGAAGATATCGATTGCATAGCTACACAAAAAAGCAGCATTTTATAATTTCAAGAAGGTTCTGATGAGACATATACTATATCCCCTATCATTCATTTCGCTATAGCTTTATCGTAATTGAATGAAAATTTCTTCCCTCTTTGAATTTTATCGTTAGTTTAATTAACATTTGGTAGCAAAACCGTCGCAAAGCCTTCCTATCTTTATAGTGCTTGAGTTGCTATAGTTGTGCTGTCGTTGTACTATGCTTGTGTTGATATTGTTGTGCTATTACTATGATGTTTGTGTTGCTTTTTTTGGAGCTATTGTTTAATACATGCTGAAATATGTATAAAATTTATGGAGCATAGAAATACATCGAATCCTATCGTTGACCTAGTATTGTGACGAATATTCAATGAATGTTCCTTACCTCCTGATCTTCTTTCGTAAAAGTGGAAGCATCAGGATTTTTATTGATGAGTTGTGCGACACCAACAACCTTGAAAACGATTTTTTTTAATTGAGGGCGTTTGGTTGGGTTCTTATAGATTGCTGATGTGCCCATTTTATCAATATACAAGAATGGTTTTTGATCATTGTCACGACAGAAATGAAACCGTTTCAAACGTTGTTTACATGCTCTAGCGTGTAGCGTGACCAGTGCAGAGTGGACATCTGCAACAGGGTATGAAACTATTTGAAAAAATAATTCATAATAGTACGTTCGTACCTCACCATCGCTGTTCTTTATTGGAATACACAATAAACTTCTGGTCCGATAGCCAGTTTGTTTGTCAACTTCTTTATTGAACCGTGAATCCTAAGTGAGTAAATGTAAGGAGGATTGAAATATTAAAAGAGCGCGCACACACACACACAAAATGAAAGAAATATATCACAAACAAAAACTTTTCAATCATCAACTCATAAACAATTATTTTTGATTTATCAGGTCGCCAGCTATTCGCCCTGCACTCCAGCTGAGTACTAAAAGTCAGAGACATAGTAAAGAATATGCACGGCAGTAAGTATTTGTAGTCGACCAAAAGTAAATGTTTGTAGCCATAATTGATCATACAAACCGCAGGAGGGTAACTTCATGTAGCAATCTCCATGAGACGTTTTATTCTATGTCTTGCAAATTATTAGTATGCCTTTGCGGCCAAACGTTTGGCAGATGATAAAAAATAAAGATGTTTGGCAGATGATAAAAAGTGTAACTTTTACGTTTGGACCTGAATGATACACTTCCTCTGTGACCTTTATCGCCAAAGCCTTGTGCAATATGTAATTATTACTTCATTTGACTGGAGTATTTAATGAACGAGTTTACGTAAATCGACTTTCTCAGCAGAAATATTTTAGAGTTAAATTACACTCAACACATGACATATGTATGTATTGGTCCAACGTGTTTTTTTCTGGAAACAAAATAATATTTGATGTTACAAGCATCTCTTTTATATAAATGCGACGACTCTTCGGCTAAATAACGAATGTTTAAAGTTAAGTTTTGCAAACCCTTGCTTGCGTGCAGCCCAGTAGCCTGATGAATGTCAATTTGCATGGCAGACATGTATGACAACGTACTTAAAACCGAAAAAGAACCATATGTTGTCCAAGTATAATAAAGCAAACGAAAAAAATAAATCATCATACTTCCATAGGAAGTAATATAACATTAAATATTTATACTTCGGACATTCTTGACATAATCAGAAAAATTGACAAACTCCTACACAATTCACAATACACCCAGGCGCAGATGTAATAACGAAGTGTCAACTGCAAATCTTTAAACACATATTTACATAAATTTAACCTGCAATAAAGCATAGAGACGTCGATGCAAACTTAAAAAATTAATTGAACCAGCTCTAATGCTAAATTTAAGTGTCAATAATGCATTCAACATCAAAACTTTTGGCTGTAATAATACTTAATTGGAATAAATGTTCTGCAGCACAATGAAACCTCGATGCGTAGTCCCACATAAATTTAAAAAGCATTTATAGCAATATTCTACGATCATTCTTTATAATGACCTTTTCTCGCCTGTTTTAAGTTCTTCCGTTTTGTTTAGCTACTTCTAGAAACTTAACAGGTTGTCGACGCCGTTCGCCGACGGCGACGAGAGAAAAATAAAGAGAAATAGTGCTTCTTTCAAGGTCTACTACAGGCTTAAAAAGACTAGCAAAGTGTCGTTAAAAACACTGCAAATTGGATTTGAAAATGAAAATAAAATACGAAAATAAAATTTCGCTCACCGCATACGCATCTTGAATGTTCACTGTCTGACCTGTTTCAGCTGTATATCCGACTATCCCTTTCCCCCAAGGCACTCGTATAACAAATCCACTCTTATCACTTGTCGAGCGAAGTCGAATTGGATGAACGTCAAATAGTTCTGATACCAAAGTCTGCCTATTTTTTGGTCCCTCGACAAGAAATAATGAACATCGATCGGCGTTGGTTAAAATACCAATATTAACAAGGATGTTATAACTAAGTGCCGTGAGATTTAAATTGTTAGCCATGTCTTTAATTATCTCGTAAAAGAAATCTTCCTCGTTATTGTGTTTTAGATTCAATTTCTTTCCTTGGTCTAAAGATTTTGCGTTGGGAAGTTTTATACGTGATTCGATGAGCGATCCCAATTGTGCCATCGAACGATGACGTTGTTTTACCAATGATTTGTACGAAACATCATTTGAGCGTCGCGAAGGCAAGTGTGATGTAGAACTGTATTTTGGTGAGAGCACCGCATCTTTTTTGTCATCTTCAGGGATTGTTTCATGCAGTTTATTTTGCAATGTCTGATTTTTCTGCAAATGCAACCGATTCTTCAGATCCTTGCCATAGTTTGAAGCGGGCTCTGAGAATCGTCTTGATACCTTTCTCGTGTATTGCAATAGCACAGCATCTTCGTCTTCTTGTATTTCATCATCAGAACATGAAACATCTTCAAATGCATCACTGCCTGATGTACTGTTGTTTTTGTTCTTGCTACTATGGTTATTTTGTAAGTCATCGAAAGAAGACTCGCTTCTCTTTGTGTAATAAATTCCGTTAGTCTTGCATATATTTTCGTTTAGCTTTATCCATGTAAGGACGAAGTCCACTGTTATTTTTCGCTGAAAATATTCGTGAGTCCAGCTACGGTTTTCATCAAGCCATATTTCCACTTGCTGACTATTAAATTTTATTTCTTCTCCTGATAGGTCCATATCTGATGTTTGATTAATCCTCCCTCCCTTCCATGCCTCGAAGACACGTCAAATAATTTGCCAAATATACGACAGTGGTCATTTATTACAATCATGTATTTGCCACTTTGTGTACAATATACAAATGAGAATGCGGTAGAAATGAAACCTTCAATTTATATTAAAACGATTTAGTTTGTTAATATGTACATACTGCATAACAGATTGGAACAGAATGCGAAAGTTGTGTGTACCTGCAAACAAATTGGCGAGCGGTTATGCTCCGATTATTTTGCTTTGTTTTGTTATCCACTTGCAGCCAATCAACTCACCATGAGATTTTTATAGTTCTTGAAATACGATCTACGTTTTCGATTGTTGCGAAGGATAAGATCGAAACAGAGTTCAACAATGAGCATCTACTGCAGTAAACTTAGTTCATAGTTGCTGGACACAGCCGTTGCGACTGTTACAGTCTTCATAACGAAATCTAATGTCAAACAAATACGCAGACAATAGGTCATTTTTTGCGCGTCATTAATTGCGCCAAGCAAAATGCAAATTTTTATAATGTTGCGGTCTCTTTGTAGAAAGACAAGCAGGCAAGGTGGCTTGTCTAAATAACACGTCTGTCATAGCAATAAATTATACCAGTTAATATTTTTCTCTTTATCTCATACAAATTCCTTTAATAAGATGTTTATCGTGTTTTTGTTTGATGTGATGAATGTACGTGGGACTGAGGTCATGATTGTCGCTATCTTTGAAAATGATCAATATAAAAGTAATAAAGTACGCTAGAACTGTAGCTATTGATTGCTATAGCAACAATGCACAGCAAAAGAATAATTTCCAGAAATGCCTCCAATGACCCCTAAAGAGTTAAGACTGCCTACCGAGAACCAGTGTCCAGGGCCGGATTAAGATGTGTAGAGGCTCTGGACAGCAAAAATACGTAAAGGCCTCCTTTCTCTTCCTCTAAGGCCGCCGGCTGCCCATTTTTCCAATAGTAAAATTTAATTACAAATCTTGAAAAGCATCCGATAAAAGTTTATACTTAGAATATAACGTGTAAAGCATTTGCATACGATGATTGAATGCTACTTGAGATAGAGTAACGTGGTGTGTTCTTTATCATCTGAAATTGACTTAACAAGTAAGCAAAATGTTTTTCCTTGTTCTGTAAAGCAACAATGTTTAATTTTCCTTTAAATAATCTGGAGGCCCTTGTTTGGAGAGGCCTCTGGGCAGCTGCCCCAGTCTTGCCTTTGGTTAATCCGGCCCTGCCAGAGTCGTAGCCTGACGTTTTCAAAGGGCATAATGTCAGGGGGGGGTTCGGGTTTTCAGGGGTTTCTTGACAGTTTCCGCACAAAGAAACCATCGTATTTTTTGAAAAATATTATTAATCGGCATTCAAATTCTATATGTCGTGCGGAAACTGTGCGATAATGGCCTTTATGGATAGGAAACCGTTCTATTAAAACAGAATACAAATAACCAGCTCAATACTTGCATGTGCTATAAAAGTTGTGTATATACCTTTGAATAAAAAATTCCGACGTTTCGAAAAGAAACATTTTGTGATCAGGAGAAGTATTTTGACGCAAGTTTGTTATGACTGTGCAATGACTTTACATAAAGCTTGAGCAACAATTGACGATATGACGTCAAATATACAAGCCGCTGACTTATTTCTGCTCCCACGCACCGGATGCCCTAGCTGCAGCATTTGAACTCATTTTTTGTGAAAATGTTGAATTAAACAAACAAAAAGTTTCTGCATATTTATTTTCACAGAACAGACAAAGTTTTAAAGCAAAGTTTATGGGAGGGTGGAGTTCCCTTGTACAACTCACTCGATGTCAATTTTCATTCATAGATAGGCAACTAGACGATTAGTAATTGCCTTCTCCCATGTCCTACCCCAATTTCATCTTTTTACGAGAGGGAGGGGTTACATGTTTGTAAAAGATGATCGTCCAGGTTAATAAAGTCCTGAGAAGGACTGTTTTTGTTGTTGTTGACTGACGTTTCGACAACCTTAGCGGTAGTCATCTTCAGAGTCAGAGTCATGTTTGTAAAGTAAACAGTCCTTCTCAGGACTTTATTAACCTGGACGATCATCATTTACAAACAAATAACGATACTCCCGGGTTCAAACCATTTACTTTAGGGAGGGGTTACGCTGCCTTACCCCCCCCCCTGCTTCTTTATCTACGCCACTGCCATGGACGTTTTTAATGAAAAGTGTGTATTTTGCTGTTTCACTCAGTTTCATAGGATAAAATTATCGTGCGTCTATAACAAGTGATAATAATAATTGTGATAAGCATTTGTATCACTGTAGCATGAAACCAATTTGAAACGTGCCAAGATAAACGAACAAGCAAGTTAGCCTCACTTTGATACGTTTTTTTAAGCACGTTTTTTAACTGTTTCAACTCTGGCTCTGGTTTCAACTGGTTTCAACCAGAGTTTCAACTCATATATAATTATGCATATGACGTAAATGTGCAATTTTCAGTTACTTAGACCGATTACGTCATAAATGGAACATAACTGAACATAAAGATGAGAGTGCAATAGTGCCAGTTTAAAGTCTAGTGTTTAAACGTATGCCCTAAGCTATACGCATCAGGTATATTGCTTCGAAAATCATTAAGTATTTATACATAAATAAATAACATAAATGTCAGTCAGAAAAGCACCGAGTGCTGCCGAAGTAGCCGAATTGACAGCTTCTGATATTCAAGAATCTGAGACAGACAAATTACTACGAAAAAGTCGAGACCAACCGTTCGTACCTTTAGGTATGTTGTTTATAAATTTCTTGGTTTGAAAGATTGCAGTCAATTTGTTTTTTCAAGTGCTCCGTATCTGCTTTAACTGAGCAATTGACTATACTTTTCTGAAATGTTTTCATAATAGTCATTGATAATCATTTCCATTTAACATGAATCTGTTGACCTCTCATTTTTCAACGATGAAACACCTGTATTTTTAATTTAGTGAAAATCAACGTGAAAGGCTGAGCAAACAGATCTTTAAACAGCCAACTTCTTGATATTTTAACTTGACAATTCAAAAATATGAGCCCTGCCATTTGCCATAGTCTTTAACATTTTGTTAACATTAATTTAGCTACAGTATCTAAATTTGTAAGAGACTAAATGCAGATCCTAGATAATGTACATCTTGTACATTTTCAATTGTTAAATATATTATATTACACCGAAAGGGTACACATGCATTTATAAAAACATTTGTCATGCTTGTTCAACTTGTGGTCAAGTAGGTATTTGCTGTCTGGCTGAAGTCATTGATGGTCATTCTTGGTTGACATTACATATATTAGTTAACTGTCAAGTAATTTCTCGTCTATAATTCATTGATGGTCCGGCCCTAGTGGCTAAAATACTTAATTATAACATATACAACTGATGCTTTTTGTTCATCCTAGACTTGAAGACTCAAAATTTGACATTACACGATACTTTATAATGCTGGTTTGCATGCTTGAATTGATAACCATGTGAATCAATTTTTTTGTGAAAAATATGTCTGATGTGAATCTACAATGAAAAAGTTGAAACTAATGAAACTATTTATTTATGAATGGAATTCTTTATAAAGAAAACATTATCTTTGCCTCTCTCTCTCTCTCTCTCTCTCTCTTTCTCTTAGAAGAGATGTAAAAATGTAAATGAGGAATGAGAAAGGCAAATCTCTATCTAAGGCTTTTTTGTTTGGGGGCTTTAGCTAGACATCAAGAAGCATGGTAATAAACATTTCATATAGTTTCTACTGTCATTGATTGTAATAATTAGCTGAAGAGGTAAAGATTAAGATTAAGAGGTATTGAAAGACAAATAAGATTAAGAGGAAGTGAAAGAAAAAATTTCTTGTTATTTCAAATCGGTCTTTTGGTTAATTTTGGGTAATATTTGAAAATGTTGTTGTGGCAAGAGTTTCCCAATTATGCATGAATGTTGGACGACAGGTATACAACATACGTTGAAAGTTTGCATCATGGGAACACAACTTCGGTACAGATGGCATACCATGTGTACACAATATAGGAACAGAGGATATACCATGGGTATACAACTTTGGTACAGAGAGTGCACTATGGGTACATAACGTAGATGTTCGCAAAGTATGTGCGTAAAACATGCATCCCTTCTTCTGAATGCCACCAGCATTTCTGCTATTACGGCTTACAAAATGTTCTCTGCAATTATATAACAAAAGTTATAAGTTGAAAGCAGAACTTTGAAGGTTTTTTCGATTTCTAACGTTGAGAAAAACCTATTGACTTCTAAAGTACCATACTTCGGAACTTCCCCAACCTTTACTCTTTTCGCGAGCTTTGTTGGACCCAGATCCTAATTCATATTTATTACGATTCCCCTTCCTTTTTCCTCTAGGAATTCTTGGCACAGTTGGAGCACTGGTATATGGTGCCTATGCATACAAGAATCGTGGACCAATGAGCACTAGTCGTTATCTAATGCGACTTCGAGTTGTAGCACAATCGATGGTGGTTGGTGCAATAATGATTGGTGTTGGGTACACCACACTTAAAGAGAAAAGAGAGGAAAAAAACTCCTGAAATTTTAACAGTCTTACACTGATTTGAGTATATTTATTAATGAAGATCACAGTGTTTATGCATTTTAACATATATATAAATTCTTGGAATTTAGGCTATATTGCTTATGGGAATTTTGTGGCTTGATACAACTTAAGTATTAGAAATCAACCTGAATTTTATTGAGAGGTGCTGAAATATCTCAAATGGAAAGATGCGCAAATTCTATCATAAATTTTGAGAAAACTGGAATTTTACAACGTGCATGCAGCTTGTGAGAACTGTATAGCAAAATTATGTATGTCCACGTCAGGCATCATGGGATTTATGTTAAAATGCGTTGGTATGACATGCTACTGTGTGATAAATTTTTACTCCAAAAAAAAGCAATGTTTTGTTTATGTTTGTCAACATGTTGAACAAAAAACGTGGAAATGAATTTCCAGCTGCAGATGTGATGCGTAAAAAAAGAAATAAACTTCGGGAAAGATATCGAATGCTTAATTTAATTTCAAATGATTGTAGATATTATTGTAGATTGAAGTCGTCACATTTATTTGGTAATATTTATATTTTCTTTATCAGAATAATAAAGCGTAATGTCAGAAAATTGCGGATGCTACAAGTGAATTGAAATAGCGTTATTCATGTGTCCAATGTCCATAGTTAAAAGTCCAAAAGTAACAATGATCACGTTGATTAATACATTTCGAGTTAAACTTTCAAGTATAAAAATGTTAAAAATAACAAATGGTAAATATTTCTTTAAAACAGAGTAACTGCTTTTACTGCAGTGTTTTATTGTATGGTACGTTACACGAAATGACATTATGATAGTTGCATTCGATTAATTCAATGTATATATTTTAATAAGTTAGATATGCAAAGCATGTCCATCAAATTATTAATTCAAATATTTAGTATATCTTTTTATTATATGGCTAACCAATTTTTTTTGACGAATTGTGCGATGTGATTGGCTGGTGACAAGGCAAAACTTTTCTGTCTCGCCTCCAGTGATACAATAAGCTCTTCTTCCAGCCCTTTTCATTCATGGATGTAAATAATAGTGATAATTACTTTGTAGTTTAGCCATATAATAAATAACTTGCTAACTTCGAGTTTGGAAATATCGCATGATATTTACTGTACAGACCTCACTTTCGGTTATTAAGTTAACAATATCGTTATAATACTTCAGAATTTAAAGAGTAACCATTAATTTGGCCTTCAGCCCAAGGTTCTACACACGGTCTTTCAAACATACCCATATGCTTCACACTACAATTAATTCTAACAATCTATCATACACCAAAGAGTATATCATGTTCATCAATTAGGCATTGAACAACATGTTTTTGTAACTTAATATAACTTTGTGATTCTAATAAATTCAGGTTTTCGGGGCATCGCATGAGGGTTGGGCCAAAGACGATGGACAAGTTCTCCGAGTTCATCATGTTATTCTTTGAAAACGTAGTGACCCTACGTGAGAAAATCCAAAGATAAAAAGCATGTTAAACTGTTCGGGTCGTACGTGTTGAACTGTTGCACATAGAGTCAACAATAAAAAGACACGTCAATGATATTTAACGTTATAAACTATGCTTACATTGTAAGATGAGATATTAGAAATTTGAGAAGAGCGTAATGAGCATGTGGTAATTCTCCTAAAGCACGTCCGACAGCTTCAATCCGTTCATTGTCTTCTAGCTCTGTGAATAAGGAACAAAAATCACTGATTTACGCACAATACTAACGCGTGTAACCCCGGCTCAACAAGTACCATGGCCGATGAACAATAATATTACAAAAAGGAGGGACAGTTAAATTATCATGAAAAAAAACTCACTTATTGCATCCAGGAATTTACCATAGGTTTCAAAAGTTATAACGGGCAACGGTAACATACGAAGATAAAGTTTTAATGCACCAGCTATAATGTTTATATCTTCAAATTTTTTTGGACCTGTATCAATGACATCACCTTTAATAAAAAATATAGAAAGGTTGTCGTCACCAAGTTCGAATAATAAACTACTCACTCTCAAATTAAGCCTGTGTCAAACATGACATCGGTGTTCAAGGCTTAATCTCACTTCACAAAACCAGAATTTCTCTATGTATAGACCAACAGGTTTCCGATATTTTCTATAATCTCAGAGCATATTTCTTATTTGAAAAAAGCTTTGTTCTAATTTGAGAGACAGACCAATCTCGAATATACTCTGACCAAAAATACTTAGCATGTTTGACATCAACATATACAAGTTACCTTTGTCGTATAAATTCTTTAAGACTTCAATATCATCAGCAAATCCCGATACTCTGTAAATGCCTTCGGACTTCAGACCTTCAAATGAAGTACACGAAAACAATGAGTTCCAACAAATGTAAAAAACAAACGTATCTGCCCTCTTTCTTACACTGTAATGTCACTAATAATATGATACGGGCTCTACATAACAATTAACATTCTATCATTGTAATCTCACTATAATTATCATGGACTTCGGCAAGCCAAGGGTAGATTTAAGGATTAATCAGAAGCTATATGTTTTAACTGGTTGTCATGTTGATGGAAAAACCATACAGCTAGCTAGGATATGTGCTTGCCTTTTTTTGGAAAGTTTATATACGTAGTGTAATTGTGTAGCTACAGCAAAATAACGAAAATGTAACAAAGGAAATGATGGACTGAAAAACATTATACCTCTTTGTTCAACTTCTCTCACACAATCTTCGACAATTGTAGGAAGCTTTGTGTTGTGCGCTTTAACGAGGGTTGTCAAATCCACACCAAAAACTACGAAAGAATAAAGTACGTACATGGACGCTTTGCAAGTAACAGAATAGACTTCATATTCATTTGACGTAGAAAACACGTTGTACTGTGATTGTGTTAGTAAAACCCATTGGTAAGACCACTGTTACGTGGTCATACCATTGCATGGATGGATTCAAGATGATTTAGTAGCGGGTGCGGTGGATCCTCTAGTTTGAACTAGAATTTGGTGGCTACTTTGTGAGTATCATCTGGTCTTTTCTTACTAAACTCTGTTGCTTTCACATCACGAATGAGACTTTTGATCGGGTAAATCAATGTTTTGCAGGTTATTCGGTACCACACCTGCACCCGGTCAATTCAAAGCTGGGAGAAGTGAGTATCCGTTCGCACCACCCAATTCCCAAGTAATCCATCCCTTACCGTTGTAGTCAAACAATGAGTAGTAACACCGTTGTATAGCAAGACTATGTTGAGCGTGTTAGTTAGAGGATACGTAGTATAAGTAAAACTAGTATTGATAAGACCGTGGTTGAACACTCGTTATTACTAAGGTTACGATAGTCAAGCACTCCTAAGACATTAAGATCATGCGTGTATTACCGTAAAAGTACGAAACTTTCCCAGGTACGTGAAAGGCAGACAAATGTTTTTAATAATAAATAAAAAAACTTTAAATACCTCGTTTTACTAGTTTTTTGTGTGGTTGACAGTTGCCTGCGTTCTTTAAGCGTTCGGCGCATTGCTTGTGTGCATTATATCCACAATCTAAAAAACACGAAAATATAATAAAACAAAGAGAATGATGTTTCTAAATCGTGTTCTTCGATATAATGCGTACCTTGGCATTTGTATCCTTGTTGTTTTAAACCCCATAGAAAATTTTTACAGTAATCACACCAGTAAAAACCTTTGTAAGTGTGAACCTGCAACGAGATATAAACTACTTGACTCACAAAATTGACTATAAATTCATATTTTATATATTATACAATTAATGATCAAACCTACCTCTTTTAGCATGTTTAACAATCACATAACATACTTAGCAACTTAATTAGTGACGCTTGGTTGGATTAAAATTTAAGCGGCAAACCTTAAAGTTGTGGTCCTTTGTATAACCTGAAGCTGTTTTTATACTCTGTCTGTAGTCGACACTAGGCCTTCTACTGTTGTTCTAAAATTCACAAGTCATCACAGTCAAAGCAGATAATAATTAGATACATCACAAGCTAACTGTCTTTAGATCTCAATCCATTTCGAAATTATTTTAAACAATCTTAAAAAATAGCAAACTTACTGGATCTACTGGTTTCGTGCTTTCCACAGATGTCTCTATTCGGGAAGACTGAGAACGCACAGGTGGAAGAGGAGGTGGATTCATCATCATTGTATCAATGTAATCTTTAGCATTCATCTCTATGTATAATGTTATCAAGCCATCCGCCACAAGATCATTCACAGTTTCAAACCGCTTCTCAGCTATTCATAAGGCAAACATATTTTAAGCACTTGCATAATTCACATAAGAAATTGGAAATGAAATTCCATGCTTCATCCACACCGTTCATATATGTTTGTTTATGATAAGGTAAACACATAATGTTTAAGCTTATTATAGTATAAGTGACACAATTATTGATACAGGTACAGTATGGGTATATGCTTTGATGATATATGGGACGCAGCCTTTCCCCACACGCGCATGCTCGCCACACAGTGTATCAAAAACACATTGCATAAAGAAATCCAGGAAAACACAGAAGCGCTACTTTGGAATATGCAAGTTCGATGTTTTGCACTAAAGATTATATAATGCTTTTACATCAAAACTATTGTAATTTGTTACAATGATCAAGTGTAATTTGTTAAACTGATGATTACTGGTCGAGTTGAGCAGAGTTGAGCTGTATTAAAACTGACACGTGATCAAAACGTATGTCGAACGTCATTGTTGTAGCACTTTTTTCTTCTTTCAACAAATACGCTATTAAACCATAAAGTTAAACATTTTTAAACAATTCTAGCAATATGCTTGCCACCTTATACGTATGCTACCATTGGTTATTAAAGTATAGAGAAACAAATGACGTAATGAAAATTATTAACCATATTTTTTAACGTTCTTTGATCTTATTCATATCCGGATTGTTTTTACAACGTAATTCACGTTTCTACAAAGTTCTGCTCAGTTGGAACTCGATATGTTATAATGTAAAACAAGATAAAATTACATTTCAGGCGAACATGCACGAAAAAAACGTAATCCATTGCATGTCCATAGGATTACGAAAAAGGTAGAGGACATTTTCACTGAAGAAGTACACGGATGAAAATTTTGGATTACACTTCAATATCAAGAGTCTTGCGGGAAAGAACGAACAGCCACAAAAGAGAATCAGATCAAGAGTAAAGGATTAGATTGGATCATGGTTTAGCAATCGAAATTATTAGTACGAAGGTGAGCATCAGATCAAGAGTAAAGGATTAGGTTGGATCATGGTTTAGTAATCGGAATTATGAGTACGAAGGTGAACATTGTTAAGGTTTGATGAAGATAGGAAATTTATCGTGCATTCAAACGGTAACAAAAAACTATTTTAACTCACCAACGTAATGCATTCCATCGTAGTATAATCGAAAATTCATTGTTTGCTTACCAATTCTAAAAATTATGTATTTCAATAACTATAATTTTTAAAAGTAACACGGTTAAAGATTATTTCAAACAGTTAAATTTTTTTATAAAAGCTCTTGGGAAACATTAAAGAACACCTGTAATACATAAGTACAGTGAATTACCTCATTGACAAAGCATAGGAACCTGGGTTTTTCTGCCGTTCACGAACCAGATAATTTCCACTTTTAATTGAAACGAGAGCGTCTGCCTCCTCACGTGATATCAATCCATGAAATCTATAGAAGCACAAGGGGAGGACAAACTCGAATTAAAAACGAAACCAATGACACAAAGAACGGTTTCCAAGACGTAAGCGTTTGATATTTGGTACTTAACACAGTGTTCAAATGCACAGAACAAATCTAAATTTTGGAAACTAAATTTAGACGCTAATTTTTTAAGCACAGAGTTGTGATGAAATTCCAGATCATTTTTTGAAAATTAGCTTTGGAGCTTTTCCTCGCGCAACTCAACGATTGTAGGATGCAAGCATGAAAAACTTACTCTTTTCCATAGTAAGCAGGCTTGTCGGGAATCTACGTGAATAAAAAAGAATACAATTACCTATTCTTTGCATACGTACTTGAATTGTCGTTAGTATTTTTTATTTTGTCTATAGTTTTCAAAAACGTCTTTGTAAAAAATCCATAAATGTCAACCGCTCTCGACAAGAAAAAGTTTGAAATTATAGTCTAAAAATTTATCATACACGCGGGGGTGAATGTGATTTATATGTAATTTCCTGAATTCAAAAGATCTTTTACCCATGGTTACACGGAGAACATGGAGAACGTCATTTTACAATACGTCGTAATTACGCGAAAACAAATTGTCAAACGCAATTCTCCAAGTTGTATTCAAATAAATTGAGGTTTATATTTCAAAGGCAGGAATGCATTGCACATAATTCTTGTGTGACAACTACATAATATTAGGATATTTAATAAGAGTATTTTGCTCAAATTAACTATTCAAATAAATCGAGGCCGATAAGGCTATGAAAATTGCTGACCTGTCTTTCACATCTTACTCGAGTTGGTTTAGGCGCTCGAAGTTGCAGTTCATACACTACAAAATTTAAAAAGGTATTCCTAAAATCGTTTTTAAAACTTATTTAACATCATAATACTGAACCTGTTCAATTTTCATGAAGCATTTTATATTTTATTTGACACTTCCGGTGTAACAATTGTAGTTTATCTGATCACATTGACATTTTCAAACTTCAAAATACACGACGTCTTACACGGCATTGCTATTTATTTATGATAAGCGTAAAAATTATGTATAATACTCACAATAACTCTTCCACATTGGAGGTTGTACTTCGTGGTACAGCGCACCTAGAAAATATATATACAAGCAAAAACATTATGTCAACAATTCGCGTACACTCGTTTATTCACTTCAGAAACACAACATTAACAGATCGTATTCGACAAACATACCATCTGATTCATTTTCTTTCTCATCTTTCATACTTAAATGAAATTTCGAGGCGTAATTATCTTGTAGTAAAAGTGAAACAAGACGTTTGCAGATGTTTCGTTTGATCCTTCTAAATAAACAATAACTATACGTGAATGAAGTTCAAGACAATGAAATCATTGCTTATCCCATTCTATCACGCTAACGACCTTGTGAAAAACATTCTTTATCAATAGTAGGTCCCCAAGTCTCAGTTTATCACGTGATGACGTAATTGACGTGAAAAATCAAGAAAGGCTTCAATATCTTCAATCTTCACACAGACAGAACATTTCGTCTTTTAAAACGAATATTAACGAGTTACTTCAAGAATGAATAAACTCAAAGAGCGTAAGAAAATATATTGCAATGTTTGCTCCACATATATATCATCCGGTAAGAAATATTAAATTAACAATTTAAATTCAGTAACTCCCAACTTCTCGATCTTTCATCTTCCATGCAAGTCTTTTTAGTTGTTTGACTGTAACTTCTGTGGCAGAAACTTTATTGGCGATTCATGAAAATGGGAAGAAACACAAAAGGTTTTTGAAAAATCGTGAGGATAAGAAGAACAGTGCTGATCGTAGTATTTATGTTCGTGGTTTTAAAAACAGTGCAACTTTGGACAGTGATATAAATGAATATTTTTCTCATTTTGGAAAAATTGTAAAATATTTTGTTGATAAGGAGAAGGTTAGTTAAGTAGCATTATCTCTTTAGGTTTTTTTTAGTAAATTTAAAATTAACTATGTTCTTTGTTGTTTTTCTAGACAAAATATGCCATTATTGAGTTTGAAAGTTCAATGATTGTTCAGACTATTCTATCTTCAAAGCACTTGCCATTACTTAATGGTAGGAAGTTGATCATAAAAAAACGGACTTTCAAAGAACAAACTGAAGAAAGTAGCAAGCAACCTAGCCCTAAATTTGAAAAACACAAAGGATGGAAGAGCAGAAACTGTTATTTAAACCAGGATGTTATTGAAAGAATGAAAATGTTATCTTTGGTAATAATGAACTGATGCAATTTTTGATTATAACTTTCATTAACTTATCCGTACAATTTCTCAAAAGAATGGTCATGAAGGGCTTTATTAGTGCATTCAAGAACTTTTTAACTGATGGTGTGCATTGTTTTTTAAATGTTTATCCTGGCAATGCTTTTCATTTTAAGCTTTTGCAAGTTGTTTTAAAATACATACAGGCCGTTAACCTTTTGCAATCAATTAACACAATTTTTCAAAGGTATTTGTTAGCAATATATTCCTAGCATCTCAGCAAATCAATTTTAGAATATTAGTTATACTATTGAGCTTGATGAACCTAATTTTATATTAACCTCGCTTGCGAACTTCATTTTAATTTGTAATGTACATTTTTGTAAAAAATACTTATAAAAAATATTGCTCAGGGCAATTTCAATGAAAAGAACAAAGAAATTTTGTTGCTAAGAACAGTATTGTATAGAAATTATATTGATTTTTTCTTTCCAAGGTGAATCAATGTTGCATGTTTGTAAATGTAGATCCTCCAGGTTGGTATAGTCCTGAGAAAGACTGTTTTTGTTGTTTTGACTGACGTTTCGACAACCTTAGCGATAGTCATCTTCAGAGTCAAATGAGGAGTAAACATCAGGTTAGCGGTATTTGTTATCTGGTTCTTATGTCATTGTATTGTGTGTACAGGAAATGTGTATTGTCATTGTGAATTAGTGTGAAGTGAAATATTTTTATTTTTAGTTGTGATGTGTGATTTAGGTGTGATGTTTTTAGTTGTAATGTGTGGGTGTCAATTGTGTATTACACAATACACAATACACAATACACAATACATAATTGACACCCACACATTGCAACTAAAAACATCACACCTAAATCACATATCACAACTAAAATAAAAATATTTCACTTCACACTAATTCACAATGACAATACACATTTCCTGTGCACACAATACAATGACGTAAGAACCAGATAACAAATACGGCTAACCTGATGTTTACTCCTCATTTGACTCTGAAGATGACTACCGCTAAGGTTGTCGAAACATCAGTCAACAACAACAAAAACAGTCCTTCTCAGGACTATACCAACCTGGATGATCTACATTTACAAACATGTAACGATACTCCCGGGTTCAAACCATTTACTTTATTGTGAATCAATGTATTGTTTTTTAATGTAGTTGGATGAACAGATACAAGAACTTGCTACATCAATATCCTTAAATGATGATGACCTAAAACTAAGAAATCTTGTGATAATGTATTTACAAGAAATATTTGTTGAAGTATTTCCTACGTGCAAGATCGTGCCATTTGGATCGATGGTGACTGGACTTGGTTTGAAAGGAGCAGACATTGATCTTTGTCTTCAAGTTGATGCAGATATTTTACATTCAGTCATTGACCAGTGTGATGGTGCTTTTGACATCACTGAACAAGTGTTAGATTTTATTGTTGATGTTCTGAGAAAATTTGCAGCAGGATTTAAAAATGTCATCAATGTTGTTTCCGCAAAATGCCCTTTAGTTAAATTTTGCCATCGTGATTCTGGGTTATCTTTTGATTTGTCAGTCAATAACAGGTAAGACAGGTCTTTGAAATCAAGTTGGTAATCTGAACTTGCCGACCTGTCGTGATGTCAGGACAGTAAAAAATTGCAAATCTTTGTCAACTTGATAATTTACAATATCACAGAGCTGGGGAAGGCAAGATGTGACTTGATACATTTGATATTTTTCTTGCAATACTGCATCAACCAAGCTTTGCAAGATTTGAATTAATAGCAGCTTGCAATTTTTGATTTTGAAAGGTGACACCTCTCCACTTTCCCTTCACCTTACATTGCTCACTCTCTTGTAGCTCTTTTATGCACTTTATTATCTTAATTTTAAAACACTCTTTCCTCTTTCTTTCTCTTTTCCCCTTCCTCTTTCTTTCTCCCTCCTTTTGTCTTTCTCTCCCTCTCCTCCTCTTTCTTTCCCTTTCTCCTTTCTTCTTTTTTCTCTGTATCCCCTCCTGTTTCTTTCGTTTCCTCCCCTCTATCTTTCTCTTCCTTTATCTCTCCTTTTTTCTCTGTTTCACTCCTTCTCTTCACGTAATTGTGAGTTGCTAATGTAAACCGTACTTTTTCAGTTTTTACAACAGTATTCTGCAGTAATTAACTTCACGTTAATATTATCTCCATAACTTTGTATGAACGAACTTCACGCCTTTTGTAACGAAAATATGGAAACGGAAAACTTGGCTCACGTAGCTAAAATTTGATTGATTTTAGGTTGGCTTTGAGAAATACGAACTTGATTCGGTCATATCTTTCTTTGGACGGGCGCATTCGAACATTAGCTATCGTCTTAAAGAATTGGGGGGCGTCAAAAGGTGTTTCAGGTCGAGGTGGAGGTCATCGGTTATCAAATTATTCACTTATGATAATGCTGTTACATTTTCTCCAGCGTACGCGACCGCCAGTCATTCCCGTGTTACAATTTACAAGCAGCTCGTCGGAGAGCACTGATGAGGATGAGGATGGTGATGTTGTCAATATAAATGGCTGGGATTGCAGTTTTTACTCAAATGTTTCACACACATCTGAAAATATGGAATCGTTAGGTATGTGAAGCTACATTAATAACGTATTTTCTGTTTTAATTCTTCATTTAAAATATTTTGATCATGTTGGCGCTTGATTCGTGTTATAGTGGCTTTGGAGAAAGGTTTGACTTCCCTTTGTTTTAAAAAAGGGGAAATAAGCTCTTTTTTCCACATATAACTTGTTCACACATTTAACAGAAGCTGCTCTTTTGCAAATTCGTGTCTTTATTATAAAATTTGTGAGAAATAGCGTGTTAGTGAACCTACAAATGAATATTTTTAAGGAGCCACGCTCCCGGGCAGTTTAAATTCCTATTGAGTTCTTACCACTTCCACCTGCATTGTCACCTTGACACCTGCATTGTCGCATTGTCACCTTGACGCCATTGACGCCTGCATTGTCACCCCCTCTCCCCTTCCATCTAAACAACATGGCCACGTCACTATTTAAATTCTGAGTGATTTCTTCTTAATGAAATATCTATGTGAGAAATTCCGATGCAGCACTGACATATAGAATTTTTATCTTTTAGGTAAACTATTGAATGAGTGGTTTCTATATTTTAGCGAAACATTTGATTATTGTAACGACGTTATTACGATTCAACGGGACATTCATCAGCGCATTTCAAAAGCTGCTGTTAAGAATTTACGCGGAAAAGCTAAAAACTCGAGAATCTTCGAACTATCCCCTTTGTGCGTTCAAGACCCATTTGATCTATCTCACAACTTGACTCAAAATATTTCAATGGAAACTCTCGAGCTTTTCTGCAAATTTTGTCGTGAAGCGAAGATTCTGCTTTCTTGTTGCTTCGATGCACAGCCAAATAATGCGGAAAGGAATTTAAAAAAAAGTGATGGTTTCATTGACCTATTTCTCGTACCAAACAACGAAGAACGAAAGTCGGATAAACACGTTTATTCTTTTAAGATTCCTTATGTCTCATCCACTTATATCCCTCTTAGTCCTTTGGAAAAGACTAGTAAGTTTGTTCTGAATCTTTTAAAGAATGATTTACGAATAATATGTGAACGCCTAAACGAAAAAGTGGAAGAGGAAGCTGGTATAATTGGGCCGACGCCGTTAACTAAGGAGATGAATGATGACCTTGAAAGTGGAAAAATTAAAAGGGAAAAGCAAAATAAAAACATTGTTCTAGAGGAAATCGTTTTAATAAGTGGACATTCAGCAATAAAAGAGGACGTTTCTTCATTCTCCTGTAAGAGAAGACGCGACTATGGTGAAAAAGAAGAACAATATTCTAATCATGGGAAACGATTAAAAATGGATGTCGAAAAAGAAAAAAAGTTTTTTGATTTTTTGTGTGTAGCTTACGAGGTCAGCTGGCTTAATCGACGTCGCCAACGACGGGTTCACGCGATAAACGGCAAAGCAAGAAACTTTGGCAGTTACATTGAGCAGGGGTGCTCTGTGGTAAATACAAACTCATGCACTTTGCAATGTTCTAATACTGGAGCAGATACAAACTTAAGTACTTTGCAATGTTCTAATACTGGAGCAGATACAAACTCATGTACTTTGCAATGTTCTACAACTGGAGCTGATACAAACTCAAGTACTTTGCAATGTCCTACAACAGGAGCAGATACAAACTCAACTACTTTGCAATGTTCTACTCTAGGAGCAGATACAAAGTCAGCTAATTTGCAATGTTCTACAACAGGAACAGATACAAAGTCAACTACTTTGCAATGTTCTACAACAGGGGCAGATACAAACTCAACTATTTTGCAATGTCCTACTCCTGGAGCAGATGCAAAGTCAACTACTTTGCAATGTCCTACAACAGGAGCAGATAGAAACTCAACTACTTTGCAATGTTCTACTCCAGGAGCAGATAAAAACTCAGCTACATTGCAATGTCCTACAACAGGAGCAGATACAAACTCAGCTACATTGCAATGTCCTTCAACAGGAGCAGATACAAACTCAAGTACTTTGCAATGTCCTACAACTGGAGCAGATACAAAGTCAACTACTTTGCAATGTCCTACAACAGGAGCAGATACAAACTCAACTACTTTGCAATGCTCTACAACAGGAGCAGATACAAAGTCAACTACTTTGCAATGTTCTACAACAGGAGCAGATACAAACTCAAGTACTTTGCAATGTCCTACAACTGGAGCAGATACAAACTCAGCTACATTGCAATGTCCTTCAACAGGAGCAGATACAAACTCAAGTACTTTGCAATGTCCTACAACTGGAGCAGATACAAAGTCAACTACTTTGCAATGTCCTACAACAGGAGCAGATACAAACTCAACTACTTTGCAATGCTCTACAACAGGAGCAGATACAAAGTCAACTACTTTGCAATGTTCTACAACAGGAGCAGATACAAACTCAAGTACTTTGCAATGTCCTACAACTGGAGCAGATACAAAGTTAACTACATTGCAATGTTCTACAACAGGAGAAGATAGAAACTCAAGTACTTTGCAATGTTTTTCAGAATTTGAAAACGAATGTCATCAGAAGGGTGCAACATTGCCTATTTTTAAGTTTAAACTTACCATTGTGGAGCAAATTTGCAAGGAAGATGTAGAGATTGACAATGAAGTGTGTGAGGTTGTTTTGACATATCTCAAAGGCTCATTTTCCTACTTCTCCAATTTTTATGCTTTTTTTAAGAAGTTTTTGTTGCAGAAATTAAATTCAGCAAATGATTGAAATTGCGGATTATCATTCAATTTCCTATATGGGAGTTTTCATTCTATATTTCCCGCGTTTTTGCAACAATGGTAAAAAAACGAGAAATCTCATCCAAATGCCAAGAGGGTTGCAAGCCTCTTTTCCCCTCCTGGTAAATAAATAGAACTCGATAATATTTACTAATAGTTCTCAATGGTGTAGCCTGCCTGCACGTATTTGTCTTGCTATGTGATATTGTGATAATGTCAGTGAACAAAAATTTACCAAGCTGGACTAAATCAGTGGTCCGGCTACGCCATTGATTTTTTTATCATCTTTGCACATTCGAATTGAACAAACAGTTTTTTGATCATCGAAACCTTACATGCGTAACATTAAAAAATAACACTAAATCTAAACATGTTTAAAGGACATTGGCAACGAAAATTTTTTTTCATACGTTTATCATAGATAGCTATGGAATACTTAATTTCGTGTTTTCGTGTCTCTTTTGAATTTTGCTGTTGAGAAAATTTGACATAAAGTTGGATCCTTATCCGCCATTTTGGAAAAAAAGCCTTATGCTAAATTATGCCGGAATACATTACTGACGTCATTGGCTGGTATCCACTGAATGACACAATATAAAATTAAAGTATTATAATAATATATAGCACATTTGTTCACTGGAATTTTAAAAAAAACAACAGTCGGCGGTTGTTAAGATTAACAAAAGTTGTGTAGTTTATCACGCTTATATACTTTTCCAATATTTAGTCGTTATAAGACGTAGAAACGTTTATTTTAGCAGATCTTACAACTAGGCTTTGCCGACATACCAAGTGTAAGCCCAGACAACAACAAGCGCGTTTTATACACTGCACATTTCGTGCAATAGAAATATTTCATTTTCCCATATTACAAACCTGTGACCAACAAATGAGTTATACGTTTAATTTATTATTTGTATACATAAGAGTCTTTGAAAGATTATGTAGTTTTATATAGGTGATAAGCTATAAGCCGCTATGTTTTGTTCTTGACTGTAGAGTTTCGTTTATCCGTAATGTTTTACGTGCGTGTTTGCGTGCACAATGTACAAGTACACTTTTCGATTAACTTTATAACTTATGAATGAATACAAGTTTTGGGTGGATCACTCATGCATTTTGCTTTTGCGCAGTTCGTGACAATCCTTTGACAATGATATGGCATCGCAATTGCAGATCATAACAAAGAACATGAAAGAGCGTCTGTCTAAGACTAAATTTACGGTCTTTCGTGATAACATGCGTATTTATGTATAAATGTATAAAGTCCGTCTGGTGACGCGAAGCGTTTTCGTATGCTAGCATAAACACAAGCAGGAAAGGAAATGGTCTTCGATGTTTCTTCCCCAAAATTTGAAAAATCCACCTAGAACATCTTTGATATGCGACTAATCGATACAGCTTGTGTATTCTCTCTAGATCCTCATCAGACAGGGGCCAGTTTTCTTCAAGATGCCGACACAGATGCCGACACATGTCTACCTTTAACACACTTTCTGAGAGCATATTGTCCCTAAATTCTTGGTGTGTTGTCAAGCAATTTATCCTTGAGTTTCTGTTTGGCCTAGCAAAGCCTCATACTCATCGTATTCAAGTGCTTTTTCGTGGCAACAAAAACAGTCGATTGATTGCCTTTTTTGACAAAGTACAATGTCCGCACTTACACCAACTAAGAGTTTGAAGGCGCCAAGCATTTGCTTTATCAAATTCAGCATGTATTTCATCCTCCGACGAGGACAAGTCGCTCTGCTCACTCTCCTGTTCGGAACCGCTTTCTTCGCTTGTTTCGGCCTTCACTTCAGGTTCATATTGATAGGGCAGAACCTCACCCGGTTGATTTTCGTGTATGTCATCCATTACAGCAAAAAAATCCCGTAAAATACGCTTTAAATGTGTTGTAACGCAGTCAATCACAAAGTATATTGTATTCTTGTTTTGACTGCTCACCAGCCAATGACGTCACTACCGCTCGAGATAATTTTTTCAAAATTTTATCCAAGATGGCGCAATTTATAAAACTTTTGCTGCAAATATCTCAGCAACAAAATATTTTTGAGAAAAAATTTTTCTATTTTAGTTGTTAGACATCACAAAGGTTCAAAAATATGCCATAAAAATTTTCGTTGCCAATGTCCTTTAAATTTTCTGAATTTTATTCGAATTTCATCGTGTTTGTTGTTTTGCTTTGAAGAACTTGGGAAAACTGTTCGATCTAACGTCCACACGTTAGCAAGATGGTCTTTTTTGTTTTTATGCGTCTTTTTAAACTCATCCTATACTCAAGCTAAATCATCTAGCTTTTTATCCTGTTTTTATGGGAATATCTCTGGCCAATATGGAAAAAAGTTCTTGTAAACACTTCGCTATTTCCGGCATAGATTATGTTTCATATGATGACGTCATTATACCATCTGACAATAGCTTTGGACCAATCATCGCTTGATTTCTCAACACAACGATAATAATAAACATATTTCGCTTACGTTTAACTTAGTGGGAAACATTTTTCTGCCAAGTCACGGTTTTCTGTACGAGCTTAATCGTTCTGTCGACGAAAAGGCAATTTCGTTTGTTATGGAAAGTAAAAACGAGCAGTCGATAACTGATCAAGAAGAAAGTGCTCTTGTGGCAAAACCCTCGGCACATCCAATGCCAGTTTCAACAACACCTAATTCTATCGTCGACTCCGGTCCTTACCCTATGTCACAAACTGGGTACCAATCGCCATCTTTTCCTTATAATGCGCCACAAAATGCTTATCCACCAACGGTTTATCCATCTACAGGTTATCCCTACCCTGCTGCCCCAAAAGATTATTCTTCAACACAGAACAATGTTTCTCCGCCATTGGCTCCTCCGCCATCATACGACGAAAGTGTACCGCAATCACAGATTTCTTACCAGCCTAATGTAACACAAACTACAAATACTACTGTTATTTTCGCAGGAGACAATTTTAGTGGCTCTCAATATCGTGATGAAATTGGTTTTAACAGCAAAGCTGTTCGTTTAAGTAAGTAAACTCTTTGATTATTAACTGTCGTAAGTGTTATTTCGTTCTTGAGCTTATTGTTTTTGTTGCAGTTTGACTGCTAATGAAATTAGGTACATAAATATACACGTTAGCTGTTTCTTTGTAAAGAACACTTGTTTTATAGCAGTTTGCAAAATTTTTACCTTTAAATTTCAATGTTGTTTGAATGCTACATTTTGAACAATTTTAAATTTTAAGAACTGTAAAACTGATTTAAATCTCATATTTTATTTTTGTTCTAGGTTTTATCAGAAAGGTAATTTTACATTGCTTGTCTCTAATATTGTAACCATATAAGCTATGCCCTATGGATAAATCACATATGAACGTGAAACTTTGTGCTCTTTAGGTGTTTGCTATACTTTCCATTCAACTTGCTGTGACAGTGGGAGTTATTTGCTTGTTTCTGTTTGTGTAAGTTGCTAGGTATTTAACTAAAAACTATGAGTGTTCATGGTTTTTTGCAGCAACAGTTTCAATTGTACCTGCAAGGTGTAGAATTTAAAAAACTATGTTTCCTGTTGCACTTTGTAGAGACAGTGTGAAAAATGCTGGCCAGAATATTTATGTTTATGTTACTGCATAGTAAGTATAAGTTTGTTATTTTACGTACATAAATGTTTCATATAAATGTTTTGTGCCTAGTAGCATCGTTCAAAGTTTGTGAATGTGGATTGGATAAATCTGATTATTAGGTTTTGTTATTAAAATCATGCCAATGTTCATATGGTTCTTTGTTACATGAGAAACTGCTGAGCATATTTATATTGGGGTTGGGGCATTGGAGCTCCATGTACATTGCTTTTGCCTCACATTATTTTCAAATTTATTAGAGCTCTAAGATTTAACCTTTCGTTTGAACTGTATACCTTTTAACAATATTTTATTCTTTATTTTAGCATTCTATTCTTCGTGCTTTACTTTGTTTTGGTTTGCTGCGATTCAGTCAGGTACATCTTGTTTGTGGAACAGCAGTATTTTAGTGAATTCTTTTGTTCCCTACTTAAATTTCTTTTTCTTTTCAGACGGAATTATCCATCAAACATGGTTTTGCTATCAATCTTTGTAAGTTATACATGTTAGCTTTTTGCATGTGGCCTGTGATGGAAATTAAGTGACCCAGCCTTTAGTTTAGGTAATAGTAGAGTTTCTAGTGTAATTACGAATAAACAAAATTTAAGGAACTTTTTTTCTTTACAATTGTCACCATATTTTTTTTAAATAAAAAGAAGCTTGTTTGGCTTTCACAGTTTTTCAGTTAATAAGGTTACAGTATTTATGTGCATTTCTACAGCTAATCTGCTTTGCATTTATCTTGAAAAGTATCTAAAAGAATATTCTTATAGACAATTAATATGTAATGTTGTACTGTGGTATATTGTCAAATAATGCTTTTCTTTCATTTTCTAAAACAAAAACATGTTCTTCTTAAAAGAAGGTCCAACAGAAAAGAGTTTTTTTCACAGCCCTTATTTATCAGAGCATGTTGCTCTTTTATATAACTATCACATGTAAACAGTTTCTTACCTGGCTGGCAAAAACTTCTAGTACTTTGCCTGCAAGAATATCATCTGATTAGTCTATGTTATGTTCATTTGATTTTCTTGATAGCTGCTATATTTAATTCTTGAGTTTTTTTTTAGACTCTGTGTTTGTCATATTTGGTTGGAGTAATATCAAGGTTGGTAAATTATACATTGAGACTACATATTATATTTCATTATGCCTCAGTGGTTTTTGCCCTTCATTTTGTGTGTTGCATTTCATATGCTTATCTGCGTTTCATATTTGAATCTGAGTGATAAATTTGATTCTGAGTGTAATCAAATTTTATTTTTATGACAAATTTCAACACTTAAAGTGTGCAAGGATCATGTTGTTAATTGCTACTGATGATATTGATATTCCAGACCACATGTGTCACTGTATTTTTATTGACAGCTTGTATAACATGCTGTGAAACTGTGATAATTATGTCTTGTTCTGTTATACAAAAAAGATCTATGGTTGTTTGGTAAACAAGGGATTAATATGTGCAATGTCCTTTACACCCACAAAAAATGAATAACTTTTTATACAAACAAAGTAATTTATGTGAACGTGGGTTTTGTATCAGGTAGATTATGTTTGATTGTTACAATTTGTAGCCGAGAGAATTATTTCTTCCGAAATTTTTGACCAATACTGTGAATTATTCATAGTCAGAGCTATTTCGTTTACCAAAAATAATCGGCTCTTAATTCCCCTCCGTTTTCGTGCACCGAAAACTTTTAGGTCAAAGAACTGAATCAACCCGATAGTTTTGGTTTTATTTCGCCGTTTAAAGGACGCCAAATGCCAACTCTAAACTACAGACAGAAACATTAGAAAATTTTTGGAGAACGAAATACTTCAGTTCCTCCTGTGCATGCTACAATCAGCGCAGTATAGGGTAATACGTAGCTACCAAAAATATGCGAAAGCACGTTTAAAACTCAGTTACCACAGAAGATCGATAATTGTCGGAGGCCACATTTATATATTGATATTTTATATTCCGTAATCACTATTGATTTCAATGGAAAATGAAAACGTAAAACAAACGTATAAATACGGTAAAACCTTGCTTATTGAATTTTTCCGATTTTGAATGCGGCGCTTATTAGATATTTTTGTCGCCCCAAGAAAATAACGAGTAGACGACAAAATCTTTTTTCATTATATAATATTATACAACTTGATGAAAATATTGTCACATAGGTGCGGAACAAGGTTGTCGTAAATTTTAGAGTTTAATAACTCTATTTCTTTCGAGCGCCGCGCTAGAGTTACTCAGATGGTTGCGCGGCGCTTAACCGGGAGCGGCGCTAAATAAGTTCTCTGCATTCTGAGTGCGGCGCTTAACCGAGTGCGACGCTAAAGTCAGCATGTACAGTCTTAACCCTCTCCGACCTTTCAATTATCGATCATTTGTGGTCACTGAAACTAACATACGTTATGTGATAACGCTGAACCGTAGAAGTTAACGGTATCTCGTTGTCTTATTCATAATTTGAGTTAATACATTTGTTTTTCCTTATTCAAAAAAAGACCAAAACAGAACCGAACCGAGATTTTTTCTTTCAAAAAAAACGAAAGCGAGTTATAATTTCTGGTACCGCTCTTTGCTCATACCTACGTAGCTCAAATCCTCTCAATATAGATTTCATTGCAAGAGGCATTTTTAGCAGATCATTAAAAAGTGAGCGCAGTTTTTTTTTCTTTTTCAGCTACCATGACACAAAACTTGTTCTCATTATGATGGCAGTCACTGCAGTAAGTATTCAAAAAATGCACTATATGAATTTTATTTCTAGGTTGATGAACTATATTTCAGTACAGTGCAATGCATGAATGCAAATTATTGTACGTTCCAGGACCACGTTCATACTTGATAATTAACATTTAATGTTACCCTATAAAATCAGTCTGTATTATTTTATGTATTGTGCTGTTATTGAAACTAATTCAATTTCGTTGCAGCTTGTCACAATATGTGTGAGCTTGTTTGCCTGTCAGACAAAGGTATCTCATATTCACCATATGAAATGTACAATTATATTATATCTGTTGCTGTAGTATATTTTAGTTTATTTTGTAGCGTATGATGAGCCGACTTAATGGCATTGCTTGACGAATATTATATCTCCACGTACAATTGCTTTTATAGTTCGACATGACTAAATACGGAGGAGTTCTGTGTGTGTGTGCCTTGGTCCTCTTTTTTGTGCTAATATTCTCACCGGTTTTTCTCCTTGTAACATCGGTAGGTTTGCCCTCGTCCTGGTTGCTTTTTGGTTTACTAGCGTTAACTGTCCCAGGCATTCTGCATTTTTGCTCTTTCCAATGTAGCAAATTTTTTTTCATTTTGGCCTGGATGTACTTAGCCAAGAAATGTTGACGTAAAATGATCTAAACCAATGTCGACACACTGTGTATGTTAATGCAGACATGTGTGTTTTTATTAAGGTGGGAAGAATCGCAATTGGTGGTGTAATGGCTTTACTTTTTACTGCGGTATGTTGGCAAAGTGTACGAGCCTATGAGCTAGATTTTTTGTTATTTTTCACATAATTTTACGGTTATACATAGCATACTTCTCATGATCATATTGGGGTGGGTGCTCTTGTGTTGGGAACTGGGAAGGGATTTGGTATCTTGCACTAACCATCAGTCGTTTCAAAAGTATATCATATTTTCATTTAGTTTCTGGTTTACGATGTTCAACTCATTATGGGTGGTCGAAAATATGAGTTAAATGAAGAAGAATATGTGTTTGGAGCTTTGATTTTATACGTTGATATCGTCAATATTTTGCTTATCCTCCTTTATTTATTCGGTGGCAGTAACAACTGAAAAATTTATTTTATGGCGTATATACATGTTGTTCAAATATGCAATAGTGTGATTAATGTCTCAGTAATTTCAAACGTTGACGGTTAGGTGATCAATAGCTTAAAAAATTAAATCAATATAAATATGCACAACGCAGGCTATGTTATGGATGTATTGTTAGCGCCATGTACCTGTGCTCTTCTATTAATTGTTTTTATGCGTGAAATTTCACTTAGTTCAAGAATCGCCAGAACTAAAACAGCTCAATTATATAAAGTCAAAAATGAAGTTCAATTAAAAACTATGTAGCTTGTTATCGTTATCATAAATGAAGTTCAATTAAAAACTATGTAGCTTATTATCGTTATCATAAATGAAGTTCAATTACAAACTATGTAGCTTATTATCGTTATCATAAATGTAGTTGTTTCATTATCAATGAAATGAATGTTTGCGTGTAGAAATGTGTGCCTGTATATTATTTTATCTGTAGATTGATTGCGTTTATTTATAATGTGAAGGTAGTTTATTTTTTTCGCTTCCCGCAAGTTTTGTGTTTTAACAAAGAACACCCCTCACTCCCGAGTGACAGGCATGATTTTATTTCTTCTACTCTTCTCCGTGCAAATAGAATATCTTTGGGTGGTTTTACTCTCGAAGTATGTTTTTTTTTCATTAGTTTTATACGAGAGAAATGTTTTGAGAATTTAGGATACTGCGGTTCCCTGAATGGTTTAAGTTTACCAAAATAAACATGTCTACAAATTAAAATGTTGTCGTTTGTCTGACGTACGTAGTTATCATTCGGTTTCATAACTTGCGCATGCGTTTGTGGTGTTTGGCAAACGGTTAGAATATTTTATCAATGTTCAAAAATTATTTACAAGTCATATGGTTCAGGACCTTTCACGCAGCGTGTGAACAAGTTTCACTGTCAAATTCATATAAGTTTGTCAAAAGAATTTTTGGTGGTTTCCATCAGTTTCTATACATAAACAATAATCATCACATAATCTTCAACACTTATCGTTGTTACATTATTTTTTCATGTTTAGTCCAAATTTGTAGGTGCACTTAGCAGAACTTTGATAAAAATGCTATCGTCTTTCAAAAATCCCCCCGAGTCTAAAATCGCATTTAGAATAAAGCACGGGTTGCCGATGCCTAGATTTTCAGCGGAAGTTGGTCTATTGAAGACAACTTTTATGTTCGGTAGTGACATATTCGGACTCAAAGTGTGTGATCGATGCTGTCGTCTCTCACTCTGATCTAGCAAGTAAAATGTCACTTTTTTATTGAATGGCCAATCGAGCAAACCATCATAGTCTCCTTTCATTATGATGATGTACAAGGAAAGATGGGTGCCTCTACCTCTATCGCGTCCGTTAAGATAAGCTTTCAGCTTCAATTTATAGCCATACTGACTCGTGTAAAATGCTGGACTAAATATTGCATTTTCTTCCTCCGACGCAAGCGAGTCATTCATTTGTTTTCTGTAATTCTGGATTTTCCAGATGAACATTCCATCTACACAAACTGATCGGCTTTCATTTTCTCGTATTTTTCCGCATGCCAACTCCAAATGTTTCTGTACAGATGATTTGTAATGGTCGTCTAAGTTATCCCGTTTTCCCTGAAAAGGACAACTTCCTGCGTCCTATCAAACATCCTTGATTTTAGACAGCTGTCTTTTAGAAGTTTAAAATATCATTTCGCGTGTGTCATGTAGAATATATTGTCTTATAAACAAGAATTTGAATGTATTTTACTATTTATGAGAGGTTTTATTAGACTGTGAAAAACAGTTTGCAGGTTGAAAACATCCGGGCTACAACGCAGTAAGAGAGTGCTTTACTGCACGACGTCATACGTTCTAAGTTTTCCTCAAATGAAAGAACAATACGTCTTGATAAGATAAGAAATTCCACTTGATATCCTTAGATATTCTGCCAATGATGACATATTGTACTCATCAAAACGTTTAGAATAAAAATGTGTCAATTGTAAAATGGTAATTGTTTTGTGTTTTATCAAAATACTAATTGGCAGTCGTAATTATTTTACTTTGATATAGTTTTGTATTTCCAATTTTGTGGAGTCAAACTTACTTTATAATCACAGCCCATGTCAGCATAATAACAACAATGAGTTGTTAGTGGGCAAGAGTGAAGATGAACTGACATCTGAAACAAACGAATGATTTTCGTTACTAACACTGATCCTCAAACATTTCCATCACGACTACGGTAAAGTGGCCCTTTTATCGCATTTTGATGTGACACAGTACTTCAGCTACGTTTCTGTTTAGAAACGGTCAAAAAAATACAACACATTTGTTCAATCCTTCTGGACTGTATAAAAATATTACATAGTTTTGATAGTGTTATTTCATGGCAGCTGGTAATTTAACTGCATGTATGTAGCATATAATGCAAGTTGGATAAAAAACTCATCATTGATGATTCAGAATCTAAGTATTCTTTTAACATAACATGCATGCAAACGATTTCTCTTTTCACGCAGTCTAAACTAAGTACAGACGATATGAACCATTAAACTTAATTATGTCCAAGTCGTTTTATTTCATTGTCAAATTTTGGAGGAAAAAATCGCGCAAAGTTTTCCAAAATTGTGTTATATGTACAATTAGTAACCTCTTGTCTTGGAATGTCTTTCTTGCCGCATTTGTTTGTACACTCCAACGGCAAACGCTTGCATCTTTTCAGATGTGTCTTGAATGAACATGAAATTCAATTATATATTGTAAAAAGAAAGTAACAGTAAATCTGAAAAATATTTTTAATTGTAATTTTGTGTTAAAAGCTATGTGCATGTATTTATTTGTGTAATCAGAATCTCTGATATTTTTATTACCTTGCTGTCATTGTAGCAATATGTCTCAGAGCAAAAAGAGCATGTAACTGTTCTAAATTTACACTTAGCACTCAGATGATACTGCAAAGCTCGTCTTGAAACCATTTCCTCGCAGCCAGCATTGGTACATTGTACTTCTTCAAAATTGCAATTCTTGAGATGATCCTATTAAAAATTTCGAGACAGCAATCAAGTCATATTTGATTGTTTAAATAGAACATACATGATCTCAAATAAATTTTTCTCCTTGTATTGAAGACGAGTATTGTAGATAATTTCGACGATTAACCACTTAACTGAACAATAAATGATTAAAAAGCATCATTTGAAAGCAAAAAGTGTAAACTAAACCACTACTTTTGGCTTTTACATCGATGCAAAATGAATTGCTTTTATAGCACAGATATTCTGATGAGTTAATCAAATGCTTTCTTACTCTTTTTACATATCCTCATTTTTTACCTCTAAGCTGCTTAGCTCTCCTGACCAGTCGCATTTTCTCTTCCAATTGCTACATTTGACCCCTTGACTCAAGATTGCCCGTTTTGCCGCTTTGTCAAAGAACATCTGGATATATATATAAAATATATATAAAAAGTCAAGCGTGTTGTTGACTGTGTTCTATGCCTGCCGCAAAGCAAGAATAGCATTCTATTAAAGAGTTAGATTTAATCTGTCTACTATGAATCTATGTGCTCGGAGTGCATACCTTTGTAGGAGAAACTGGTCGGCGATCCATCGGGCAAACAAAGTAATCACCCTCTCTATACGAAGATCAAACTTATAATCACTTGGACTGCATCTCGCAGTAGAAGAAATAAATTTGTAGCGTTACACTTTTAAAGTAGTTTGTCTCCTGCATGAGCTCGCTCTTTTCTTCTCCAGTTACCACGCGCATGCATTTGAATGTAAATCTCTAACACATACTGTAGAATTTCTTTGTATTGTTTTCAACTTGATTGGAAATCATGTGAAAAAGAAAAAACAGCAAGGCAATTGATCCGATTCAAGGAGCCATCAAGGATCCGATTTAAGGAACTATGCATCAAGTGCCCAAAAATATCTAAGGTATGGTAGGAAACGATCTGTTTTACTCAATACATGTAAAAACTGAAGAAAAATAAGAATCAATGGCAAAAGGAGGTTAGCTTTCCAGAAGATAGTTATCGTACTCGCCCGCCCCACTAATGTTCCTAAAGATCTTATATTCCTCCTTACGCGGTAATTTCTAATAATTTCTGTAGCAAGTTTCTCGTTTGTTTTGAATTCACATGATGCGATTTGCATTTTTGTGCCGTCTTCAGATATGATAGATACTACGAAGAGGTTACCCTCGAAATAAAGTATTTATGGGAGTTTCAAGAAATATAGAGACGATATGAAAAACCGGTGAATGTCAAGCACAAAACCAGTAGTTCCAACAGCATACCTTCGACGTAATTCCTGCAAGCAAGAGTGACAGAAACGATGTCCACATTCTTCCAACTGTACAGGATCTCGATAGGCCAACTGACAAATTGGACATTCGTATTCGTTGGGCACAGTCGAGACGAACTCGACTTCGTAACCGCCTATTTCCCGTTCAGTTCTGTTCGCCATTATAACCCATGTATATTAACCTATGTTTTGCAGATTGCAGGTGTTTATTATCCCCACGACAACAGTTGATTTGTTTTGATATCGCTGTGAGAGATGAACAGGAAACTAGGTTCAGCCGCTGAAGACGAGTATTCGTCTCTTTTTGCAAACAAGAACTTGAAATTCGACAATAAAATCTTGCCATTGGCTATAACTATGTCCAAAAATTTTCTCAGCTGAAAAGAGCTTGCCAAAAAAAACATTTCTAACAAATTGCTTGACAATATATATATCGGAAGAATAATCAAAACAAGATTTTTACCATCACTTATTCATGTACAAAGGAATGAGTTATTTTCATGAAATATTTTTACATGAAGATATCAACTCTATTCAGAGTGCTACTACTATCGGGTTTATTTATATATATCATTTAAGAATACCACGAGGCAAACGTTAAATAGCCCGTATGACCAGGTATTGGTAGAACAGGTCGAGAAATAGTTATATCGGTAAATATTTTATTTTTCATTGCAACTTTTTCTTCCTTCGTTCTCTTGATGAAACTTTCTTTTGTACTGTTTTGTATCTTCTTCTCATCATCGTCTAATTCGCAGTTACTTCGTTTTTCAGGTGGCTCTGCCATATCGTCTTCTTCTTTTGCCTGTAAATTATCGGAATCATTTTGAAAAATAATCTTTTTATGGTAGCAAGTAATTACACATTCATTTCATCCGACAGTTACAAGGTTAATCATTTAATTAATATTATTTAATCATAACAATGTACAACGGTGATACTGCATCAGATAATAATTTCCGTGTATTTTGACCACACTAGTGTACTATCATTTCAGTTATGAAAACAAGATCCTTACATTTCTATCGCCAAAGTTTGGTACATCTGCCTTTATCGATGTTACGCTGTATTTTCGTTGCAGACATTCCATGGTACGGATATCTTCATAAAAAAAGATTTAAAGCGTTGCACATTTCATTTAAGATATTACAAAACAAGAATCAAATGGTCTACATATATAGGCAAATGATTATTGCTACAGGCATTGAGTGACGTTTTCCCGCGTACGTAAATACATATATCCAGTTGTTGTGACTATGAACCACAGAGAAGGTCAAAATTATAGCGACTATACCTGATTACCTATAATTGATTTTAAGATTACCTCTAAAACCATTCTCTTCTAAAACAATACATGTCTGTTGGACTTGTTCAATACATGGTGAAAAAGAGCACAGATGTCCGCCATTAGTCTAAAAATCGAACGTACGTATACATTTGAGTTCATAAAAGAAGTGGCTGTCTAAATAAAGAACTACGTAAATAAACCTTCAATGCCTCTTTCGAAAACTTTATTGCATCCCATGGCGAAGGAAGGTCCAAAAACACTAACAAATTTTAATATCAATATTATGAAATGGTAACGAAAAAACGTGACAAATGTTTGCATCAGACATTCATTGAAAATAGTTCAACTGTTGACCAATATGAAAAACAGACTGCCTTACCAGCATCAGCAACATTGCTTAAACCAAATCCATTTTCAAGAACATTTTTATGAGTAACCGTTACCATATCAGAAAGACCATGACGTTCAAATTCATCTCTATGGGGAGAAGTAATGTCGTTTTTCTTTTTGGAAAAATGTAGCAAATGATGCAGCAAAATTGTCATGCATGATGAATAAACAATTCATTTCAGAATAGTCACATGTTTTAGAACTCTAATGGATAAATGAAAGTCAATGCTACATAATTTATCATTCAATTATGGGTATAATATTGGAAAGGCAATTCAAATTGTATTCAGTTATTTTGCTTTTGATGTCAACCTGGCCATAGTTGCTCGCATTTCATGAAATTCGAAAGTGTAAAGATGTCCACAAGGTGCGATGGTTCGCAATATGGCATGGGACATTGAACCACTACCAGTTCCTACAATAGTAAGGAAAAATTACATATATTTGGAAGCAAAAACAGAATTGAAAGAAGAATTAAAAAAATAGCTAGCCACAAAAGTATGCTTTCGTACTAAACCTGATTCAACAACAATTGATCCAGGTCTAAGGTTTAGTTGCAAGAGAGTCATGCTAATATCTGCATTATATAAGATCTGTGTTCGATGTGGCAATGTCACTGTCCATAATTCTGGTGTAGCAAACAACATGTAAATCCATCCTTTTTTTGTCTTGGAAAATACCTAAAATACAATACAATACATAACATTCTGTCACAATAAGAGTTGATGGGCATCTCATGAGTACCTTTGAGCCATATTTCTGACCAATGAGATGGTTATGTGGAAAAGGACCAAAGTTTGTGTTGAAGATTTCGCCTCTCTTAATTTGTAAGGCTACCTTTCTCCCTTTACCCTGAACAATGAACAAAGTAGTCTAGTTACGAAATTACTTTTTCCCTTTAAATGTATGTGCATTAAATAAAAATGTAAACTTTTAAAAAATAGACAAGTTGTGAACTTCAGATGCCATCTTCAGACTGTTTGTGTTCATTAAAAGGCGCATTATAGTTGGCCGCTAGTCTTACACATGTCGAGATTTTTAGAAGAGACGATCAGTTTACTTACCATATAAACTATAACGGTGTCTCCATTTTCAACGTGACTCTTGTATTTTAGTAAACTATAGCTCATACTACAGATAGCAGAGATATTGTAATTTTTTTAGGTGGTAAACATAAAATGTGTAATGTGTGTGAATGAATGAAAATTATGAAATTTGAAATATCTTTTCTTGTCCCTATGTGCTGTACCCCCCGGCTTTGAGGGATTTTATATATTATATATATATATATTGAAAAAACGCGGAGGGTAGAGATGGTTAACTACTGACTTCGATGCCATTGCTATGACAACGTTATGACAAAAATGGCAGATTTTCTGGTAAGCAAGATGTAAATATCTAAGGATGAACAAAGCTTCAAACTACTCAAACTACTCTAGTCTTATTCAATCATGAGTAATGTTACGAAAGGATACTGGATAAATTATTATAACGGAAAAAAAATAAAATTCCTTATTCCTGTAATGTGAGGTGCATCCGCGCATGCATTCATTGCAATGGATGACAGTCAAATTACTGAAAATAGCAATGTTCCGAATCTCTTTGAAGAATCCTCTGTTGACGAGCACCAAAGAAATGTTTCAGTGAATTTTCTTAAGGATCTGATAAACAAAGTTGTCCGTGGCTTTGTTTCAAGTCTACACAATGATGTACCAGATATTTGGCAATCTTTCAATGAGGTTTTGCACATAATTCAGCCGTATTCAACGCTAATTGCCGATGACAATCAATTGATGCACTATGTAGAACGAGCTTATCATCATGTTTGTCAGAGACCAAACTGTGGCTTGGATATATCTGCGCTTGCTTTAGCATTTCCTCAATCTGTTTCAAAGCTTCAAGAGAATTCTACTACAAAAAAGAGACCTAAATTTCCTTCCACAAGCAAAGGTTTTAACTTGAGTAACTTTTCTTCAAGACAAATGGGTAAAAAAAAAAAAGGTATTATTGTACCTAAAGATGTGATGATTTCATCCGGAAAAATATTTGAAGATATAAATGCAGTTGATTCTAAATATCTTTTTGAAGAAGACAATCTATGTTTAAATGACTTGCATAAATCCCTTCCATTTGTTGTGTATGAGATTAGTTTACGTGAAGCATCATGGGGTAAACCGCTAGGAATTGCCGCAACAGCTGTAAACACAGATCTGGCTGAAACTCTCCAAAACTTATCAAGTTCTTGTAAATCACCAGCACTTCAGATAAACAGAAATCTATCAACAGTAGATAAACTTGAACAAAGTAAAAATGATTCTGAAGAAAGACATGCGAAACTTCCATGGACTGGCAGGGAAATTGTTGAGAAATTGGTAAAAGGCAACTTCCTTGGTTTGACAAAGTTTGCCTACCTTATTCGAGCAGAAAGCAAGCGTTATGATCCATACAATTTGATTGTTGTTCCACGAAATAAGATAAAGTCAGAGCACTTTGTTGTTTCATCACATGCCATTCTTCATGTTTTACCAAATCGTCCATCTGAACTGGTACCATTAAGTGAATGGTACAATGAAGCAATTTTGTTCAGTGCTGTTGTCAAGTATGGGTTTTTTAAGAACTTCTTGTTGGCAAAGATGTTTTTACGTTGGAAACATATGAAAAAACTTATTCAGTTCAAGGTGTTACGTGAGCATGTATCCAAATCCATTTTGTCATGCACAGGCAGGTTTAGTTCAGCCCTACTTCGCATATATTCGCAAGTGATAGACATGGATCAAGTTATCTTGCTTCCACTCAATGATCATGCATGCAAGCCATTGAAAGAGTTTAACAACATTACAATGAACATCCTTAAAGATGGCCATGAATGTATTAAAATGTTTTACACTTACTGTTTGTCAGTTGTCAATAAAACAATAGAAAAGTGCTTCAAGCACATGGAATCCTGCAAAGACCAATTGAAACAGTTGCCGAAAGGTCAGCATTCCTTGTCTGTTGTCAAGGAAATAAAAGCAGCAAAGTCTCAGAATTTGCTTGATGCCAAACATGAAATAGTGCAGCTTGAGAAATTTGTTCAACTTGTGGAATATATTCTGATAGAAATACTGCTTAAACTTGCCAAAAAAAACATTTGTTTATTCGTTAGTGATGTTTTGGAATGTGAGGCAATTAAAGACAATGGCCTATTTGTGGTTGATGTGAAATTTGACAAACATGATCATCTTGTAATGAATCCTAATGTTAAAGTCCTTCAAGGATCTTTGCATTCTGCTTTGGAGTGTGTTCTAAACATCCTTTGTCAATCGTCAAATTCTTTACATGTGCAGGCTAATATAGATGCCGAGGAGCATGTGACAAGAGTAGGTGATTCCTCTTCATCCTCAGACAGGTACATTTATACTTCATTTAATTTTTTATGTTATCACAACAACAAAGTGTTAGACAAAGCTGTCAGCAAGTCCTCACGCAGAAACCGAGAATGAAGAAATTTTCACATGCTTAGCCATTCCTGTCTTTCACTGCCACTCAAGTTTTTATACCCAATAACCATCCATTTCAACAATTTTCCATCACATTGTTCACCTTTATGCGTACTGGAAGCTCCAGCCATTCCTGTCTTTCACTGCCACTCGAGTTTTTATACCCAATAACCATCCATTTCAACAATTTTCCATCACATTGTTCACCTTTATGCGTAGTGGAAGCTCCAGCTACAAAATTATTTTCAGCTATATTAATCATTGTTGAAGTTAGTCAATCCTTTTTTGATGTTTATAGTTTACCTTTATTGATAGGTCCAGTTCAGGAGGAACAGACTCAAAGTCTCCAAACCCATTTGAGAGTTTCTGCTTAGGTCAGTCACCTGTGAGTACTGTTAAGAGTGCAAGCTTGCCAAAACTGATTGATCAAGTTGAATCTTTTGTTGAAAACGAAACAGAGCATATGAAAATATTTGGACTAAAATCAGTATTTAATGAATCACCCGCGCAGGAAGACACTTCCCAGCTTCTTGAAAACTCTGAACAAAGCCAAGAGGAAGTGGAGTCAATAATTCAAACAAGACCTGGTATGATTGTGCAAGGACAAACAATGCAATTGCAAGTGAAGGCATCCACCAGCCCTGTTGCATATGAGAAACTTAAGAATATTCTTCTCAAAGAGTAAGTTTTGCATTGAGAGAAGAGCATTTTTGTATCATTTTCATTTGGTTTTTTATTATATCAAAATGTACAACTGGTAAATCTCCACGAATGCTTTCATACGAACCACCATGTTTTCAGATATATTGTTGACATTATGATACTGAAGCGGAATGCAATAGTTAATTTATACCTATAAAATAAGCGTGGTCAAACGTGTCGCAGCCATTTAGAAGTTAACACAAAATTGAATACTCCGTGATATTAAGCGCTCTCAAAGACCAGTAGAGAGTTTTTCAAAATAACATGCACTCCTAACTTGATTTTGTATCTACGAAAAAGCTATTTCTGTTACCTACTGTCAATGTTCTCCTCACTTTCCTTCCCTACGCTCCTGCATATTATTGTCTACGTATATATTAGTGTATATTTCTATTGAGAAAGCATTTATCTTATTTTTTATCTCCATTAACCATATATTTTCTTTTAAAAAAGTGCTGGTAATTGAAAAATAGATTGATTGCAAACTATCTAGGTTAATCTCATACTGTAGCTACGTACTTTTTGCAATTCAAAAAAAAACAGGTCTTTTTTCCTCATCAACGTTTTCCTCATGGTGGCTAGATTAGTCTACTGTATGGTAATACTAAAGATGAATATGTTCAGTTGCGTAGCCAGTCTACAGATTAACTTACATGTAAATTTCAGAAGTTTACCATTATTCAATTCTTTGAAATCTGTTGTTCTCACGGTCCCGCGCATAATTGCATAATGCGAATATGTTATGTTATAAATTTCTTTCGTCCGACAAACATTACTGACTATCTAGTTAGATTATTCCATTCATTTGAGATATTCATTCGTATGTTTTAGTGAAGATATCGTTCATGCCTTTCGGAAACAGGAGGAAATTGTCAATGCTGCATCTGCAGAAGTGATCGAGTTCTGCAGGAGCAACGAAAGACTCTTTGAGGTTCATAAATTTGTTCGGACTTGGAATAATACTGTGTTAAATTCATGGCGTGGAAGGCCGACGGAAGTTATTGAGGTACGTTCATATCATGTTAGGAGATGTTGAACATGATTATGACCAGATTTCTTTGCATGGTATAAGGTGTATAACAATACGTATTTACTCACAAATATTAAACCAAAAATCTACCTCAAGCATATACCTCAACCTCAGCACACCACCATTTTTATACTGCGTAAAATTTCAACTTTACTGGATGACGAAAAGTTAAATAGGAAACAGAAAGGAGAAAATGAAATTGTACATAATTATACAGTCCAACTTCATACAGCCGCTGTCACTGTGACGCTTTTGTCACATCGGCTTTGTCATCTCAGTGGTTGGTCAAGAATATTCGTGTGAAAGTTCAATCCGATCCTCGTCATCTTGTCCAGTGGAGATTATTCGTCATCCACTACAACCTCCCTCCCCTCCCTCACCGCACTGTATTTCAAGGGATGCAAGATGTAATACAATTGCCATGTATCACTAATTGAAAATAAGTCTCCAGGGAAGTGTTTTCATCAATATGCTATTAATATGCTTTTAAAATGATCCAAAATTCTTTCAGCAGCCTGTTTGACTGAGAAACCTGAAGAAACATGGAAATTAACTGACGTTTTTCTATCTACATTTTTTAGAAACAACTTAGACAGATTAATACCTGGATGGTAGAATTAGAACAGTTCACGAAGTCATTCTGCACAACTAATGGTTTATTAATGGTTGATTGCCGAAATATCAGAGATAGCATCGTCCCGAAACTTGGTTCCATTTATCGACAACTATCCAAGATGGTTGCAAAGGATCTTATGAGGATGTCGAAGAAGTTCATTGACGAGGCTCAACAGCTTGTTAAGGTAATACGTTTTTATCAACATGCCATTTTTTCACTGCGGAAGTACTGTTTGCAGTGTAATATTTGATAAAGTTTCCGTTACTAAACATTCAGCGACATTGTAGCAACTTAGCTATAACATCGTGTAAACCCGTTATGGGAAACATCAAAAAACTTACAATATCACGCATGTAACCCAACGTACAGCAACATTACATTATACAACATTACGTAACCCAACATTCAGCAACATAATTACATCATACAGCATTACGTAACCCAACATACAGCAACATCATAACATCTTAAAACATTACATAACCCAACATTACGCAAAATAGCAGCTTGCAACATCACGTAACTACGCATTTGGCAAAACTAAGTAATATTAGAACATTACCCACTGAACAGATCACAACAATTACCGACACCTTACAAACGACTTATTCACAACCTCAAACGAATGAGCAATTTGTTTACTTGAGCCTAATCTACGATGGCAATACACAATTGATGCCCACACATTTCCTCTACACCCAATGACACATGAACTCTGAAGATGACTGCCGCTCAGGTTGTCAAAACGTCAGTCAACATCAACACCAGCAGTTCTGCTAAAGACTCTACTAACCTGGATGATCTACAACTAAAAACACGTAACTAAATAACATTGATAACTAAATAACAAGTTATAACATGCGTAGATGTTCCATGATTCGTTAGTCGCGGAAACTACGTGGCATTTTTAATAGTTGCGTTGTTAGCCCGCAAGGTTTGGTCCTGCTATGTAAATTTTAGATCATTAGCGTTATTTATTTGTTTAGAAATTTATTGTTTTTATGCTGAGGAAACATCGAATCATTTAACCCTTTATCCGACACGAAATGAAACTCAATTGTTCAAAAAATTTGCCGGAATTTACCTTGGTATAATATTTTTTAGCAACTGTCCGATAGGCGTACCGATTTAGAGAATTTTGCCAATTTCATCAAAGTACATGGTAAAATAAAAAAGAAAGTGTCATTTCTACAAGTTGAGGTCGAATATATGAAAAGCATTTTTGAGGTACTATACAAATTTCATACCAATATTTTTGTAAAATTATTATACTATTTAACTATTACAAAAATGATATTTTACTTATAGTAATATTACTTTGTTCAGATGATTCGTGCTAGCCAGCGACCTTTGTCTGAAAAAGAGAAAGAAATTGAAGATGCTGTATGTAGATTACATGAATCTCATCTGAGTTATTTCATCAAATTAATAATACTTGTTTATTTTATCATATTTTTTTCCTATCAGACTTGCTCATCTTGGGAACAATTACTTTTTTGTCTTGAAGAGGCTTCCAACTTCTTGGTCTATAAAACTCCCGAAATAATGCGTAACCTTGATGATAAGATTATGGTAAGATCATTTGGTATATTTACACTATTTTTAAAATAAAAACGGTAAAACGCGTAGATGTGATGTGATAAGCTTGTCAATAAATAGTTATTCCATACAGAGGAGTAACTAGAACGTTAATTGGGGAGGGAATGTATATTCATACAAAATCCATTGTGCCTTACTGATTTCTTTTGAAGTGAATAGAATTTCAAAAGAAATCAGTAGGGCACAACTGAATATATGAATATACACCCCCACCCCCCCAATTAACTTTCTAGGTACACCTCTGATTCCATGACGTGAAGTGGTGTTGTGAAGGGATACGATGATTTTCTAAGTCTAGGTGAACAAATTTTTTTTTGTTTTAAACTATGTGTAATAAATTTGATTGTATAAAATTTAGCCATTTCATTTAACTTACTGCCCAGTAATATCTCACATCATATTCAGCATAGAAACAAACTGTAATAATAACATAGAAAAAGGATTTAATAATCATAAATAATTCACAAACTTACATAATGTTCAGTAACAATGCCGTCTATGCATCAGGAAAGGACATCTTGCTCATCGCTGTTTATTTAATGTGTTCTTTTAGTCTGTTGAGCATCAAGCTCGTGTTGTTGGTAAAAGGGCAACAGGCGGAGAGTTCCTGATTTCTGAGAACAATTCCTCGTTGATGATATCAGGTTTAATGAAGGTAAAGATTGCCGTTAATGATTTTCATGTCTACTGAAGTGGCTTTATGCTATTGTTTTCACGGAATTCTCGAATTCTCACGAGAGAAGAGAATTCACAATTACAGCATAGTTTTATCGTAGAATTCTTGCTAGAGGGAGAGAATTCACATTTAAGAATATTTCGAAACTGTCGAACCTGTCTTCGGTAGTCAAATTCAACTTTTTTTTGCTATAGCTTCGGAGAACATTTAGAGGTTATATGAATGATTTGGACGAGCTCGTGGAATACAGAGAAGTGATTTCAGGCAATAAGTTTTGTAAAGATGAACTTCTACAAATATTGAAGAACGCAGACATACGTTATGAGTTGTGGAAGTATTATCAAGTGTGCGGCGAGAAAATCGAACATTGGCTTCAAACACCATTTTTTAAGGTAAAGCACTGTGATTGAGCGCATAGCATGATGGGAGAATGATATCATTGCGCTTTTAGCGTATGAGTAAGACAACATGAACCGCTCTAGGTAAGTCACCAAATTACACAAATGCGGACATGACAGGATTGAAAATGTAACTGTGTTTGAACAGAATATCAGAGTGAATGGGGGATCATGGGTGCAAGATCCACCCAATCATCGTTTTTTCGGCAAAAATTGTTCATCTATCGGCATATTTTCATTTAATGCTAAGTGCAAACCAAGACCATACCACGCCCACTTTGCCGACAAATTTGACGCTTCGACACCCCATAAAACATAGAAATCACTACGCCCCTGCAGAATATACTGGGGCTGGTTGCACGAAGGCTGAATAGCGCTATCCACTGGGTAGCAAATTTTTCTGAACGTTTAAAAACTCTCTTATAAGAGAAAAATATACGATTTGAACTGTGCATTCACTGAAATAAAATATTGTTTCGAGGATTACAAAATTTCTTTGTCGTAAAAAAATGTAAACATCTTTTTTACAAGTTTGAAAAATTTTACTATCCAATGGATAACGCTATCGAGGCCGGCCCCTGATCTTTTCTAACTATTTTAGCAGCTAATAAGTAAAAACGGCTTATTAATTAATTTCATTTTATGTAAGTAAACGATCGTGAGATGAATATATAGTATGATGGATAATGACGTAGAAATGAATCGTATGAAATAAAAGATAAAGAGACTGAAAAAGTAAAATGAATAATCAGAAGATAGATCTTCATATGGCAAGTTTATATTCGTTTTCCCTTTAGTTTAGGATGGGCTATTTCATGGCTGATCCCTACGTTTTCTCAATATCATACGTCTCTACTATCTTGAAGTTGTCTTTCAGCTGACAATATTATTATTAAAAGATTAAAACTTTAATGGTCTTGCGCACTAGTGGGCGTCGGAAATGAATGATTATGATGTGAAATTAATCTGCATATCGCCCTGTAAGAAACTCAGTTTGTGTCTTGTTAGCAACTTACACGAGTAAAAAGATGCTGAATATTCACACTTTCATCACAATTGACTACATATTAAGTATTTCGTATTTTGTAGACAAACATTAAGAAAGTACTTGAAAAGATGAGCGAATGGCAGTTGGCTGCTGAAAATCTAAAATCTCTCTTGCCTGACCATGATGAAGTGTATGAAGCATGGATAAAAAAAATGGAAGCATTCACAAAAGATTTTCCTCTCTTGCAATTACTTTCCAGTGATGCGTTGAAGGTTGGTGAAAGGTGATATCATTTGTGATTTATTATTTCTGTCGGCGGATACATGTGTTATATGTGTATGCTATCGTTGGATACATGTGTATTTATGTGTATACTATCGGTGGATTTATGTGTATACTATCGGTGGAATCATGTGTATTTGTGTATGGACTATCGTTAAACTTTTCCTTTCTCGGAAAAACTTCTGGAATTCCCTTCTATGATTAAAGCCAGGTTAAAGTGCCTATATCACCCTCAGGGAAATAATCTATTTATGTAGAGTTGACTATCCTAAGAATATTTGCAATATATTTTATAAGACGAAAATGTGATCTTCCTTGACTTTTTGGGCATCAAATTTGGCTTTTTTTGTGTTTGATCGTAAAAGGGCTGATACATGGTGTTCATTTTACTTTATATTTAGCCACGACATTGGAAAGCTTTGTTTGTTGGTATGGGGCAACAATATGATCCAAATTGGAGTTTTACTGTCGCAGATCTTTTCGCTCTAAAACTTGGTTTGCACAAAGAGCTCATAAATTCAGTTTGCAGTGGTGCTTTGAAAGAGTACTCGCTTGAAACACAGTTACGATCTTTGGCAAAAAGGTGGACGGAAAAGGATTTCAAGTTGGCGAAACATTTTACTGAATCTCGAGCACCAAGTAGTACTGACAATGGTACAATTACGCCCGGAAAGGTATATAACGTGGCTTACTGTTTTAGAGTGAATTTTGCTTAGAGTTGATGCGAAGTGCTTGCTAAATTATGTCATTTGGTTATGTTTTTTCATCATAAATAATTTTTTGAAACTTTTTTGTTTGAACATGATCACTTCCCCATTCCCCCTCCCCTTGCCGTGCTTTCTATGGACACGATTTCATTTGTAAATTAAGTTGATGAAACAATTTGAAAGAACAGGTAATTATGTTAATCGCTTTTGTAATTCTGTGAGAAATCAAGAAGATAAAATTTCATCAATCAATGTTGTACAAGCACCCAAGAACCACCCACTTTAATAAACTGGATCTTAATTGCATTTTGTGTTTTTTTTTATGAAAGTTTTGCTGCATATGCTATGAAATTTATATTTAAACCTTGATGTTTGATAGGGAGTGAAAATCATGCAAAAAGATTCGAAACTAATGGAAATGTTTATCTTGACGGGTGAAGAAGAACTGAAATGCCTTATTGAGGTATACTATCATTTGGAAAGATCTTATTTGCTGATTAATATTTCTCTAACTTCTTACTTTTCTCATTTGCAAAGATCTAATTTGCTTAGTGATATTTCTCAAACTTCTTGCTTTTCAATTAAAGAATTTCTGCACATTAACCTGATCGATTTCATTGAATTCAATGCTATTTTCCCCCGGAGTGTCCATAGACTCAAATGAAAACAATGCTGTTTCTTTTTATGTATTTTGTTTAGGATAATCGCGTAACGCTACAGCTTATGTTATTCTCTCCGTACGTCGCTAATCTTACACAAACAGTTGAGCAATGGATGAAAAATTTAGATCAACTTGAAGAAATCCTTGATATATGGGTTGCTTGTCAGAGAAAGGTTACTCTGGAATCCTTATCCTGTTGTTTGTAACTCGTATTAATGATTTGCCAACCTCTATGTATGACTTATTTGTTTGTTCATATTGATACATATATTTTACAAACTTTGTTATAGCCAATGATTTAGAACCCATTCCCCTTGATAATTGAGTACCGTGTGAAGGTGAGGCAAGGACGCCATCTTGGATGGTGCAAAAGGCAAAACTCAAGAACAAAAATAAGTTGAAAGTTAACGAAAATAATCATCTCAAAAACTGAAAGAAAAACAAACCTAGAATATCAACTCTGCTAAACCATGTCAACGCAGAAGATGCAGATTTCAGCTGTATATATCATCAGTTTTACCACCTTTCAAGATGGCGTCTTGCCTCACTCGTGCTTCGCATAAAACTGTAGTATTTTGGCGGACTTTGGTATCTAGTGTTTTGATTTATAAATCATTGGTTATAGACTGATATACTTAAGCAGAACAAAGTCGTTGACAAAACAGCCAACGCTAATCACTGTTGTCTCCAGATATTCATAAACTGAACAGCAATAATAAGTAACGCTTTTTCATTGTGACTTGTAATTTTTTCTTTCTTTATTTCGTCGTCAGCTATTTTCCTTAAACCTATCTATTTGTTTTAAACTTTTCCAACTAAATAAAGTATGAAAGCTTCAATAATGTACAGTTATTCAAAACTTCGTGCTAAAATAAGCTGTTTTTTTTTTATAGTGGTTGTACCTTTCCATGGTATTTGATGATGATACAAGTATAGACGATGATGCAAAGATGCACAGTTTTCAAGAAGTAGATAAGAAATTCAAGGTACAGCACGAAACGGATAGTAAATAGATACTACATGAAATATAAATGGATAGAATAGTTGTGTATGTTTATTCAGGATTTTATGGCCAGTGTTAGCCGTGACCCTAAAGTACTTTCTGTGTTGTCAAAAAAGCGAGGTGAAAAGGGATATCGTGAGCTTCAAGGGGAAAATTTACGTTCAATGCTTTTTTCACTACTGAAGGAAGAGGTAGGGTTAGGACCTTCTATGAGTTCTATCTGAATGAAAATATGTTTATTGTTGAACCATCGTAGATGTCGTAAACACTATAATCTTAAATGTGGCATATTCTTCTTACTTCATTTTTTTGCAGGAAAACTTGCTGAAGTCTGTTTCCCATAAAATGGCAAAAATTCGCGAAGCGTTTCCTCGTTTGTTTTTCCTCAGTGATGACGAAGTTCTCGAATTGCTCCTTCCAGCAAGCGATCCCCGTAAACTAATGCCTATCGTGAGAAAATGTTTTCCAGGAATCAAGTCCTTGCAGTTTAGTTTTCCAGAAAAAGAAGAGATACTTTGCCATGGACTTGATGCCACGTTAAAAGGTAAATTTGATTTTGGTTTCATAGATCGACAATTGTCATTACACAACCTGTGAAAGAAACTATTTTCTGTATTATTGTGTTTAGATGTACATTACGGCCGAAGCCTTGCTTCATTATTTTCATTTTGCTCTTTCAACTTCAAACTATTCCTTTTCTAACTTATTAAATACATAAAATGAAAAGTTGAAGAGCAAACAATTCGTGTTGCAAAACAATGTACGATTTAGGCTTTAAAAGAATTCTAACCTAACGGAACACGTAAAAATATGGCGCTTTTTATTCATTTTGTACAGCACATCTTCTTCAAGTCACTTCCATTAAAGGCGAATTTGGCGAGTTGATGAAATTGAATGAAGCTATTGCAACCGGAAGGAATTCGCAAACTTGGCTTAAAACACTGGAAGTATCGACAAAGACGGCTCTTTCATTGAAATTTACTCAGTACCTCCTTAAGTCGTTGTCAAGAAATGGAGAGAAGACAATAGTTGCTGATTTTTTATGTAACTGCCGATCTTTTACTTTTTATTGTTACTTTACCTTTGTACGATGTAACCATGGTTATCCCCTGAAATTTTTTGGAAGGGGGGGTCTCTGTTTGCATGTCTGCCCCCACATTCTTTTTTAGGATGTTAAATAAGCGTTCAGCATGCTCTACGATCTCTCTGAATTATTGATTTGATCTTTTTGTAACAGATGAAAGTACAGCTGCCAATGAAGATGCTAATGAAAAATCCTTTCTTATCCTTCGATATCCTTCTCAGTGTATTCGTTGCGTTGAAGATGTTCTTTGGACAAGGAAGATGCATGCTGCCCTTGTATCTGGTAGCAAGAACACTTTGAAATCATTATGGTAAGATGAATTTTGAAGAATTGTTTTAATGTTACGAAGCAAACTTGAACAAACAAGGGTTTCTTTTTATTTTAAGTTGATGTAAAATTTTTTGCAAGTAGATAGAGATTTGATAGAAATTCGAAGTCGGACAGCTCCACGTGTTTCTTGTGTTTAATATAGAACTTAATATTTTCAAAAGAAGTTGCAGCATTTTTAATTTTATTATTTGCGCTCTTGAATTTTGTTATTGTATGTTGTAGGAAATTTTTGATCCCAAATTCTCATGTACTGTCGTATTTATGCAATTCTCTATCTTCAAAAGTTGAATGAGATCTTACAGTGTCTCTTACATTTTATGTCTGTAACTTGCCCACTTTCATATTGCATGTTTAGTGCTACAATGTCAGCAAAGTTACTTCTATCTTTAAGAGTTGCAATAGTTCTTGCAGTGCCTTGTAACATTTTATATCTGTAACATGCCCACTTTGTTGTTGCAAGTTGAGTGCTATAATGTCGGCAAATTGACTTCCATCTTTATATGTTGCAAGAGTTCTTCCGTGTTTCTTCTAACATTTATGTCTCTAACATGCCCACTTTGTTGTTACGTGTTGAGTGCTATAATGTCAGCCCAGTCACAATGCATGCATTCATTTATAAACACATTCTTAATTTCAATGTATTTTTAATGCTTATGTATATGTTTGTAATCATGAAAAATTGTGTTTGGAGCTTGCTCATTGACTTATATTGCGGTCACTTACATTCATGTTAAGTTTACACGCATGTTTGCAATGCAAACCTCTTTATATCACTTACAGTCCGAATATACTTCGTGAGATCGACGATTATGGTAAGGTGTTAAGCGCCAAAGTGTCGAGAAAACTTAAAGACATTCCACACGTTCGTCCACTTTTGCGGTCTTTGTTGCTTGCAGCAATGTACAAGAGAGATGTTGTTGACAGTACGTTTTGTATTTTCTTTATTCTTTGTTTTAACCGGCGTATATCTTTTATATTTCTAGTATAATTACTATTCTTTGTACAAATGCATAAAATTTTTGTTATATCTTTTTAGGACTTGTGAAATGTGAAGCTATCTGTCCACATTGTTTTCAATGGCAAAGCTGTGTTCAGCACGAAGCTTCGTTGAAACAAATTTTTTATACAACATATTTCACTGGCGTGTCTCATGCGCATGAGGATGATTCTATGGCAGGTATGTTTTACTGTCATCATAAGCCTCGTTTTTCACTAGAAAAACTTTATCGACACATAAATTGCGATGTTCCATGATGGAGACGAATTTTCCAAAACATCACCTCTGTACATGTAACTGTTTTGTTGAACTACCGCACCATTATTGTCCAAAAGTCAATACAAACTAGGTGTGTTCTGATGTTTCGTCTTACACTTTTGGATGTTTTTTCGACATGTAGTAGGTATTCATACCAATTAAGAGATGTAGACAAAGGTGCACAGAGTGCAAGTATGAGCTCAATTGAGCAGCAATGTTTAAATATGCAAAACTGTCTTAGTGATTGTAAAGCCATTGTCTTTGCAACTCCTAAACTTTTCTTTATGTATTTATCGTTAGATAAAATTCCACTGAACATGAAATATGAGGGTAATCATTATAATATCGCCATACTTGGATCAGTATTTCCTTATGGTTTTGAGTTTCAAAGTGAGCGAGGTTCGTTATTCATGTCTCCGCTGACCGAACGATGTTTTCTTACTTTGTCTTTGGCTTTGGCTCAATACACGTGTGGTGCAGTTGTTGGTCTGCATGGATCAGGAAAAACTGAAACTATTAAAGAAATGGCACGAGTAAGCTCATTGCTGCAAAATTCATGTTATAAATTGTGTTAATATTCATGTGTGGCAACGTGCATAACTAAACATGTTGTTGTAAATTGTGTTAATATTCATATGTAGCAACGTACATAACTAAACATGTTATAAGTTGTGTTAATGCTCATATGTAGCAACGTACATAACTAAACATGTTGTTATAAATTGTGTTAATGCTCATATGTAGCAACGTACATAACTAGACATGTTATGTTAGTATACATGTGTTGTTAACGTTTTTTGTCTATGTCATGCTTTTTTAGGTGATGGGTCGGCACCTAGTGTTTTTTAACTTTAGTGTGTCAATGGTCAATTCAGTGGTGACGAGAATGTTGACTGGCATGATTCTTAGTGGAAGCTGGTTGTGTTTTGAGGACACGCAGAAATTATCACAGCTAAATTTATCCATTTTGGGAGACCATCTTTCTTCTATCAGTCAAGCATATCAATGTTTGATTATAGATAAGAATAACCAGTATCTTGTTAGAGGTAGAACGCAATGTTCCGTGAACAATGCTTTCAAAGAGGTTAGTTTTGCTGAGGCTGGAGTGAAATTTGAAGTATGTAATTCTATACTGTGTGATCATATGCCTATTTTTAGAGTGCAAAAAACAGGACACGTCGAAGCACCGTAACTTCTTTAAATTCATTGCCATCAACGGTAGCGAATTCCAACACAAAAAAAAGTCAAACCAGTAGCATCTTTGTAAGTTTTTATGTCTTTGTTTCCATGTCTTTTTAGCTCATATTTTTTTTTGTGTTTCTATCTGCTTGAAGTTCTTCTTAATTTGAATCATATATTATTTTTGATTTTACACGTATTTTGCAGGTAGAAAGACGTACATATATTCCCAGACGGTTTTCAATAGGCAAAGAACGAAATGTAGACAGTAGACAGTTCTATGATGACGAATTACCGTTGCCTGTGTCTAATCCAATCAAAGATATTCATTCAAAACCTGAATGTGAACTCGAAGCAGATGATGATGTTGACGTTATCATAAATCATCTAGAAGGCACATCCTTAGGCAGTATAGTATTCAATGGTTGCTTGTTAAAGACACATTCTATGGCTGGTTGTTTTATGACAATAACACCGACTGATGATGGCTTCATCGATGTTCCAGAAAATGTCAAGGTTATTTTCTTAAACAATTGTTTTCCAACCGTATGCAAGTTTGGTTATGTCGTTTAACTGTACATTTTTATGTGACATTTCATTGTTTGAAATTTGTTGTATCTTTTCCTTTTACCATATGAGCTAGGCCTGAGTACAAATGTGCATGAAAGGAGTTGAATTAGTTTATGAGTTCATGTTAAATGAGCTTGAGTGACATGTATTGATATTGAATACATGTTAATGTTTATACAAGAAATATAATAAAGCGTCTATAGCTGAGTTTACATAGGCTTGTGCAACCCCGATCTGAGCTCGTTCAATTTGAACAATGAAAGAGAGTTTCTGGAAAATTTAAAACATTTGTTTTAAATTTATCTTTTTCGTATTACTGTTATTTCATAAAAGAAATAAAAGATGTTTTTCGCGTTTTGCACTCGATCTTTGGTCTCTAGCTTCCACTAATCTGCTCTCGAATTCTCCCAAAAGTTTCCCAGGTTATCATAAGCTTGTAAAAACACAGAAAACATTTCTTGTTTCTTAATTGTGTAAGTAGATCGTCTGGGTTAGTGTCTGAGTCACTTGACTATAAAGATGACCACCATTAAAGATGTCGGTTCGTCCATCAATAATAGCACCAACAGTTTTCTTAGGATCGCACTCATTGGACGATTTATACACAAACATTTAATTATACTCCTGGTTTCGTAGTCAGAAATTTTGATATGCTATGTCAACTAAATAGTGCTTGCCAACAATATCATTCTTTCCTAACGTCATAATGATACGTTTGTCATTGTTTTCCATCATTTAGGCTTCATTGCGTACAGTTTCAATGACGAAGCCTGATGCAAAGAAACTTGTCGAGGTTTGGCTTCTTTGTAATGGCTTCTCTGAAGTGAAAGTTTTGACAGAGAAGATTATCTTGTTTATTCAAGTTGCTATGTTTGAGGTATGCGAATAAAACAGTTAACCCATCACCAGTTTTCAACTCATTTAACAGTAAAAAAGCAGTGTTTTTTGAAACTTCCTACTGTTCTTGAAAAGGGCATCAATGTAGCTGTACACAATTACTATGGGCTCTTTTGATTTGTCCACTCTGTCAACATTTTCATTGGAAAGAAACTAAAGTACCCGGAAAAGCTTGCTCACTCACAAATTACTTACAATACCTTTAGGCTTCCAACACTTTAGCTGGGGAATCAAGATCACTGTTTCATAAACCTAAAAGCTCACTACCTAGCTGTAGTTTCCGTACATCTTTATATCCACAACTCATAACAAGTTTATTCTCGAATTTGATACTACATATTGAAACTATGTATTGTTTCAGTTATATTCTACTGATTGTGTAAAATCAAATAATTACAACAATATAATTTCTGATTTTGTAGCTACCGACACAACTATTTATTGGAGCAAACGTCTTAAAATCAGCAATAGTTCACGCTGGAAATAAGTTACGAATGGAGTGGGCTGACTGTGGAACAACAAATGATGAAATTTTGAATGAAACTGACAATATTTCCAACGTTACAACTGAGGACGAAACAAAACGTCTGTAACTCTACTGTTTTTTAAACATATTATTTAATTTTTTGTTTGAAAGCTTTTGCGAATATGCTTTAGTAGTTTGCTTATTTGTGTTATTTCATTCACACCGTACACTATCAATTATACCAGTTTGCCTCACTATATATGTCCAGTGGTTTATGTTGTGTTACAAGGATTATACATCTGTTACAGTTTCTGCTGTTTACAACATATTTTCTCACATATTTTGTCAATTAATGAACACTTGTAGTGATTTTAGACTGTTAATAATTGTTAAGGAAATTTATTTTGTCTTCTATAATTCAAAAATTTTCAAAAATTATTAATAATTATTGAATACATCATTTTGATATAGGTATCTCATCTTCAGTCTCTCTGCTCGAGACATTTGAAAATAGGACAAAGGAAGAAAGTGCGCTAGTGTACGGACTATTCAGTGTTCTATGTTCCAAACTGGATGAAGAATCTAAGAAACTGGTCTGCTCAAAGATTGACATAATATTTACTCATACTGTATTGACGTCTGCTACACAGTCAAATACGACTTGGATAGCTGAAGCAGTTAGAGAACAGTTGATGGCAGAAATAATGCAACCAAATATGAATCTTGTTACCAAGGTAAATATTACTGCCAACAATGGTTCTCAATTGCCTTCTGAAATTTACAAATGATCGTATAGTCTCATCACTAATATTTGCATTTGTAAAAAGAGAGTTTTGTTGGTAACATTTGCCCAAAATACACGAAATTATTGAAAAGAGACTGGACCATTGAACAACGAAGCAGCACACTGCTACTAACGTGAACGTGCTTCTAGAAATTGCGCTATTTTTTGCCCTCTATGTGTGGTATATTTCCAAAAAATTCTCTTACAAAAGATGTTGTTTCCCTCTAATAAGCTCTTTATACTCTTTAGGCAATTCAACTTCACCAGGCATTGCAAATGAACCATGCAGTTATTTTACTGGGTTTGTCTGGATCTGGAAAAACGACGATTTACAAGACTTTGTGTAAAGCATTGAACAGTCTTAACAACAAGTTTGGCTTTAATGTCACCACAAACACATCCTCAGATTTTATGAACTGCTCAAAAATCAATCTTACTGTTTTATTTCCTCGATCACTAACTGAAAGTCAGGTATGTTTAGTTAAGAAAAGAGATAAGTTACATGTGCAGAGATAATTTCATCTCAATAATGTGTTTTTGAATTCAAAAAGAAGGTTATCATCTTTCATGTTCCTTTTATAGTTTTTAACGAAAGTATAAGAGTAAGTTTGATGACTTTATGTTTGGATGATGTTAATATTATGTTAATAGCTACAAGTTGTCACCTTAAATACATTTCTTGACCAGCTGACACAGAAGGGTTTTCTTTAACGAGATATTTGCTTATATAATTGATGAGATATTTATCCATGAAGCTTTATAATTGCAACTCTGAATCATTGTTTGATTCTGATTTGTTTTCTTTTTGTTTATTTTAGTTGATTGGTTGCATTGATCCATCGACGAAATCATGGTCAGATGGGGCTCTCGTTAAGTGCATTCGCAACGCCCAGACTATACAAAATGCTTCAGAAGTGTTGGAAACTACAGGAAAATCGCAGGCTCAGAATAATCATTCTGGAAAATATCACCAATGGATTGTTCTTGACGGAGCATTGGACCATGGTTGTGCAGATCAAATCAATTGTCTTCTTGACGATGGAAGAACACTGTGTCTGGCCAGTGGGGAAATTCTTTCTTTCGCAGGTAAACATAAGAAAAAAACTTTCTAGAAATTAGACTTTCCTTCTTTACTTTCACCCAATGCCATGCTATTTTAAGATACGTAACATTGTTTGTCCCCTTGTAAAATGGCATTCCCATTTGATAAATTGTCAAACTCGACAAACCTACGTAGTTGGCAATCCCTGACCAGACGAAAATTTCATTAAATACATAATGAAACATAATCCGATAAAGAATATTTTGTAAACTTAAATTGAAGTTATAAAAAAGACAATTAAAACTGCAATATTTCAGTTTTATTACAAAACCATCATTCTGTCTGATATTGCTTTTGAAATACAACCGAAATATTAAACTTTTTATCGTCTTGTTTTATAACTTTAATTTAAGTTTAGGAGATGTTCTTTTTCGGATTATATTTTATTTTCTACTACTTATTTGATGTTTGTGTGCTTTGTCACAGTGCTCATTTCCACTATGATTATACTATGTTTTTTTATTGTGTGTTTCTTTTACACTCCATATTTTTTGACGTCTAGATGCAGTTAGTTTCCTTCTCGAGGTTGATGATCTTCAAAACGCTGCGCCAACAACCGTCGCAAGATGCGGTATTGTATATTGCCCGGATGATACTGTTGGATGGTGGAATATCTTCAAGTCATGGTTGAAGCATGCGCATGCAAAATGGAACATATCAATTCGTGGGTACATATTAATGAAACTATTTTTTGTTACTTGTGCGGAAAGACGACAACTACCAGGCTCTAGCTATGTATGCCTCTACATATGTCTAGTATATTTTTTTGTGTTCAACAATGCTTAGGTTTCCGTATCTTAATTACAATTGCACCGTGTTACATGTAGATATAACATTACACTAATACTTTTCTACTCACGATATCATACTCGTGAAACATTTCTGAATCAACAAATGTTTTTTTTCAATGACCTAGAACCCAATCTACTAGATATCTGACTCTGCCAAAATTCTTTGGTTAAGAGTGAGGCAAGCCACCATCTTGAAAGGTGGAAATGATGATATTTACGATCAACATCTGCTTTTCCTGAATTGATATACAGTTGCAAAGTTGATAGTCTAGGTTCAATTTTTAAAATGTTCGATAGGATTGGGTTTTTAAACCTTCTTTTAGCTTATTTTTCATTTTGAGTTTTGCTTTTTGCCAGCGTTTAAAGTGGTACTAAGACGAAAACTGAACGTTAAAAAATCATCGATTTTAGCATTCAATAGTTTAAACACATATCAATTATTGCTTTCGTAAAATTTAAGCAAAAATAATAGTATAACGAGGGAGTTATGAACATTTGAAATGTCTAATTTTCATGTCCGCCATTAAAATCGGCCATTTTGAATATTTGCAATCAGCAAAGGTCTGTGACGTCATAGTCTTAACACAGCAAGAAGCGCACATTGGAAAGTATACAAAGTAATACATAAATAGAGCAAAAAAATGTCAAATTCATCGAGATCTAGCTCGCTTTCTGAGTCTTCGATCGAGACAAACGCATCGATTTCTTCATCAGAATTCATGACGGCAAATTCGGACGAATCTAATTCGGAAATTTTGCCATTTGCCGATAATATTGAACCGCTTGCTTCGCCCGATGAAATTGCTGAGTACGAAGCTGCAGTCGCAGAAGAACAGCAGGTTGAGGACATGCTGCAAGATCGTTTTGATGCCCGTGTTGATGTTACTTCATGGTAAGATGTCATTCTTAGTGTGTTACTTTGATCTGAATCGTCTGCCGTTAGCTATGATAACTTTATGGAAACATACAATTTGGCCAATATTAAAGGTGTGAATGTGGCCATTGTTCGTTGGATCTTGTTGTCAGCCCTCAAGAGTGCCGATGCTGCATGGAATTAGAGCAATGCCGTGGCAAAATGAATCAGTTCGAAGTCGATGAAAGGAAATGCATTTTGATCACCCTGGCTTTAACGAAGTTTGCCTGAACGAATTTGTTCTTCAAGCAGCTTCGTTAGGTTTAAAGACCAAAGGTCATCGCAGTTATGCGACCGTTTTTCGAGATGGTCAAAAGACCAGAGAGGAAGCCTTTTCTTTGTGAAAATTCTAAAATATTATTTTGTGCGCCTGCGTCTATGTTTACTTTTTGAAATTTATAGGTTCTTTCGAGCAGTATCGTACAGACAACTCGTGCGTCCTCTATGGGACTTTACAGGCAGCTCCAGACATTTCCGTGTAATTAGGTGCATCGGGCGTGATCTGTTGGTCCTGTAAGAAGATTGAGGAATAGTTGTTTTACGAAGTGCACGTATGTGTGAAGAGCAATTGTTGGCTTTACGTATGCATCATTCTCAGATTGGTCTGGAATTTCAGTTGTGCCTTTTTCTTCTTGAAAATAGCACGAATCTTCTTTCTTCATGCATGATACAGACACTTCATTTTGTATTTCCTTTAAAACCTTAGTATAAATGTATATTATTTATTGAAAGTTTGCCTGGATGTATTATTGGTTCTCTCAAATTGTGAAAATTTATCATCTGCAATATGTGTAAGTATATAATAGTTGCAACTTGTGCTAACCTGACGCCGCTCTCTTGACGTTGTTGGTGTTGGCGATTTCTTCCAAATAGTAGGTACGGCACCAGGTTTGAGCCGTCTAGTCATACCACCCAAATGGAAAAAACGCTCAAAACAATCATCCGAGAAGTGATTCGAACAAATCATAAATCGAATTTCGCGCGAACTCGGATTAAAGTTTGCGCGCTTCGTCTCAACAAATTTAACCCAAATTCTTCTTAAAGACTCGTCGTTTGGGCTTTTATGTAATGAAATGCCTGTACTTCTATCAGACGTATTACTGCAATCTTGCACGACACAGCGTGTTGAAGGCATGTTAAAAATTGAGTTATACAACCTTTTATATCTCTATTTGTATATAGTGTTATATTGTAAACAGCCGCGAGTTAAGACTATGACGTCACAAGCACCTTCCTTCTTGAAAATTCAAATATGGCGCATTTTAATGGCGGCTCTTAAAGTACAAGTTTTATCGCTACGTAACTCGAGCAGCATTAAATACATTGCGCTAAAATTTCGCCAGAAGAGATTTTTTTACATACACTATTAATCTATGAAAAAAAAACGGGAGGCAAAATTTTCGTTTTAGTACCACTTTAAGATGGCGTCCATGCTTCACCTTGACATGGTAGTTAGATATCTAGAGGATTGGGTTCTAAATCTTTGATTTCTTTTTGTTGCCATAGACTTGATATCATCTCTTCCCTTATGGAACATTCTGTGGTCAAGACGCTTGATTTTCTAGAGAAAAACTGCACTCAGATCTTATATAAAAACTACAACAATGATGAGATGTGTCTACGTAGCGTACGGGGAGTCTTGGAGATTCAACGAATGTTGACCATTTTATCGGCACTTTTTGATAAATATATATTGAGAGACAGTATTGAGACATGTGATGTTGGAAATTTTACTCATCGAAATTCATCTGGTTCATGTGCCGCAAGTGAGACTGGAAGTGAAAAAAGTAGTGGCACAATTACACATGATACTGTAATCAGTAGCTTTGTATATGCTTATATATGGGCATTTGGAGGAAATTTACATGAAAGGTATCTTAATATGTACCATCACATTTTACCATTACACATCACCATACCATAGCGTACAGTACCATTCACACCTTGACATACAAACGTACATATACACCACGCGATGTATCAAAATTTTTATCACACAACGCTATACGCATACTGTACCATTACAACCCTTACGCATGTACGACATGATATATCATATTTTACCATTACGTACCATCATATCCTACTTTACCCCACGACAATGATGTATATGTAACTTTTCCAGCTGTGTAGAAGAGTTTGATGAATTCACAAAATCATTGTTTTCAAATGGACCTTATCCTCATGCGAGTTTACCTCAAGTGAATGTGTTTGACTACAACTTGGACTTTTTTGCTGGTGCATTATTTTCTTCAACTCAAAAACTCGATGGCAAACAACGTGTAATTGCATCGTCATACGTCGTTGTCCCGAGGGTAAGCACCATACTGTGTATTCTTGAAATCACATCATTGCTCGATTTTACACGCTTTTTACTCCACCAAGCCGTGTAAAGTCATATAAACTGATTTTACACGCTTTTTACTCCACCAAACCGGGTAAAGTCATATAAATCGATTTTACACGCTTTTTACTCCACCAAGCCGCGTAAAGTCATATAAATCGATTTTACACGCTTTTTACTCCACCAAATCGTGTAAAGTTGTATAAATTGATTTTACACGCTTTTTACTCCACCAAACCGTGTAAAGTCATATAAATCGATTTTACGCGCTTTTTACTCCACCAAATCGTGTAAAGTCATATAAATCGATTTTACTCGCTTTTTACTCCACCAAATCGTGTAAAGTCATATAAATCGATTTTACACGCTTTTTACTCCACCAAACCGGGTAAAGTCATATAAATCGATTTTACACGCTTTTTACTCCACCAAGCCGCGTAAAGTCATATAAATCGATTTTACACGCTTTTTACTCCACCAAATCGTGTAAAGTCATATAAATTGATTTTACACTTTACTTAAAGTCATATAAATCGATTTTACACGTCCAAATCGTTTAAAGTCATATAAATCGATTTTACACGCTTTTTACTCCACCAAACCGTGTAAAGTCATATAAATCGATTTTACACGCTTTTTACTCCACCAAATCGTGTAAAGTCGTATAAATCGAATATAATCGTTTACTCCACCAAATCGTGTAAAGTCGTATAAATTTTTCTTGTGTCCATTACAGGACAATGTTATTTTTCCTTGTGTCCATTACAGGACAACGTTATTTTTCTCTATTTAAGAGCTGTTTACGTGTGCCAACTATGGCTTTTCGTTTGTGGCTGTCGCTATGCTGCCACCTATTCCAAATTTTTATACTTCATGTAACACATCTGTATGTTTTTTTGTTTACTAGGATGAAGTGTATTTCTCTCTTGTTGATATTTTGCTGTCAGCGAATAAATCAGTTCTTTTAGTTGCACCCCCTGGCTCTGGAAAGTCGTCATTTATGCAGGTATTTGTTCTGTGAAAGTATTTACAGGATTATGGAGTGTCATATAATGGAATTACTAAGTATAAGGTTATCTGTTACGTATGTAGAGTTGTATGTCAAGTGTATAGTGTTATATGTTATGTGCATTGTGTTATATATGTTGTGTATGTAGGGTTATATGTTGGGTGTATAGGGTTATATGTTGTGTATATAGGGTTATATGTTGTAAATATAGAGTTAGATGCTACGTATATAGGGTTGTATATTATATGTTTATAGTGTTATTTGTTATTTATTTAGGATTATGTCTTAAGTACATTGGGTTATATGTTGTGTATGTAGGGTTATATGTGGTGAATGTAGAGTTATATGTTATGTATGTAGGGCTATATGTGGTGAATGTAGAGTTATATGTTATGTATGTAGGGTTATATGTGGTGTATGTAGAGTTATGTGTTATGTATGTAGGGTTATATGTGGTGAATGTAGAGTTATGTGTTATGTAGCTATATAGTGAAACCTCGAGATTTGATAAGAAACTGATTCTGTTATTAATAAGCAATGTATAAAAAAAGAAAACGTAAGGTCATTTATATCATATTGTGCTTCCCGTTTTTTAGAACCTTGTTAATTCACGCTTTAATTATGTACGACTTTCGTTAAAACATGGCGTTACAACTCAAATGTTGCAAGAAACCATCGAAGCGAAATTATTCTGTAGAAAACATCGTGATCAATCAATTGGAAACCAGTTTACAAAAAAGGCGCACGAAAGACAAAGTGTTTTCTTTTTCGATGACATGAACATGGCTGCAACTGATGGCACAAGTAACCAACCCTCATCTGAACTTATCCGCAGTCTTCTTTCCTTAGGTATGTTTCAAGTAAGTTTATAAAATAAACACAATGAAACGCGTGCTCTGATTGGTCTAGAGCTGTGTTTGCATTAGCCTGTGCAAAACACATCTGAGCTCAACCAATCAAATCAATCGAAGCAATCAATCAGTCAAAGAATTTTTCACTGATCTGCTCTCGAGTTCTACCAAAGGTCTCATCGGTTTGCATAAGCCCGTGCAAACACAGTAAACATCTTTTATTTCTTAATTAAGGCGTTTTTTGTGCAGTGTGGAGTATACAGTCTCTTCAAAAACTTGACCTTATGTCGTCTTCTTCTTTTGTTGCTATATGGATTCAATCAACTCTCCCAACTGATTGCATCTCATTCAGCACATGCTGACTTTTGTGTCTGTAACCGCAGTTGCTTGTGTATCATTGAAGTTTATTGATCCACTTCTAGGTGGTCTGTATGATAGACAGAGACTTAATCTAAAACCAATGTCTAATACATGTGTTGTCGGTGCAGCAGTTCCTCCTGGAAGTCCTGGTATTGGTGGAGGTTTAAACTGTTTTCCTACTTCACCTCGTCTTACAAGACTCATGGTTGTCATAGCCTTTCATGCGATGTCCACTTCAACACTTCAATCTGTTTATTGTAACTTATTTCAAATGTGGCTTGAAGATTTTCCCGCATACTCTCTTTCCCATCATCATCAAATAGCCAAGGTTTGTGGACAATTCAATGCTAGATTTTTGATAGAAGACTGGGTTCGAATAAGAACTCTTTCATGTGAATGTAATGCTACATTTTTGATAGAAGAATGGGTTCGAATAAGAACTCTTTCATGTACATGTAAGGCTACCGCGTTGTCTCTTATTTTTCGATCCATTTCAACTTTTTGGTAACGGAGCTTTTTGTTATCACAGTTTGTCTTCCACAAAGAAGCTGATGATTTATGATCGACATTTTAAATTCAACTGAAAATTACAGCTTGTTTTTTCATGCAGTTTTATTGAAACGAATGCTAAGTTTCACTTCATCATATGTCTTTGAAGATTCAAAAATCGTCATTTATGATTTTTTGATCGAAATTGTTTTTCAATTACATAAGCACATAAATCCATGTCATCAATTTTCACAGCGCTCATTGTTTTGCCCAACTCAACGGATTTTTTCCGGTTACTATCAATAATCTCCTTCTCCTTTAGGTCGTATCCACTTCTACTATTTCTCTTTTTGAGAAAATACGCAAGAATATCCGACCAACTCCGAGTCATCCTCACTACCTTTTCACGCAACACGATTTGTCAAGAGTTTTTCAAGGAATGAAGCTTTTCTCTTCAAAGACCAAACGACAGGGCAAAGTACAAAAGCAATCTGCTTTTGCTGACAAAGGCATCACTCCAAAACTTTGTGTGGAGAATTCTAATGTTTTGGAAAAAAGTTTAAGCTGTAGGGATGTTGAGAGAAAATTCCAAGACGATGAAAATTATCTGAAGAATGAAAAAAGGTAAATGATAATGATATAGCAGTAAATAATGACCTGTTCATATTGTAAGGCTTATTTGTTTCCTGAATCTTATTCACCTTTATAGTTGGCCGTTTGTTTTAAAAAAGGAATCTTTAGTATCAATGACTTCAAATACCCCCGCTTTTACTACACCTTTAATTCGCACGATAATACGACTTTGGTGCCACGAATGTTCCCGAGTGTTTGCCGACAGAATGATTGGCGAACACGAACTTTGGTTTTCGACAACGTTACGTGGGGTTGCTTTGGAGAATTTCTGTGAAAGATTGCAGCATTCGCCCGATGAAGGTGAAATTTTTGCTGACTTTCTTACATCGTAAAGTGTTACAGTTATAATTCTAGCGTTTGTGGCCTAAAATCACTGATGACACGAACTTTGGAAACTTCGCGATTTTTCCTGCCTTATTGTAGCTTGTACCACCATTTCTTTATTATTTATAGTTATCTTTCAAGAGAATCACATTTTTATGTCGTTATGCTCATATCTTCACTGTTTTGTTGTATTTTTATTGTCGCAGAACCTGAAAAGATACCATTTCAAAAACCAATGACACCTCAGGCTTTTAGCAGTAACCCTGATGCTGTTGGCAACAACAAACCAGTCGACACCGTAGTTCCGAAGAAAGAACGAGCAGAAAATTCTGTGAGCTTTGCTGGCGACTTGATGTTGAATGTTCATGAAGAGAAGGAAACCGCAACAAGTGTTGACGTTGAGAAGGGAATTGAATCTCCTGGGAGGAAAAAAGAATCAATTGTAGGTGAAAAAGGAGTCAATTATGAAATGAAAACGACGAAGAAAAAAGGAATGATAAAAACAGTGATGAGGTTACAACTGATAAAAACACAGTAATCGATTTTTCTCAAAGTGTCGATAAAGAAAAAAACACTGATAGCTGTAGCAATTCCAATACCACTGAATCCCATGGTGTAACCCGCAGTAATGAGCGAGCTGTGAAAGTGAACCAAGTACCAATGAAGAAACTTCAATCACAAATTCGTTGAACGGCCAGTGTGGTCATACGTTTGTCAAAGAAGCTCGTACCATGATTAGCAAACAGCGTGTTGTAACTTTTGAAGATATGAACAAACATCGTTCGTATAGTGGCCCACTGATTACGCCAGAGCAGTTGATCGACGAAAATGAAGATTTGTCAAAGATTATATTTACTAGGATTTTATGTCGTTGCAGCAACATGGACAACATAAAGAACAAGCTTATAGAGAGACGACCGTCGACGAACTTACAACAATATTCAAAGATGCTCAAGAGTTATACAACCAACAAGATGTTCAACCATTAGATATTGTCTTCTTTGAAAAGGTTGTTCGTCATGCTGCTAGACTAAGTCGGTCGCTGGTACGTGAATAGACACATAATTATGCTTTTCTCAAGTCGGCATGTCATTGTGTCGATTAAAGAATTTTGCTGAAAGGCGAAGACCAATCACTGATCTTTATATTACCTGGATAAACAAAAGAAAGCCAAGGAGAATCTAAAACATGGTGGATTTTTTAGATAAAAATCGCTCGCATCATACTTTTATTTTGACTTCGATAAAATTAGATAAACCATTGATCAACCTTCTATTACAAACTTTTCATCCAAATTTTTCCATATATGGTATGACAGCTCCCATGTTTTGGCAACGAACTGCGTATTGATAAAATATAGTAATTTAGATGAGTTGCTACATGCTGCGTCAATGTACAAGTCATGGATAAATTTGTTTGTTGTATGGTTTCTTTTATTATATATTTTCTCTTTTTTTTAGTGTTTATTGAATGGCAACGCGCTCTTGCTCAACAAACATGGGTTTGGACGAAAAGCACTTGTCCTACTGACGTCATTTATTGCTGGTTACAAGGTAACGTAGTCGATTTTTTGAATTTTCCGTTGTTTTATCAGAAATTTTTGTTTTTTCAAGCAATAATATATGATTTATACACCTCAAAGTTGATAGAGGTACGACCTGACAAACGTGAAGATTCGTTGCAGCGATTGAAAAGAGCTGCGTATCTAGCTGGTCTGCAAGGAAAACAAGTTGTTCTTTATGTACCACAGAGTGTGGAATATAACACATTACAGGATGTCTGCTCTCTCATCTGCGAAGGTAAAATAAACATGTGTGAATCGAACATGTTTGGATTATCCACGTGTTAAATCAACTCGTGTGAATTTGAATTAAATGTGTAAATTCAACACGTGTGAACTTGCATAATCAATATGTTGGCTTCTCTACGTAGAAGTCAATATAACTGTTTGCTGTCGGGTCACAAAGCATGAACTAAATTGGGTTCACTGGCCATAAATGAATGTAGATAATCAGGCAAATGACATGAGTCTTTGTTGCTACTCTAGGATATTCTCCTGGACTTTATTCATCCAATGAGCTTGAGCTGATTTGTAATGAACTCATACCGGGCAGTCTGCGAAGACATCAAAGTGAGAATGTCTATGTGGCCAAGGAACGATTTTATCGTCGTGTACGAGCAAACTTGCATATAGTTATCTGTATGGAGAATCATTGTGTCAATGACGGAACTACTGGAGTTTTTTCAAGATTTTCTTTTTTACCGACATTGGTTACGCGTTCTTCTTCAATTGACATCTTTCAAGCTTGGATTGCGAGCTCGTTCTCAAAAGTTGCTCTACAGAGATTCAGTGAATACAAATTTCCTGATGCTACTATTCAAAAAATGATGGAACCTCGTCTGCATTCTATAGCATCATTTACAGCACATGTTCACACATCGTCGTCAAAAATGCTTGAACAGCAGTTTGGATGTAGTCAAATGGAGTTATTCACTCCAAAGACATTCCTTGGCTTTCTTGACATGTTCACGAAATGCTTACATGACGTTTGGAAAAAAGAAAAGGTAAAACGGAACGGAATATTCTTTCTTGAACGTCAACTGTTGTGTATGACCTACTACTCAAGACCTGCATATGCATGTCCTACAAAAACAATAGATTTCTGAAGAAATCTATGTTGTAATTTTTTTCAAACTTGTTGAAAAAGTGGTTATGATTTCTTTACGATAAAGAAACCTTGTATTTCTCGAACCAATATTTTAATTCATTGTCTTTTTTTATATTTTTATTGTCTTCTTTTAAATCCACTTTCGTAGATTTTTCCCTTTTAAGAAATTTTTTAATCTTTCAAAATCATTGCTACCCAATGGATACAGGATAGCGCGATTGACTTTAGTACAACCGCCCCGTGAAATTTACACTGCAAGACTAAAACCTGCGGGCTGACTACGCCAACAAATGTCATTACTATTTCACTCAATTTATGTCTTGCTTGAGAGACAATAAGGTTTATTTTATCTTTTCAATTCATTTTTCTCAAACAGCTTTTTGCGATATTAGTTAATTATATGCAGTGTCCTTCCCGAAATTAAACTTTTTTCCATGATGTACCTGAATGGTGATTTTTTCTTTAGGAAAAAATAAGTCGATACAAACAAGGTTTGGCTAAAATTAACGAAGCGAATGAGCAGATACGCGAATTGCAGAAGGATATAGATAGTTTAATTCCAGTTCTCCGTACTGCGGAGCAAGACGTCAAAGATTGCTTGAAAATTGTCGAAGGCTTGCAAGCCAGTTACTCTGAAGGAAGGCAGAAATGTAAGCAGCAAGAGTTGGAAGTTGAAAAAATGTCTGATCCAATTATCGAGTTGGAAAGATTAGCCAAAATAGAATTGGACAAGGCAAGTTTTCTAGAAATGACAAAAGTCATTAGCGACATGTATATATCTGCCGATATGATAACAGTTTTAAAGACTTATTTTGTTTGGGGGATCGTTTAACTTTGAAATCTCGTGAATTGGTGTAATTCTTTTTTTTATATATAATATAGGTGAGCCCGGTGTTTAAATCCGCTTATGAAGCACTTAAAGCATTAAATGTTTACGATGTTGAAGAAATTCGCAGTTACAGATATCCACCTGAGCAAGTCGTTTTAGTAGTAAATGCCGTATGTTTGCTGTTTGAAAAGAAGGAGACGTGAGTAACATTCGTTTATTAACAATTAAGATAAGTCACGTGGTGCCGTATGTTTGCTATTTGAAAAGAAGGAGACGTGAGTAACATTCGTTTATTAACAATTAAGATAAGTCACGTGGTGCCGTATGTTTGCTATTTGAAAAGAAGGAGACGTGAGTAACATTCGTTTATTAACAATTAAGATAAGTCACGTTGTGTGGTGTAGCCAGGTCAAGTTTTTGGTCTTGCTGTGCAAACTTTACTGAAATTTACATAGCAGGGCCAAAACATACAGGGGTAAAAGTGAAAAGAGTATTTTTTTATTAATATGTGTTGTGCTCGATCACCAAAAATGAAACACGAAGAGTAATTATTACAAGTCAGTATGAAATATATGTCTTTCTCATTAGTTGGGAAGAAGGCAAAGTATTGTTTACACGTGAAGATTTCATCAAAGATTTAGAGTTTTTCGACATGAAATCAATAACGGACAAGACGTTTCATAAGCTGAAAGAGTACATTGAAAATCCGAAATTTGTTCCCGCAGCTGTTAAAGAGGGCAGTCTCGCTGCAATGTCTATTTGCGTTTGGATTCGAGCTGTGTACAAGTTTTGCGTCGTGTATCGTGAATATTGTCCAAAGCAACAGCGCGTCATCGAAGCAAGAAAACTAATGGACGAGGTCTGGCAAAATTATTCTATGAAACCTAATTAGAAAGGTTTCCGTTCATATGCACTACAATAATGCACGCTGATTGGCTGAAGCAGTGTTGCATCATGTTTTCACAATTATATAGGATTAAGTTTTACTATGCGGTTATTTGTGCTCTAAGGACAAAAGGTTTTTCGTTGTTGATAAACAGCTATGTCTATAAACACTACGGGGAAATTAAAAAACGACATAATTATAATTAATTATCATAGTTGTAGTCCGTTCACACTCTTCTTTTAGGCTGTGGCATATTTAGGAGATCTACGCATGCGCTGTAATGAGGCGAAAGCAGAAGTTGAAGCTGGAATCGAAGATTATAAAGAAAAAGTTCACCATGCTAGATCTATCGAGAAACAATTACAGGTATTTCATATAAATATACAATGTATTCTCCAAAATAACTTGAATGTATAGAGTTAACCACTAAAAACCAATAAAGTGAATGATCCGAACAATAGAGTATCTTTACATGTTTGTAGATGTTGATCATCCAGATAAGCGGAGTCCTGAAAAGGACTTTTGGTGTTAGTATTGACTCACGTTTCCATTACCTTACCTGCATGGAGTCATCCATTTCGAGCACCAACACCAACATTCCCTTCACAGGTCTCCACTAATATGGACAATCTGGAAATGATGCTAACGTTAATACAATTTAAGATTGACAATTAGGATTGCCATCATTACGCTACATGTAATTTGCCGTTCATTTAGGATTGCCATCATTACGCTGCATGTAATTTGCCGTTCATTTAGGATTGCCATCATTACGCTACATGTAATTTGCCGTTCATTTAGGATTGCCATCATTACGCTGCATGTAATTTGCCGTTCATTTAGGATTGCCATCATTACGTAATTTGCCGTTCATTTGGATTCCATCAGGATTGCCATTCATTATTGCCATTTACGCTACATGTAATTTGCCGTTCATTTAGGATTGCATTACATGTTCATTTAGGATTGCCATCATTGCCCGTTCATTTAGGATTGCCATCATTACGCTACATGTAATTTGCCGTTCATTTAGGATTGCCATCATTACGCTACATGTAATTTGCCGTTCATTTAGGATTGCCATCATTACGCTACATGTAATTTGCCGTTCATTTAGGATTGCCATCATTACGCTACATGTAATTTGCCGTTCATTTAGGATTGCCATCATTACGCTATGTAATTTGCCGTTCATTTAGGATTGCCATCATTACGCTACATGTAATTTGCCGTTCATTTAGGATTGCCATCATTACGCTACATGTAATTTGCCGTTCATTTAGGATTGCCATCATTACGCTACATGTAATTTGCCGTTCATTTAGGATTGCCATCATTACGCTACATGTAATTTGCCGTTCATTTAGGATTGCCATCATTACGCTACATGTAATTTGCCGTTCATTTAGGATTGCCATCATTACGCTACATGTAATTTGCCGTTCATTTAGGATTGCCATCATTACCTACATGTAATTTGCCGTTCATTTAGGATTGCCATCATTACGCTACATGTAATTTGCCGTTCATTTAGGATTGCCATCATTACGCTACATGTAATTTGCCGTTCATTTAGGATTGCCATCATTACGCTACATGTAATTTACCGTTCATTTAGGATTGCCATCATTACGCTACATGTAATTTACCGTTCATTTAGGATTGCCATCCATTACATTAATTTATTCATTCCATTCATTTAGGATTCATTATTCCTTCATTCCATTCCATTCATTCCATTCATTCCTTCATTCCATTCATTAATTCATTCATTATTCCCATTCCATTCATTTATTCCATTTAGATTGCCTACATTACGCTACATGTAATTTACCGTTCATTTAGGATTGCCTACATTACGCTACATGTAATTTACCGTTCATTTAGGATTGCCACATTATTCATTCCATTCATTTATTCCATTCATTTAATTCCATTCATTTAGGATTCCATTCCATTCATTCATTCCATTCATTCCATTCCATATTCCATTCCATTCCATTATTTTCCATTATTCCTACATTCCATTCATTTATTCATTTTCCTCATTAATTCCATTCCATTATTCCATTCCATTCCATATTCCATTCCATTCCATTCCATTCATTCCATTCCATTCATTATTTTCATTCCATTCCATTCCATTATTCCATTTATTCCATTCCATTCCATTAATTCCATTCATTATTCCTACATTAATTCCATTCATTCCATTCATTCATTCCATTCCATTCCATTATTATTCCACATTCCATTCATTCCATTATTATTATTCCATTCATTCCATTCATTCATTCCATTCATTCATTTATTACATTAATTATTCATTCCATTCCTTTTACATTCATGTTATTTTCCTTCATTCCATTATTCCATGTATTTCCGTTCATTTAGGATTGCCTTCATTACATGTAATTTACCGTTCATTTAGGATTGCCATACATTACATGTAATTCATTTAGGATTGCCATTACCATGTAATTTGCCGTTCATTTAGGATTGCCATTCATTACATACATTAATTCCGTTCATTTAGGATTGCATTACGCTACATGTAATTTACCGTTCATTTAGGATTGCTACATTACGCTACATGTAATTTACTGTTCATTTAGGATTGCCATCATTACGCTACATGTAATTTACCGTTCATTTAGGATTGCCATCATTACGCTACATGTAATTTACCGTTCATTTAGGATTGCCTACATTACGCTACATGTAATTTTCCGTTCATTTAGGATTGCCTACATTACGCTGCATGTAATTTGCCGTTCATTTAGGATTGCCATTATTACGCTACATGTAATTTGCCGTTCACTTAGGATTGCCATCATTACGCTACATGTAATTTGCCGTTGATTTTATTACAGAAGACAGAGCAGAAAAAAGCTCGCTCGGAAGGACTAATGCGAAGTATAGCGGGTCATGTTCAGGCTTGGCAGGAACAATTGCAAATTTGTGAACGTCATATGGAAACATTGATTGGTGACGCGTTATTGTCTGCCGGCTGCCTTTGCTATCTTGGACTTTTGAAGCAAGAAAAACGCGATCAACTGCTTCAACAATGGATTGTCACTTGTATTGGTGATGAAAATGATGGCGAAAATGATGAAAATGATATCGTGAATGATTGTCGGGACTTGAAACCGAAAGTAACCACGTGTCCTATGGTAATTAATGATCTTCCCTGTCGGCGCAACTTTGTTTTGAAAGATTTTCTCACAAGTCAAGAAGAATTATATAAGTGGCGATGTTCTGGTCTCTCTGTAAGCAGTCGTGCTGTGCAAAATGCTCTTATCATGCGCATGACATGTGAAAATTCGAAGAGACATTGGCCTCTACTGATTGACACTGATTTGCAGAGTTACGCGTGGCTTAAAATGTTTCACGATGATAAAGTAAAAAATGGTAAGATGTCGAGATTTGTGCCATTTTCGTCACATTTTGATCTTTCGAAGAATTTTTATTCGAAAAACGTTGCTCATGCATGTTGAGCAGTTTTAACCAGCATCAACAGATGATTCAAAATGAGAGCGGCTTATTCATTAGTGAACATTTTCTTGAAGAAAAGTTGGTCGGAGGAAACTAAGCTTAATACCGAGTTTCTAAAAGGAAAACCTTCATTGTACTAGAATCTCTTTCGGAAAGTTTAATAAAGTGATATATTCTGAAAGAAAGACTGTGCGTGGCTAAAAATGATTTCTACATTGGTGTTACGACAATCTTTGAAAACATAATAGTATCGGTTCAGCTTGGGGTCAATGATTGTAAATTTCACAACTTTTCCTGCGACTGCGTCGTGTTATAACATTTGCTTTGTATCTTTTTCCTGACATACAACTTTGCCTACGTCAGATCGTTTATTGAGAAGAATTGTGTCAAGAATTTAATGTTTGATATTTCGTAGAAGCTGCAGTTTTGACAAGCTCAGATGTAAATGAAGATGTTCAAATTGATGTTGTCGAGAACTATTTTCATCAAATATCCGATTCTTCTTCGATAACACCTGTTTATTCAACTCATGATAGTGATGACGACCACTTACCCAACTATGAAGGTATTGTTGTGAATAAATTATTAAAAATCAATGGTATTTATATAATTGTACGTCATTGGTAAATATCTTCAAGCATCAAGATTAAATCTTATCCGAATTGCAAATTGCTTGATTATATTCCTCAAAGAGATTTCCATTACATTGAGGTACCATCATTGTTGTTCTGTTTCTCATTTCAACACAAAAGATGTAAATCTTTCGTGACAAAATGCTTTAAAATGTACATTGAGGTACAATCATTGTTGTTCTGTTCCTCATTTCAACACAAAAGATGTAAATCTTTCGTGACAAAATGCTTTAAAATGTACATTGAGGTACAATCATTGTTGTTCTGTTCCTCATTTCAACACAAAAGATGTAAATCTTTCGTGACAAAATGCTTTAAAATGTACATTGAGGTACAATCATTGTTGTTTTGTTCCTCATTTCAACACAAAAGATGTAAATCTTTCGTGACAAAATGCTTTACAATGTATTTCAAACTTCATAATACATTGACAAAAATAAAAATTTCATTGTTGTCATTAAAAACATAGTTATTAAATGAACAGTTTTTTAGCTAAGTTTTTCAATTAGGCAACTTCATCAATCATACAGGTCTCGTCTTAAAAACGTTGATCTACACGTGTATGTACTAATTAATGAACGAATTTTCTTGCCTTATAAATCACAGGCTGTAGTATCCCGTACTTTAGTCGCTGCGCAGTTGTGTTGACTTCGAAATAAATACAACAGTAGACTTTACGAATTATTTTTTTGCTTTTAAACGACAGAAAGTGATTCTTCGACGTGGTTGTCATATGCAAGTAGTCGAAGAACTTCGACAGGAGCGTGTTCTGGCTTCATGTTGAGAGAGGATTTGGCTAAAGACCTAAACATTGAGGTAAAATACTTCATTTTGCAGTTACAATGGTATATTAAATGATTGTGATTAAAAGAATGGTTCATTTGTGTTTGACGCTTCTCTCATGCATCATTCAGTTGTTTGCTTGGTTTTTTCATAGACGACACCCTTAGATCTGTCATCCGTTGGAAGTTCGTCCATTGATTTAGACGTTGACAGCAATGAGATTATGATACTATCCGTTAGCGACAAACATAGAGGTATAACTGAGTGATCTTATTTTGTAAGAAATTATGTTGACAATAAATGGAGTTTTATGATGTTGGGATGTACATGCAATCAAGGAATGGAGATTATTTGCTAGGAAGCATATTGACAAAGAATGGAGTTGTTGTGGTTGTACAAGCATAGTGAAAATGAATGAGATGAGTTTTTATTATGTAGATATAAAGATTTGCCGAGCAATTTCAACAGGATGTACTTTATTACTTGTTGATGTTGAGCGTGAGAAACTTGGAACAAAGTTCGACAATTTACTAAAGAGAAATATAAAGAAGGATAAAGATGGCAAACAAATGCTACGAATCGGCGACCGTTTCATCAACTATCATCCTGGTTTTAGATTATATCTTTACACTAATATTCCACTGGAGTTAAGTGGGAAAAACTGGATGAATTCCTTATTGAGGAATCATGTTGTGATTAACATGAGCTTGAACAGTGAAGAACTTCAGGAACATTTACTTCATGAAGTTTTGTTATTAGAGTGTCCTGATTATGAGAATGAACGTCGATGTTTAGAAGCGGATGTTCGGCAACATGAACAAAAAATTGAAGTTGCTAAGGTACCTAAACAGCTTCTGTGAAATAATGTTTAATGTTTAAGTATTTATCAACTAAAGTAAATGGTTTGAACCCGGGATTATCGTTACATGTTTGTAGATGTAGATCGTCCAGGTTGGTATGGACCTGAGAAAGACTGTTTTTGTTGTTGTTGACTGACGTTTCGACAACCTTAGCGGTAGTCATCTTCAGAGTCATCTCCATTTGACTCTGAAGATGACTACCGCTAAGGTTGGTCGAAACGTCAGTCAACAACAACAAAAAACAGTCCTTCTCAGGACTATACTAACCTGGACGATCTACATCTACAAACATGTATTTATTCACCCAAAACTGTTGTTTTCGTATGTTTTTCACAAAACAGCTTGAATGTCGTTTTTTCTTTCGAATTATGGATGTTTAAGACAAACTATTTGTTGGTTATTTTAACTCATCTTTTCAACTTTTATGAGAACGACATGCTGTTTCATGAGCTACGCTTTTTTTCACTCCACTCTAGAAAAACATACTTGAAATGGTGATCAACATGAATGAACATCTTCTGGAGAACGACAAAATATCTGAGAATCTTAAACATTGTGAAGAAACGTGTCGTTTGAGCATACATCATTTAGAAGAATCGAAGGTATAGAAATCAAATGTTTCAATTTTGTATAGAGGTGCTTTTTACATTTTTGGCCATTTTTTTACTTGCTAAGCTATCAGTAAGATATTTGATCGCCATTTTACGTACGGGAATGTAAAACCTACCAAAGATATTTTGTGCAAATAAAATGCCTGAAATGGAAAGCTCTTGCAAAAGATAAACATAAATATTTTGCCCTGCGCGTATCCTGATATTCAACAACTTTTCCCTGATCTGTTCTCGCTATATCCGTGTTACATAAATGAGAGGAGCGGAATTTTTCAAGTCTTTCCATGCAAATTCCTGAATTTCCCAACATGTCAGATAAGAAAATCCGAATGAAACTGCTAAAACTTTTATGCAATCTTAAGAAAGAAATTTAATGCCTAAATATCGACAATCACTTGGCTGTTTTTGAATTTCAATGATCTTTTAAATGAAAAAAAAGCTTATTTTGACGGGTCGCATTTTGTCCAACCAGTGAAGAAAAACGTATAAACTATTTAGTCAATTTCTTACTTCTACAAAAAGTTTATTTCATCTTAATTCTAATTACATTGACTACTTTATTTTATTCTACTTTAATACGATATAACTTACGATATAACTTTACGATATAATAGTTAAAATTCTTTCTTTATAAGTTATTTTACAGTTATAGATTCTATTCACAATATAGATCTTAGAATCAATACATAATTCAATATTCTATGCAAATAAAATCTTTGTAATTAATTGCTGATAGTCGCTATTTTGTTCATATTAATTGTCTTTCCACCTTGGACGACAACACTATATTCTAAAATGTTTTTGAAGAAATGTTTTTTTATTTCTTCCATGAAAATCCCTTGGATTTTGATTTTGATTTTTTCAAATTTTTTTTGCGTCTCTTCTGCTTCTGTTGATCTTGTTTATTTTTCACTGATGTTGTAGCATTAGTTGAGACTATGCCTTTGCTTTCCGTCTGGGGATCTTGTTCATTTTCCCCTGATGTTGTAGCATTAGTTGCGACTATATTTTCGCTTTCCGCCTGGGGATCTTGTTCATTTTCCCCTGATGTTGTAGCATAAGTTGGAACTGTATCTTTAGTGTTACTGCTGTGAGTTTCCTTCACAAGTTCGACATTTCCACTTTCATTAACTTCCGCCGATGTCGATTCTGTACTTTCCTCGATGTTATCATCGTTATCCTATTCAGAAAGAAACTCATATTCACTACTTTTTGTTAAGTGGAAAGATTTTTCATAAAACATACTTCACTCTTTTGGAAAATATTTTTGTATAAATAGTATCCAAGAAATGCAGATCCGACGGCAGCAATAGTGCCGAGACATACATTTCTTGTCAATCCCATTATTGAACAACTGTATCACAAATATTTACTCTCGATGAAAAAATAGCTCTGAATTGCTTGATATGTAACCGCAAAATGATGATTAATGAGATTATGACGTTATTAATTGTTTGGCAAGCGCAAATTAACGCATCGAATCGTTTGTTACGTAATAAAATTCAATGCGCGTGCGCATTTTAATTTTCGCCGTCACGAAATTGAAGTGTATTTTGATATATCTGTGATTTTGCCACCGTAAACATCCTCGTTTTCATTCCTGTAGAAACAAGTTTTGCTTCCAAAGAGACCTATTGTATTCTGCGAGATGTACAACATTTTATGTTTCCCAACAAACTTTCTTTCTGCTGTTTTCTAGTTTTAGCTAATAGCTACCAAGCCTGACAAACCTTGCAAACCTTGTCAAAAAGCTGTGTTTCTGCAATAGTATTTTCTTTTAAAATCTCATTTAATTTCAAAACACCGCACTGAATAGTATTTTCTTGTTAAATTTAAAGTTAAATTTCGAAGCTAAAAGTCAAATTACTGCAATTATGTTAAAAAATTAACTCATAAGGAAGCTTTTTATGTATTTTTCACCAAGAACAAAACCTACTTTTCTTTTTTTGAGACCGCAAACTGTCATCGGTATCTGATATCTGAAGCATTAACTCAACTTTTATTAGGCATCTGGTACCTGAAATATCAACTCATCGTTACTCATGACTGTTGTTTTAATCAGTAGTTGATCCTCTATTTCTTTAAAACTATTTTTATCACCTGGTGTGATGTAATAGAACAATCTCAACGAATCTGTTTTATCTAGAATAATAATTTTTACGGTATTTTTTATTCTTCAACTAGGCACTACAGGCAATATCAAAAGACAAGGCCGAAGACTACACACATGTTTCAGAACACGCTGCCGCAATATCCCTTATTATATCTGGTCTACCCCAATTGAATGTCTATTACCAGACACCGTTTCATACGCTCATTGACCTTGTAAAGGACGTTATTAAACAACGAAGACGAGGAAAGCAATCATCTGGCTCGTCATTGGCACGATCTGCCGAACTAATTACCTATATCACTAGAGCTATATGCAAAAAAATGGCTAAATCTCTCTATTTAGGTATGCTTATTCATCATGCCATTGTTGTAGACAGTAGGAATATTCAGTGCAAAGTAGTTAATGTACCATTTTCGCAAATTATTGCAAAAAATTTACAACATACATTTGTTATAGTAGTAAAGAAATGTGCTAGTGATTCTGATGAAAGATGGAAGCTTGATGAAATAATTTTAAAAACCTTTATTATTAGATTAACCGTTCATGCACGCGCGAAATCTATTGTTTACATTAAAGATGAGCGCACCGACACTAACATATCAAGCTTTACATGAAAGAATGATATCCTATCTATTCTGTCCATTTTCAGATCATTACAACGTGTTTACGATTTTGGTTGCTGTTAAAAAGCTCCAGCTTGCTGGACTGTTAAGTACAGAAGAATGGAAAATATTTTACGAAACGCATCCGAACCCAGATGCGTCTACTGACGTTGAGGATTCTGATATCCCCGATTGGATTGAACCTTCAGTTTGGAATCAAGTCTGCAGTCTTGATAGGTTGCAAGGATTTCAAGGATTAAAAAAGGCGATTAAAAGGAACGATGCATTGTGGAAAGAATATTTTGATGTAATATATCTTGTCATTTTTTTTCATTGTATCGCAGCAAGATTGAATCTATACTCTTTTATTGTTTCAATTAGTTTGTGAATAAAAAATATTTGCATAGCGAGAGTAAAAAGATGTGCGAAACACGCTACGCTACTGACCAGAATCCCTGTAAAAATAAAAAAATCCCTCCATACTCTGTATATTTAATGTTGAAATGTTAAATAATCAAACCATAAATTTCTCATTGAAATTAGAAAGAAATTGATCTCACTGCAAGCATTTCTTATGTTTTTTTTTACTTATTTCAGCTACCGCCGACGTTAATGGCCCCTGTGCCAAGCAACATGCGTCAATTGTCTTTATTTCAACGAGCCCTTCTTTGGAAAGTGTTTAAAATGAAAAATGTAAGTTTATGTATTTTATGTGAATAGCATCCTGTCGTGACTCGCTGGAATATAATAACTACAATATTGTTGTTTTAAAAGAAAGGACTTTTGGACGGCATCTAAGGCAAAAGTGACAAAAAATTGAATAGTTCACGATTTATTATGTTAATGGCTTCGATGTCGGTCCATGTTTCAAAAACGTCGCTTGCATAGGATACTCATGCCTTGGATGAATTAAATTAAATTGAATATTTTAATTATCATTAAGCTACGCGAAATCTGTAAAGAACTTGTTCTCTCACAACTTGGTACAAGTGCGACAACTGTACCAAATCTATCCATGGATATTGTGTACCAAGAATCGTCTTGTATTACTCCAGTTTTGTTCTTTTTACCAAATTCGTTATTCTCAGAAGACTGGAGAAAACAGAATATAAAAGGTTTGTTTAGATTTTGCGTTCGTTTCAACGGTTGCCGTGATGATTGAGCATTATTTTATGTAATCGACAAGGAGAATTTAAAGTGCCCCAATGCAGCAAAAAATTTTGTTTGCGATACTAAAACTAGATGTTATGTCTTACGTATCGGTAAAACAATTTTCAAATTTGTTTGAATCTTCTTCTTATGGTGGCTTAAAGTTGCCATTCAACCATTCAACGGACCTTGTCCGTCGTGGCACGAAGACTGGGTCGAGCAAATTCTTATATATCATCCATGGTAGTTAGTATATACATCTTGTGTTGAGAAGTCATTTGCATGACGTCACAAAAGTAAGTCGTTCCAGACTCTTCGGACGACGGACACGGTCCATTAAAAGGAGTTTTTTTTGCCAACTTCAAACAGCCATTGAAATGAGATAATTTAAACTGAACATTCAAAAACTTTTTTTCACTGAAACGTTGAACATCTCACCCAATTTAAATATTGCAAACAACAATTTTTTTCTGCATTTGCTGCCTTAATGGATTTGTTCGTTTAGAAGTAATTCATTTAATGATAGATCATAACTGTTTGAGATTGTAGCAGTCTGCGAGTGTTGAATAGTTGTAGTGATCGTGCTTACAGTTATTACGGTTCCTTTACATGAATACTACATGACGTTTTCTTGTTTCTTTTACCATTTGAACCCATCATTGACGTAATTTCCTATGACTGTGGCCTGTCGTAAAATCACTTGTGTTTTAATTTCCAATTTAGATCCAGTTGATGAAATTTTAGCTCTTGCCAGACGACTAAAGCATGATGCTAACTTACGCATTGTCGATGTTTGTCATGAGAATCAGTTGTCTGAAGCGCACAAAATTTTACGAAATGCATGTCAACGAGGCACTTGGGTGATCATAAAAAATTGCCATTTTGCGTCTCACTGGTCCCCGGAAATTATGGATATTTTTTATGTAAGTTAATGTACAGGATGCTTAAAAGAATAAAGTTGTTTATGGTTATTGAAAGGGCTGTGACTCCATTATCTAACTTAGGTGCATGTTTTGTTACATATGTTTTGTTTTCCTTGAGAATTCTGTGAAATGCGTGACATTTTGTTCATTTAGCATCTTTTTTATAATCTTTATGCTTTCCAATCTTAAGTTGATTTCGTTTTTTGGTCAACGTTTTGAGCCAGTTTTTTTGTTCGTCATTTTCTTCAAAGTCGACAAGGCTTTTTTTGTAAATTTCACATTTAGTCATCTTGGTCGTTTTCTATGAAGTCAGCAAGGCATTTTAGTCAATTGTGTATGCAGTCATCTTCATTGTTACGGTTGAATAATTCTCATGTCTGCGCATGTTTAATGATGTTACTACGAAATTTCATTTTCAGCAAGTTACCTTGAGCAGTAGCAAAGAACATATCACTGGCAAGCATGGCTTATTTGAAAGAGAAACTGCTCTGTACACTGTGACGTCATACGCCTTTGACCAATCATTGATTATGCATCCTCATTTCCGTCTTTGGTTGATCACGACGCCTACATCTGGAACCCCATTACCGGCGGTTATTATACGTTACAGTATGAAAATAGCTTGGGACGACAAACTGTCCCATGATGCCACATGTCGACAGTCTTTTCTCACACTATGGAATAAACATAAGCATTCTAATATCAATTTGAAGGAGCTTGAATCCTTAGATGTGAAGGTAAAAATTGTTATGAAGTATGTTTCATTTTATAATCGTTTGTTTTTCTTGCAATATTTCAAAAATTGGTTTAAAACGTCATTAGGAACTTCATTATCGAAGTTCAAAACATCTTGTTTTTCTTTTAACATTTATTCCATGTTGTACTAGTCCGAACAACTTCTCAAAAGAAAAATCCATCTCTTTCAGGCTGACCCTTTATCTTACTATTTTGCACCGTTGGCAATACTTCATTCAGTTCTCCATCAGCGCTGTAAATATGGTTCTCGTGGATTTAATATTCCCTATCATTGGTGAGTTTTTCTTTACACTTGTTGCGATGGAACGCCGTATGTATCTTTATTTATCTAAAAGTCGTGTATATTTCGGCTAATGTATAGCTGGCAAAAGTTTTATAAGAGTTTTTAATATTGAACAGGAGCGACCAGGATCTCGTTTGGGGCTATCAATCTACGCTTCTGTTAAAGTCATTTGTTAAAGCTGCTAGCAGAAAAATGGCTATGATGCAAGATATGGGTATTTTGTATTGCGGTCAAGTTCTTAATATGTTCGACTGCTCCACGATCACTGCTTTGGCTGAGAAAGATTTTGTATCTTCAAATGATCCTGAAAAAGTATTTACATTCAAAGACTCGTGAATGTGTAAAATGTCGTAATAACAATAACTTTGGTTTTCGTTCTAGGAGCAACAATCTGATCAGCTTGATATTCTCCTTAATTCCACTCCTATTGAGATCTCTTTGGATGACATTGGGATAAATAGTTGTGTGGATGAAAGTGAAAATCTGCATTGTGGCAGGTAAGATCTGTAGTATATCTTTAACATTTACATTACTTCATGTTAATTGGGAAAAAATGTCGTATATGGAAGCACTTTCACGGATGGAAGTCATGTGATTATTTGTGTTGACGTCATGAAATGGATCAGCATTTTGCTTGTTTTTTGTGTTAGGGTTATTTATAGAATCAAAACCTATACAAGCAAAAGGAAACGATTCATAAACAAAATTATTATTTTTTGGAAATTTTTCTCGATTTAGACCAGGGGAAAATACTGAGAGTATGACTTATAGAATCTATTTTGCAGAAAAATGGTTTCAGACATCGCTTCAGCGATGAAAAGTACACAAATAACTCGTGTTTGGTTCAAGCCGGTGCAAGATTTCAAAGACCTGTTGGTTTCCTTTCGAGATATCAAATCGAACTTAAACAGTGGTAATGAAGAATCTACTTTTGATGAAACGTATTTCATGTCTTTTTTGAAGAAGGAATTAAGAACATTTGTAATTTCTCTTGAAAAAATGGCGTCTCAGCTGGAAGATGTTATTTTGGCGCTCGAAGGAAGAATAAATTTCTCTTCAATAATGTATGAAATTGTGAAAGACTTGTCATCAGAGTTGGTTCCTCAAACCTGGATTCAATATCCTAATAATCCTTTGAAACTAAACCAATGGATGACCTCACTAAAAGAAAGGATTGAGGCGATTAATAAGTATGTCCAATATGAAGAGAATTCTCCTTTAGTTCTAGATATTTCTGTCTTCACCAATAAGAACTCTATGCTTCAAGCTCTTGTATTTGATTGGTCAAAAAGAACTGGACTGCCACCTCACGAAATGGATGTTATTTGCGAGGTTTGTGTGTACCTTTAAATGGTGTTAGTCTCTAATTCTTCGTGAGTTTTAACAGAAATTAATGATTTTCAAATGAGTCAACCACTAGCAAAGCCAGCCAGAATTGTATGTAATGCAACCTCTTAGGAGACAGTCGAAGTCAAGTGTGATTTTTGACATCTTAATGACCACGATGCTCCAGAAATATTTAAATGTCCAAAATATTTAACTGGACACACAATTTTACGTTGTTTGAATTATAAAATGAATTATTTTTCTGTTACTATACAGTTGATGGCTGAACAAAGCACGCCAAACATAAATGTCCACGATGCTGTCTACATCGACGGATTTGTTATTCGCAATGCATCATGGAATGAAGATGAAAGATGTGTCGATAAACTCCGGGAAGCTGGGAATCAGAGAATGCCAACATTTGTTTTAAAACCATCGGAAGGAAGCTTACATGTTGTGAAAAGTAAAGGTAAACATAAAGAGCTAAGAATTCCAGTTTACCTGAAGGAAAATCATGTTAATGGACTCGAAACTGTTCCTGTTTTATCATTTATGACACTTTCGTCGAAATTGTCGCCGAATATGTGCAAACGACAACAGGTTTTCATTACTAGTGCGACTTTATGACATTTTTTATTATTCCTTTGGCAGTTTTTTTATTTATTCTTTGAAACATTGTATTTTATATGTAGACAGACTGTGCATTTATAGATGTAACATTTTTTTAATTGACAGCTATGAACTGAGTACATGTATAACTTTTACAGAATGGCAGGCCACCATCTGTTATTTGAATCATGTACTTTATGTAAGTTTTGATTTTATTTAATTAAAGCTGAGTGATTTAGTTGAATTGTTGTCTTAATAATAGATCATGGATGATCACGATTGATGAATATAGCTGGGTTAAATTTTATGCTATACATTTAAGTTATTTTAACTGCGTTTCGCTCGTTGCTTTCAATGAAAAACCAAGCTGGTCTCTTCAGAAATAAATAAATAAATACGGCGTGAAATTTTGTGAAGTGACTTTTTATTTGCAAAAGAAAAGATTACTTTACTGAAGAAAACAATCATAAATGAACACTTTCGAATTTTGCAGCGGGCATTGAAAAAACCTACCTCGATTTAACTTACTTTTCTTTATCAGCTAAGCGCAATTTGGGAAGCATAACTTTAAATATAATTTACAATGTTGGTGGTCTGATTTCAAGTTGTATTTTTCTCATCAACGTGGGTGTGAGACACTGTTTGATAATATCAAATCATGATAGCACAGAATAGACATCTAACAGAAGGCCCACTCTGCTAAAATCGTGGCGTATTTTTTCACTACGCATGCGTGACTTCCCAGCAAGATACTTTCACAAAATCAATATGGAATAGTATTGCACGAGAATGTTATTTTACTAATAATTCACGTTTAGAGCAAAAGTTTTCCGAAATTTTTACAAAATGTTATCATCTTGAAAAGACGATGAGTTCCAAGCTTTTGTAGTGCAAACCGATGTATTTGTTAAAACATCTATATTTTCTATTGCGATCTCCTTAATACTTGCTTCAGAAAAGTAGGGGACATGAACATCAAAAGTTCCGAGACGAGTGGACCTTAAGATATCTATTCTGTGTTGCAGATTGCAAATCAGGAATTCAAAGCACGCAAAACCTTGACCTTATTGAGTCTATGGGGCGGTTTGAGTTCTTTTATATGAACTTAGGTCTAATCTTGACTTGCAACAATTCTCTTGAGATTTGCCAAACAATGTTAATCGCCCACGCCGGCTGTTGCCAACGATAACTCTGATAAAATATTCTTTTGTATCAGACCACCAACATGGCTGAATTGCAAGTCAAGAATAGCGTTCCCAACAGCAATTAATGCTCCAATCGATTTTTGAAACTCCATGTATACGAAACTCTGAGCAGTGATTAATAATATTGCTTCAGAATTCACTCAATAGAAGCCTAATTCTGCTGCTTTTGATTATTTCCACGATATATTACATCATGTTGACAAATCTCGCTTACTTGTACTGTTCGTCGTGCATGTTAACATGTATTTTATCCCTCTGGCACCAACAAACAACTGAGGCATTCAAATTTAACAATGAAATCGTTAACGTCGACTTCAGACGCTTTCTTGGAGACAACCCGTACTTGAAATTAATTCGTCACGCGTGCCTGTCGCAAATACGCAATTGTGGTGACAAATGCTCTTTTGAAGAACCATGAAGACAGTCATCGGTCATCCAATGCAGTCTTTGAAGACATATTACAAACTTTCATCGACCGCTGGCTTTCGTCCACGTTGTATTCAAGGTTAGCCAGACGTTCATGGATAGTTTTATACATTTGATCAATGATCGAGCATGCACTTATAAAATATTTTCCAATTTCATACCTCTTGATTAATGATTAATTGAGCATTTTACATGAAACCGATCGTCGAAATTCGTCTGTACGCTGTTCTCTGTGAATATAGTGTCACTTGTTTGATGATGTAAAATAGGAAATGTCTTAGATTGAAGCTATTAGAGTTAAACTTAGTTCGTTTGTTAAGTTTGTAAAGTTTGTACAGTAAAGTTTGTACAGTAAAGTACAGTAAAGTACTTTACTGTACTTTACTGTACAAACTTTACTAGATAATGAAAATTGCTCATTGTCTATTATTCCTACCGAGTTCGTCACTTGACTGTATGCATGTTATTCAACACAAAGATTAAAGTTTAAATTTCATCTTTACTCGAGAGTAAAATAAAAATATTGAAGTATTATTTAGCCTTGAGGAATCAAAGTTTTATGAACAACTTAATTTAGCCATAATTAAACTCATAGCTTAATAAGGGTTGAAATACTTTCTTCACAAATGCTAAAATACTTGCTTAACAAAAGTTGAATCATTCATTTATCATAATATTAAAGCTGATGTAGAAATCGCAGCTCGAGTAAATTTCACTTGGCCATGATGAATGTCTGTGTGAGAGTTGAATACATCTCTTGAAAGTTTTGTTGAATGTCCAGAAATTATGGTTGCTTGGAGCACATTGTGTGCTGATGAATTTTGCTATATTTTGAACAAAAAATAGACAATAAATTTGCAAAAAGATTTTAGATGAAAGTTTCAAGCCAAATAAGACAGTTGACTTGTTTGTGAATCATGAAAGTTAAATGTCTGGAATGCATTTAATGAGAAGTGAGAGCTCCCTTAACTTTCAATTCGTTTTCACGTTCGTTTTCTCCGTTTCGGCCATATCAACTTTTCACATTTCTTATAAAGAAGCACTTGTAAACGGCAGGGGAGTTCATAGGATTTTTACAATATTTTGTGGTCATGACAAAATACGACGTACGACAAGGTTGTCGTCTTCACTAAATACAACTCGCTCGAGTCAAAGAAACCCAAATTCCCATCAAACATCAGAATTTAATGCAATCGCCAGCATTACATGGGACTACAAATGAATTCCAGGGGTGCAAATGCTTTCTTTATAACCTGCAATTATCCCTGGTTGGTAATCATGGCCAATTTTCTTATTAAGTAAAGCTCGTCGTTATTGCTCTCAGTAAATTAAGTTTATATTATCCATTTTTGATTGATGTCTGTTGATCATTAAAATTTTTTCCAACGAACAGAAAAATATGCACCACCAGGTTTTCTAGAACTAAAGTATTTTTGCTTACTGCTATTTCCTTGAAAAAAATATATGTGCAGAATTCTTTAATCCCAAGTGCTAAAAAATATATTTTTCTTTAGCCTCGAGGCAAAGTCAGTCCAGGAATAGGAAAGTTTGAAATGTCTGTACGACATGTTTAATTGAACCTGGACAGAATATTCAACATTCGTACTCATTTGTTTCAATCTGGAGTTCAAACATGACTTTAAAGTCGAAATTGTGAACCAGGTAAGTTCTTTCTTCACAGCTTGCCGATTTCGAGATATTGCATTTCTACATACGTAATATTAGAAATTGAAAGAATGACCATTGATTGTTTGTACGTGTCTATTTTTCTTCAACATTTTATGCAAAATGAGTCCCGATCGATTTTCCACAACTTGTGCTATTTTGCACGATGATTTTAGTTGACCTACAGCATTTACCCTTCATTAGGGTATTCGATGAGACGTGTTACTGGACGTGTTGTATATTTAATAGCCGCGTTCCCAATTTCAAGAACAGCAATCAAATGTCAATTAAGCGTAAGTGAAGTTCAATAAAACAACAGTTTAATTTTCATGCCATGAATTAACTTTCGATTGAGCGATATTGTATTGTTTTGTTCTCGTGTAGTTGTACACAACGGCTGCTCAGTATGTCTCAAATATACTACGTCTATAGTTAATCACCAACGCAGGATATTTTCTGTTCAGACTAAGGGGACGATGCAACCGTCAAAGGTGTGAGACTTGAATTGTGGTCCGAAGGCATTCCCTTCGAAAAATGTTTGATTGTTTTTCTTTAAGACTCTATTTCTTTCAGGTAGGTTTAATAAAATCTAAAAGGCTTTTAGAAGGGCAGTTGTATCAAAAGTGTATTTTAGTCAATCTTATAGACTGCGATGATTGAAGATTACTACCTCGACTTTTCTTTTTGACCGTTTACGGAAAGCAACGAAGGAGCAACGCACTATTTTCATTGCTGTTTGAAATTAGATTCATTGCCCACTCCACTCCTTTTCATTTAAATTCTCGAAATTGGTCTTTGGAATATTGGGTGGTGGTGGACACTTCGCCTCAGTTCCCTCGCTGGCAACGCCACTGGTTTCAATTATCAGCTTTTCCCAAATATGAACAAAATTCGGATTGCTTTAACTCGTGTTAAATTGAAAATGATATGTTATTCAAGTTACATTCGTGTCTTGCTTATTGTTGCTTGTATTAATGTGCGTTTTTGTTTGTATCGCTCATTTGAAAGTTTAAAAATGGAATGAATGAAGTCGTTGTTTCAGTGAACTTCTCTTGCTCTTATTGAAATTAGAAAAGCTTTCTACAACTCGCCCTTTTGAATATCCTTTTCTCTAATACATGAAGCTGGATTCAACGTGAGACTACTGTTTATTTTCTGTTTGAAATGGAGAAAGCGTTAAAAGTTCCAATCGTGAAATTCCAATTGCATTATAATTACAGAATAGGTTTAAAAAATCGTCTCCAAACATACCCACGCACGCTTGCAATATTTACAACGAATATAAATTAAGGTGGCCTCATGTTACGGCTATAAATATTAATGTTTGGTGGTGGCAACAAGAAACATAAATACATTCACGTAAATTACATCAATTTCAAAACAAAAAATTAAATAACATATATATCGTTTGCAACTCAAGCTTTACCATGTATTGACTATCTATCTACATGTAATAATCTATCTGCACTCAAGTTTGTTGATAAGTAATTGATTAGACATTCTCTTCACAATTATTACCATTACGTCTACTCTCTTCCTTTTCGCATCCATCCAGTTGTGTATAGCTGCCTGTTTTTCCATGTGTAACTTTACTCATTGGCAAAATACGATGTTGTTATTTGATTCTGCTTTGTAAGCTACACTTTCACTATATTTTGTTTCGTATGTTTTCATTTTGTCACTTGTGGTTTCTTGGTGAGAATTAATTTTCTTTGAGAAAAAGCAAATGATTAGGACGATGATGAAAATCACAAGTAAGGCAAAAAATGCTCCAAATATCACAGTAAGTTTGATGTTTGGCACTAGAAAACAAAAAAAGAAAAACATAGACAATATGTTCCATAAAATGAACTTTAGTAGTTTAAAAGCAATTGTAAAAAGGCACTGCTTATTTCTAATTCAATTTTTGGCACATGCATTTGAGTTCAAACCATAAATGGTTTTACTTTCGAAGGATTTGGGGAAAAACTAATTATTTAACATAAAAACACCACAATTATCTGGATTTGAGATCACAACACTGAAACGACACTCATTTATGATGCCGTATACACACATGTTTCGTCTGCAACACCATTGACATTGGTAAAGTTTTTGGAAGTGTATTTTGAACACACTAGATCACAACCAGGCACATCGTTAGCTTTGTTGCATAAATTACAACTGTAATTTTCTGTAAACATGAAAGAAATACAATTACTACAAGTAAGAAATTCCTTACTATGCCCTATTTAATAGTCTTTCGTTACCTTTCATCAATTTGCCAACCAATAAAATATCTTCAATTGTCAACAATTGGGAAGAAAGATTCCAGTATCTTTCAATGTCATGTATCTTTTCAGCGATGTTGAGTATATTCATCCTTGGAAATGATGATTGAATTTGGAATAACTTCATGCCCAATAGATCCAAAATAACATTGCTAATCTGTAGCTCTTGAAATTCGGCAAAAGATAAAATACCAAAGAATTTTGCGATGTTTTTGAGATGAATAAACTTTATGAAGATGTCAATGTTATATTTTGCAATCAGTTTTTTCATTGACTTGTCCGTGAAATTTCTTGCCACTTCATAAGAGCAATTACTTACGAAATTTGACAAACTTAATACGTTGTATTGAATACCAGGTTGAAGATATTCAATAAAGGCAACAAGTTCTACAATTCGAGCCACTTTTATTTCGATCAATTTGCCTTGCTCTACTTTCATTTGAAGTGTTTTGAAATCCATTTTCAAGGAATACAGCACAGCTAATGACATACGAGTGTAAAAAGCCATTTCAACGATCGTTACATTAAGCAATTCACCATACATCTTAATCGTGAGGTTATAAGGGATTTTGTCAACATTATCTAATTTCCCAAGAAAGATCCGAAACATTGTAGACTTGCAAGTCTCTCTAATGTCCCAAAAATAATGTTTGGCAATATCGATTGGTGTTATTGAGTAGAGTTTAGCAATCGATTGTGGATAAAATGCCCAAGTTCTTACTACATCAACTGGTTTTACAGTCGAATAAAACGCTTTAATGATAGAAAACAGATTTCTGGTGCATAGCTCGTGATGGTCATAATGTGTCGTTATCTGTTTGTGGATTTCTTCAATATTCATGGTATTCATTTTTCGCAATTGAAAATCTTCTCCTAATGGTTAAAAATTGCCAAAGTCTCAATTCATTGAGAAGCAAAAAGTCGTTTTGGAGACACCAAGGGTTTTTTATATCGTAAGGGTTTGGTCATTTAATTTATCACAAGCTCATCTTAAGTATATTGGCAGCCTGAATTTTACATCCGTATATGAATTGCAGCTTTTATGGAAACGGCCTTACCTGACATAACTTTATCAATGAATGGCATAAACTGTGACACATTTAAATATACACCATATTTATTTGGTCTTGCGCAACCAATACCCCAACTGACAAGACCATGTACTCTCCACGTGTCTGCATCATGATCATCACATTGCAAAGGCCCACCGCTATCGCCATAGCACGTATCATTCCCTCCTCGAGAGAATCCAGCACAAAAGTACGTATTCGGTATACTGTTGTTGTATGACACATTACTGTTACATCGGCCATTATTACGCTACATGTAATTTGCCGTTCATTTAGGATTGCCATCATTACGCTACATGTAATTTGCCGTTCATTTTATTACAGAAGACAGAGCAGAAAAAAGCTCGCTCGGAAGGACTAATGCGAAGTATAGCGGGTCATGTTCAGGCTTGGCAGGAACAATTGCAAATTTGTGAACGTCATATGGAAACATTAATTGGTGACGCGTTATTGTCTGCTGGCTGCCTTTGCTATCTTGGACTTTTGAAGCAAGAAAAACGCGATCAACTGCTTCAACAATGGATTGTCACTTGTATTGGTGATGAAAATGATGGCGAAAATGATGAAAATGATATCGTGAATGATTGTCGGGACTTGAAACCGAAAGTAACCGCGTGTCCTATGGTAATTAATGATCCATCTCCATTTGACTCTGAAGATGACTACCGCTAAGGTTGTCGAAACGTCAGTCAACAACAACAAAAGCAGTCTTTCTCAGGTCCATACCAACCTGGACGATCTACATCTACAAACATGTATTTATTCACCCAAAACTGTTGTTTTCGTATGTTTTTCACAAAACAGCTGGAATGTCGTTTTTTCTTTCGAATTATGGATGTTTAAGACAAACTATTTGTTGGTTATTTTAACTCATCTTTTCAACTTTTATTAGAACGACATGCTGTTTCATGAGCTACGCTTTTTTTCACTCCCCTCTAGAAAAACATACTTGAAATGGTGATCAACATGAATGAACATCTTCTGGAGAACGACAAAATATCTGAGAATCTTAAACATTGTGAAGAAACGTGTCGTTTGAGCATACATCAATTAGAAGAATCGAAGGTATAGAAATCAAATGTTTCAATTTTTTATAGAGGTGTTTTTTACATTTTTGGCCATTTTTTTACTTGTTAAGCTATCAGTAAGATATTTGATCGTCATTTTACGTACGGGAATGTAAAACCTACCAAAGATATTTTGTGCAATTAAAATGCCTGAAATGGAAAGCTCTTGCAAAAGATAAACATAAATATTTTGCCCTGCGCGTATCGTGATATTCAACAACTTTTCCCTGAACTGTTCTCGCCATATCCGGGTTAAATAAATGAGAGGAGCGGAATTTTTCAAGTCTTTCCATGCAAATTCCTGAATTTCCCAACATGTCAGATAAGAAAATCCGAATGAAACTGCTAAAACTTTTATGCAATCTTAAGAAAGAAATTTAATGCCTAAATATCGACAATCACCGTGGCTGTTTTTGAATTTCAATGATCTTTTAAATGAAAAAAAGCTTAAGCTTATTTTGACGGGTCGCATTTTGTCCAACCAGTGAAGAAAAACGTATAAAATATCTAGTCAATTTCTTACTTCTACAAAAAGTTTATTTAATCTTAATTCTAATTACATTGACTACTTTATTTTATTCTACTTTAATACGATATAACTTTACGATATAATAGTTAAAATTCTTACTTTATAAGTTATTTTACAGTTATAGATTGTATTCACAATATAGATCTTAGAATCAATACATAATTCAATTCAAATTCTATGCAAATAAAATCTATGTAATTAATTGCTGAAAGTCGCTATTTTGTTCATATTAATTGTCTTTCCACCTTGGACAGTGGGCAAGATCCCCAGACGGAAAGCAAAGATATAGTTGAGACTATATCTTTGCTTTCCGTCTGGGGATCTTGCTCATTTTCCCCTGACATTGTAGCATAAATTGGAACAGTATCTTTACTCTTACTGCTGTGAGTTTCCTTCACAAGTTCGACATTTTCACTTTCATTAACTTCCGCCGATGTCGATTCTGTACTTTCCTCGATGTTATCATCGTTATCCTATTCAGAAAGAAACTCATATTCACTACTTTTTGTTAAGTGGAAAGATTTTTCATAAAACATACTTCACTCTTTTGGAAAATTATTTTATATAAATAGTATCCAAGAAATGCGGATCCAACGGCAGCAATAGTGCCGAGACATACATTTCTTGTCAATCCCATTGTTGAACAACTGTATCACAAATATTTACTCTCGATGAAAAAATAGCTCTGAACTGCTTGATATGTAACCGCAAAATGATGATTAATGAGATTATGACATTTTTAATTGTTTGGCAAGCGCAAATTAACGCGTAGAATCGTTTGTTACGTAATAAAATTCAATGCGCGTGCGCATTTTAATTTTCGCCGTCACGAAATTGAAGTGTATTTTGATATATCTGTGATTTGCCACCGTAAACATCCTCGTTTTCATTCCTGTAGAAACAAGTTTTGCTTCCAAACAGACCTATTGTATTCTGTGAGATGTACAATATTTTATGTTTCCCAACAAATTTTCTTCATGCTGTTTTCTAGTTTTAGCTAATAGCTACCAAGCCTGACAAACCTTGCAAACATTGTCAAAAAGCTGTGTTTCTGCAATAGTATTTTCTTGTTAAATTTAAAGTTAAATTTCGAAGCTAAAAGTCAAATTACTGCAATTATGTTAAAAGTTAACTCATAAGGAAGCTTTTATGTATTTTTCACCAGAACAAAACCTACTTCTCTTTTTTGAGACCGCCAACTGTCATCGGTATCTGATATCTGAAACATTAACTCAACTTTTATTAGGCATCTGGTACCTGAAATATCAACTCATCATTGCTCATGACTGTTGTTTTAATCAGTAGTTGATCCTCTATTTCTTTAAAACTATTTTTTATCACCTGGTGTGATGTAATAGAACAATCTCAACGAATCTGTTTTATTTAGAATAATAATTTTCACGGTATTTTTTATTCTTCAACTAGGCACTACAAGCAATATCAAAAGACAAGGCCGAAGACTACACACATGTTTCAGAACACGCTGCCGCAATATCTCTTATTATATCTAGCCTACCCCAATTGAATGTCTATTACCAGACACCGTTTCATACGCTCATTGACCTTGTAAAGGACGTTATTAAACAACGAAGACGAGGAAAGCAATCATCTGGCTCGTCATTGGCACGATCTACCGAACTAATTACCTATATCACTAGAGCTATATGCAAAAAAATGGCTAAATCTCTCTATTTAGGTATGCTTATTCACCATGCCATTGTTGTAGACACTAGGAATATTCAGTGCAAAGTAGTTAATGTACCATTTTCGCAAATTATTGCAAAATTTTACAACATACATTTGTTTTAGTAGTAAAGAGATGTGCTAGTGATTCTGATGAAAGATGGAAGCTTGATGAAATAATTTTAAAAACCTTTATTATTAGATTAACCGTTCATGCACGCGCGAAATCTATTGTTTACATTAAAGATGAGCGCACCGACACTAACATATCAAGCTATACATGAAAGAATGATATCCTATCTATTCTGTCCATTTTCAGATCATTACAACGTGTTTACGATTTTGGTTGCTGTTAAAAAGCTTCAGCTTGCTGGACTGTTAAGTACAGAAGAATGGAAAATGTTTTACGAAACGCATCCAAGCCCAGATGCGTCTACTGACGTTGAGGATTCTGATATCCCCGATTGGATTGAAACTTCAGTTTGGAATCAAGTCTGCAGTCTTGATAGGTTGCAAGGATTTCAAGGATTAAAAAAGGCGATTAAAAGGAACGATGCATTGTGGAAAGAATATTTTGATGTAATATATCTTGTCTATTTTTTTTCATTGTATCGCAGCAAGCTAGAATCTTTACTCTTTCATCTTTTATCCTTTCAATTAGTTTGTGAATACAAAATATTTGCATAGCGGGAGTAAAAAGTTGTGCCAAACACGCTACGCTACTGACCAGAATCCCTGTAAAAAATAAGAAAATCCCTCCGTGCTCCGTATATTTAATGTTGAAATGTTAAATAATCAAACCATAAATTTCTCATTGAAATTAGAAAGAAATTGATCTCACTGCAAGCATTTCTTATGTTTTTCTTTTTACATATTTCAGCTACCGCCGACGTTAATGGCCCCTGTGCCAAGCAACATGCGTCAATTGTCTTTATTTCAACGAGCCCTTCTTTGGAAAGTGTTTAAAATGAAAAATGTAAGTTTATGTATTTTACGTGAATAGCATCCTGTCGTGACTCGCTGGAACATAATAACTACAATATTGTTGTTTTAAAAGAAGGGACTTTTGGACGGCATCTAAGGCAAAAGTGACAAAAAATTGAATAGTTCACGATTTATTATGTTAATGGCTTCGATGTCGGTCCATGTTTCAAAAACGTCGCTTGCATAGGATACTCATGCCTTGGATGAATTAAATTAAATTAAATTGAATATTTTAATTATCATTAAGCTACGCGAAATCTGTAAAGAACTTGTTCTCTCACAACTTGGTACAAGTGCGACAACTGTACCAAATCTATCCATGGATATTGTGTACCAAGAATCGACTTGTATTACTCCAGTTTTGTTCTTTTTACCAGATTCGTTATTCTCAGAGGACTGGAGAAAACAGAATATAAAAGGTTTGTTTAGATTTTGCGTTCGTTTCAACGGTTGCCGTGATGATTGAGCATTATTTTATGTAATCGACAAGGAGAATTTAAAGTGCCCCAATGCAGCAAAAAATTTTGTTTGCGATACTAAAACTAGATGTTATGTCTTACGTATCGGTAAAACAATTTTCAAATTTGTTTGAATCTTCTTCTTATGGTGGCTTAAAGTTGCCATTCAACCATTCAACGGACCTTGTCCGTCGTGGCACGAAGACTGGGTCGAGCAAATTCTTATATATCATCCATGGTAGTTGGTATATACATCTTGTGTTGAGAAGTCATTTGCATGACGTCACAAAAGTAAGTCGTTCCAGACTCTTCGGACGACGGACACGGTCCATTAAAAGGAGTTTTTTTTGCCAACTTCAAACAGCCATTGAAATGAGATAATTTAAACTGAACATTTAAAAACTTTTTTCACTGATACGTTGAACATCACACCCAATTTAAATATTGCAAACAACAATTTTTTCTGCATTTGCTGCCTTAATGGATTTGTTCGTTTAGAAGTAATTCATTTTAATGAGAGAACTGTTTGAGATTTTAGCAGTCTGCGAGTGTTGAATAGTTGTAGTGATCGTGCTTACAGTTATTACGGTTCCTTTACATGAATACTACATGAAGTTTTCATGTTTCTTTTACCATTTGAACCCACCATTGACGTAATTTCCTATGACTGTGGCCTGTCGTAAAATCACTTGTGTTTGAATTCCCAATTTAGATCCAGTTGATGAAATTTTAGCTCTTGCCAGACGACTAAAGCATGATGCTAACTTACGCATTGTCGATGTTTGTCATGAGAATCAGTTGTCTGAAGCGCACAAAATTTTACGAAATGCATGTCAACGAGGCACTTGGGTGATCATAAAAAATTGCCATTTTGCGTCTCACTGGTCCCCGGAAATTATGGATATTTTTTATGTAAGTTAATGTACAGGATGCTTAAAAGAATAAAGTTGTTTATGGTTATTGAAAGGGCTGTGACTCCATTATCTAACTTAGGTGCATGTTTTGTTACATATGTTTTGTTTTCCTTGAGAATTCTGTGAAATGCGTGACATTTTGTTCATTTAGCATCTTTTTTATAATCTTTATGCTTTCCAATCTTAAGTTGATTTCGTTTTTTGGTCAACGTTTTGAGCCAGTTTTTTTGTTCGTCATTTTCTTCAAAGTCGACAAGGCTTTTTTTGTAAATTTCACATTTAGTCATCTTGGTCGTTTTCTATGAAGTCAGCAAGGCATTTTAGTCAATTGTGTATGCAGTCATCTTCATTGTTACGGTTGAATAATTCTCATGTCTGCGCATGTTTAATGATGTTACTACGAAATTTCATTTTCAGCAAGTTACCTTGAGCAGTAGCAAAGAACATATCACTGGCAAGCATGGCTTATTTGAAAGAGAAACTGCTCTGTACACTGTGACGTCATACGCCTTTGACCAATCATTGATTATGCATCCTCATTTCCGTCTTTGGTTGATCACGACGCCTACATCTGGAACCCCATTACCGGCGGTTATTATACGTTACAGTATGAAAATAGCTTGGGACGACAAACTGTCCCATGATGCCACATGTCGACAGTCTTTTCTCACACTATGGAATAAACATAAGCATTCTAATATCAATTTGAAGGAGCTTGAATCCTTAGATGTGAAGGTAAAAATTGTTATGAAGTATGTTTCATTTTATAATCGTTTGTTTTTCTTGCAATATTTCAAAAATTGGTTTAAAACGTCATTAGGAACTTCATTATCGAAGTTCAAAACATCTTGTTTTTCTTTTAACATTTATTCCATGTTGTACTAGTCCGAACAACTTCTCAAAAGAAAAATCCATCTCTTTCAGGCTGACCCTTTATCTTACTATTTTGCACCGTTGGCAATACTTCATTCAGTTCTCCATCAGCGCTGTAAATATGGTTCTCGTGGATTTAATATTCCCTATCATTGGTGAGTTTTTCTTTACACTTGTTGCGATGGAACGCCGTATGTATCTTTATGTATCTAAAAGTCGTGTATATTTCGGCTAATGTATAACTGGCAAAAGTTTTATAAGAGTTTTTAATATTGAACAGGAGCGACCAGGATCTCGTTTGGGGCTATCAATCTACGCTTCTGTTAAAGTCATTTGTTAAAGCTGCTAGCAGAAAAATGGCTATGATGCAAGATATGGGTATTTTGTATTGCGGTCAAGTTCTTAATATGTTCGACTGCTCCACGATCACTGCTTTGGCTGAGAAAGATTTTGTATCTTCTAATGATCCTGAAAAAGTATTTACATTCAAAGACTCGTGAATGTGTAAAATGTCGTAATAACAATAACTTTGGTTTTCGTTCTAGGAGCAACAATCTGATCAGCTTGATATTCTCCTTAATTCCACTCCTATTGAGATCTCTTTGGATGACATTGGGATAAATAGTTTTGTGGATGAAAGTGAAAATCTGCATTGTGGCAGGTAAGATCTGTATTATATCTTTAACATTTACATTACTTCATGTTAAGTGGGAAAAAATGTCGTATATGGAAGCACTTTCACGGATGGAAGTCATGTGATTATTTGTGTTGACGTCATGAAATGGATCGACATTTTGCTTGTTTTTTGTGTTAGGGTTATTTATAGAATCAAAACCTATACAAGCAAAAGGAAACGATTCATAAAAAAATTATTTTTTTTGGGAAATTTTTCTTTATTTAGACCAGGGAAAAATACTGAGAGTATGACTTATAGATTCTATTTTGCAGAAAAATGGTTTCAGACATCGCTTCAGCGATGAAAAGTACACAAATAACTCGTGTTTGGTTCAAGCCGGTGCAAGTTTTCAAAGACCTGTTGGTTTCCTTTCGACATATCAAATCGAACTTAAACAGTGGTAATGAAGAATCTACTCTTGATGAAACGTATTTCATGTCTTTTTTGAAGAAGGAATTAAGAACATTTGTAATTTCTCTTGAAAAAATGGCGTCTCAGCTGGAAGATGTTATTTTGGCGCTCGAAGGAAGAATAAATTTCTCTTCAATAATGTATGAAATTGTGAAAGACTTGTCATCAGAGTTGGCTCCTCAAACCTGGATTCAATATCCTAATAATCCTTTGAAACTAAACCAATGGATGACCTCACTAAGAGAAAAGATTGAGGCGATTAATAAGTACGTCCAATATGAAGAGAATTCTCCTTTAGTTCTAGATATTTCTGTCTTCACCAATAAGAACTCTATGCTTCAAGCTCTTGTATTTGATTGGTCAAAAAGAACTGGACTGCCACCTCACGAAATGGATGTTATTTGCGAGGTTTGTGTGTACCTTTAAATGGTGTTAGTCTCTAATTCTTCGTGAGTTTTAACAGAAATTAATGATTTTCAAATGAGTCAACCACTAGCAAAGCCAGCCAGAATTGTATGTAATGCAACCTCTTAGGAGACAGTCGAAGTCAAGTGTGATTTTTGACGTCTTAATGACCACGATGCTCCAGAAATATTTGAACGTCCAAAATATTTAACTGGACACACAATTTTACGTTGTTTGAATTATAAAATGAATTATTTTTCTGTTACTACACAGTTGATGGCTGAACAAAGCACGCCAAACATAAATGCCCACGATGCTGTCTACATCGACGGATTTGTTATTCGCAATGCATCATGGAATGAAAATGAAAGATGTGTCGATAAACTCCGGGAAGCTGGGAATCAGAGAATGCCAACATTTGTTTTAAAACCATTGGAAGAAAGCTTACATGTTGTGAAAAGTAAAGGTAAACATAAAGAGCTAAGAATTCCAGTTTACCTGAAGGAAAATCATGTTAATGGACTCGAAACTGTTTCTGTTTTATCATTTATGACACTTTCGTCGAAATTGTCGCCGAATATGTGCAAACGACAACAGGTTTTCATTACTAGTGCGACTTTATGACATTTTTTATTATTCCTTTGGCAGTTTTTTTATTTATTCTTTGAAACATTGTATTTTATATGTAGACAGACTGTGGATTTATAGATGTAACATTTTTTTAATTGACAGCTATGAACTGAGTACATGTATAACTTTTACAGAATGGCAGGCCACCATCTGTTATTTGAATCATGTACTTTATGTAAGTTTTGATTTTATTTAATTAAAGGTGAGTGATTTAGTTGAATTGTTGTCTTAATAATAGATCATGGATGATCACGATTGATGAATATAGCTGGGTTAAATTTTTTGCTATACATTTAAGTTATTTTAACTGCGTTTTGCTCGTTGCTTTCAACGAAAAACCAAGCTGGTTTCTTCAGAAATAAATAAATAAATACGGCGTGAAATTTTGTGAAGTGACTTTTTATTTGCTAAAGAAAAGATTACTTTACTGAAGAAAACAATCATAAATGAACACTTTCGAATTTTGCAGCGGGCATTGAAAAAACCTACCTCGATTTAACTTACTTTTCTTTATCAGCTAAGCGCAATTTGGGAAGCATAACTTTAAATATAATTTACAATGTTGGTGGTCTGATTTCAAGTTGTATTTTTCTCATCAACGTGGGTGTGAGACACTGTTTGATAATATCAAATCATGATAGCACAGAATAGACATCTAACAGAAGGCCCACTCTGCTAAAATCGTGGCGTATTTTTTCACTACGCATGCGTGACTTCCCAGCAAGATACTTTCACAAAATCAATATGGAATAGTATTGCACGATAATGTTATTTTACTAATAATTCACGTTTAAAGCAAAAGTTTGCCGAAATTTTTACAAAATGTTATCATCTTGCAAAGACGATGAGTTCCAAGCTTTTGCAGTGCAAACCGATGTATTTGTTAAAACATCTATATTTTCTATTGCGATCTCCTTAATACTTGCTTCAGAAAAGTAGGGGACATGAACATCAAAAGTTCCGAGACGAGTGGACCTTAAGATATCTATTCTGTGTTGTAGATTGCAAATCAGGAATTCAAAGCACGCAAAACCTTGACCTTATTGAGTCTATGGGGCGGTTTGAGTTCTTTTATATGAACTTAGGTCTAATCTTGACTTGCAACAATTCTCTTGAGATTTGCCAAACAATGTTGCTCGCCCACGCCGGCTGTTGCCAACGATAACTCTGATAAAATATTCTTTTGTATCAGACCACCAACATGGCTGAATTGCAAGTCAAGAATAGCGTTCCCAACAGCAATTAATGCTCCAATCGATTTTTGAAACCCCATGTATACGAAACTCTGAGCAGTGATTAATAATATTGCTTCAGAATTCACTCAATAGAAGCCTAATTCTGCTGCTTTTGATTATTTCCACGATATATTACATCATGTTGACAAATCTCGCTTACTTGTACTGTTCGTCGTGCATGTTAACATGTATTTTATCCCTCTGGCACCAACAAACAACTGAGGCATTCAAATTTAACAATGAAATCGTTAACGTCGACTTCAGACGCTTTCTTGGAGACAACCCGTACTTGAAATTAATTCGTCACGCGTGCCTGTCGCAAATACGTAAAGCAATTGTGGTGACAAATGCTCTTTTGAAGAACCATGAAGACAGTCATCGGTCATCCAATGCAGTCTTTGAAGACATATTACTAACTTTCATCGACCGCTGGCTTTCGTCCACGTTGTATTCAAGGTTAGCCAGACGTTCATGGATAGTTTTATACATTTGATCAATGATCGTGCATGCACTTATAAAATATTTTCCAATTTCATACCTCTTGATTAATGATTAATTGAGCATTTTACATGAAACCGATCGTCGAAATTCGTCTGTACGCTCTTCTCTGTGAAGATAGTGTCACTTGTTTGATGATGTAAAATAGGAAATGTCTTGGATTGAAGCTATTAGAGTTAAACTTAGTTCGTTTGTTAAGCCGACAAACTTTACTGTACTTTACTGTACAAACTTTACTAGATAATGAAAATTGCTCATTGTCTATTATTCCTACCGAGTTCGTCACTTGACTGTATGCATGTTATTCAACACAAAGATTAAAGTTTAAATTTCATCTTTACTCGAGAGTAAAATAAAAATATTGAAGTATTATTTAGCCTTGAGGAATCCACGTTTTATGAACAACTTAATTTAGCCATAATTAAACTCATAGCTTAATAAGGGTTGAAATACTTTCTTCACAAATGCTAAAATACTTGCTTAACAAAAGTTGAATCATTCATTTATCATAATATTAAAGCTGATGTAGAAATCGCAGCTCGAGTAAATTTCACTTGGCCATAACGAATGTCTGTGTGAGAGTTGAATACACCTCTTGAAAGTTTTGTTGAATGTCCAGAAATTATGGTTGCTTGGAGCACATTGTGTGCTGATGAATTTTTGCCATATTTTGAACAAAAAAATAGACTATAAGTTTGCAAAAATATTTTAGATGAAAGTTTCAAGCCAAATAAGACAGTTGACTTGTTTGTGAATCATGAAAATTAAATGTCTGGAATGCATTTAATGAGAAGTGAGAGCTCCCTTAACTTTCAATTCCTTTTCACGTTCGTTTTCTCCGTTTCGGCCATATCAACTTTTCACATTTCTTATAAAGAAGCACTTGTAAAGGGCAGGGGGGAGTTCATAGGATTTTTTACAATATTTTGTGGTCATGACAAAAATACGACGTACGACAAGGTTCTCGTCTTCACCAAATACAAAGTTAAAGAAATCGCTCGAGTTAAAGAAACCCAAATTCCCATCAAACATCAGAATTTAATGCAATCGCCAGCATTACATGGGACGACAAATGAATTCCAGGGGTGCAAATGCTTTCTTTATAACCTGCAATTTTCCCTAGTTGGTAATCATGGCCAATTTTCTTATTAAGTAAAGCTCGTCGTTATTGCTCTCAGTAAAATAAGTTTATATTATCCATTTTTGATTGTTGTCTGTTGATCATTAAAATTTTTTCAAACGAACATAAAAATATGCACCGCCAGGCTTTCTAGAACTAAAGTATTTTTGCTTACTGCTATTTCCTTAAAAAAAAATATATGTGCAGAATTCTTTAATCCCAAGTGCTAAAAAATACATTTTTCCTTAGCCTCGAGGCAAAGTCAGTCCAGGGTTAGGAAAGTTTGAAATGTCTGTACGACATGTTTAATTGAACCTGGACAGAATATTCAACATTCGTACTCTTTGTTTCAATCTGGAGTTCAAACATGACTTTAAAGTCGAAATTGCTCAACCTCTCCTTGCGTCCGTTTGCGATATATTGTGAACCAGGTAAATTCTTTCTTCACAGCTCGCCGATTTCGAGATAGTAGCGAATTGCATTTCTACATACGTAATATTAGAAATTGAAAGAATGACCATTTGATTGTTGTACGTGTCTATTTTCCTTCAACATTTTTATGGAAAATGAGTCCTGATCAATTTTCCACAACTTGTGCTATTTTGCACGATGATTTTTTTTTAGTTGACCTACAGCATTTACCCTTCATTAAAAAAAAACGGGTATTGGAAGAGACGTGCTATTGGACGTTTTGTATATTTAATAGCCGCGTTCCCAATTTCAAGAACAACAATCAAATGTCAATTAAGCGTAAGTGAAGTTCAATAAAACAACAGTTTAATTTTCATGCCATGAATTAACTTTCAAAACAAAAAATTAAATAACATATATATCGTTTGCAACTCAAGCTTTACCATGTATTGACTATCTATCTACATGTAATAATCTATCTGCACTCAAGTTTGTTGATAAGTAATTGATTAGACATTCTCTTCACAATTATTACCATTACGTCTACTCTCTTCCTTTTCGCATCCATCCAGTTGTGTATAGCTGCCTGTTTTTCCATGTGTAACTTTACTCATTGGCAAAAATACGATGTTGTTATTTGATTCTGCTTTGTAAGCTACACTTTCACTATATTTTGTTTCGTATGTTTTCATTTTGTCACTTGTGGTTTCTTGGTGAGAATTAATTTTCTTTGAGAAAAAGCAAATGATTAGGACGATGATGAAAATCACAAGTAAGGCAAAAAATGCTCCAAATATCACAGTAAGTTTGATGTTTGGCACTAGAAAACAAAAAAAAAACATAGACAATATGTTCCATAAAATGAACTTTAGTAGTTTAAAAGCAATTGTAAAAAGGCACTGCTTATTTCTAATTCAATTTTTGGCACATGCATTTGAGTTCAAACCATAAATGGTTTTACTTTCGAAGGATTTGGGGAAAAACTAATTATTTAACATAAAACACCACAATTATCTGGATTTGAGATCACAACACTGAAACGACACTCATTTATGATGCCGTATACACACATGTTTCGTCTGCAACACCATTGACATTGGTAAAGTTTTTGGAAGTGTATTTTGAACACACTAGATCACAACCAGGCACATCGTTAGCTTTGTTGCATAAATTACAACTGTAATTTTCTGTAAACATGAAAGAAATACAATTACTACAAGTAAGAAATTCCTTACTATGCCCTATTTAATAGTCTTTCGTTACCTTTCATCAATTTGCCAACCAATAAAATATCTTCAATTGTCAACAATTGGGAAGAAAGATTCCAGTATCTTTCAATGTCATGTATCTTTTCAGCGATGTTGAGTATATTCATCCTTGGAAATGATGATTGAATTTGGAATAACTTCATGCCCAATAGATCCAAAATAACATTGCTAATCTGTAGCTCTTGAAATTCGGCAAAAGATAAAATACCAAAGAATTTTGCGATGTTTTTGAGATGAATAAACTTTATGAAGATGTCAATGTTATATTTTGCAATCAGTTTTTTCATTGACTTGTCCGTGAAATTTCTTGCCACTTCATAAGAGCAATTACTTACGAAATTTGACAAACTTAATACGTTGTATTGAATACCAGGTTGAAGATATTCAATAAAGGCAACAAGTTCTACAATTCGAGCCACTTTTATTTCGATCAATTTGCCTTGCTCTACTTTCATTTGAAGTGTTTTGAAATCCATTTTCAAGGAATACAGCACAGCTAATGACATACGAGTGTAAAAAGCCATTTCAACGATCGTTACATTAAGCAATTCACCATACATCTTAATCGTGAGGTTATAAGGGATTTTGTCAACATTATCTAATTTCCCAAGAAAGATCCGAAACATTGTAGACTTGCAAGTCTCTCTAATGTCCCAAAAATAATGTTTGGCAATATCGATTGGTGTTATTGAGTAGAGTTTAGCAATCGATTGTGGATAAAATGCCCAAGTTCTTACTACATCAACTGGTTTTACAGTCGAATAAAACGCTTTAATGATAGAAAACAGATTTCTGGTGCATAGCTCGTGATGGTCATAATGTGTCGTTATCTGTTTGTGGATTTCTTCAAT